TCTCTCTCTCGTGTCTCTCGTGTCTCTCTCTCTCTCTCTCTCTCGTGTCTCTCTCTCTCTCTTCAAATCAGCTTTATTGGCATAAATGTGTAACAACAATATTGCCAAAGCATCATACAAACTACATAAGAACAATCAACCCCATACATTTCATTAAACAAGTAATCAAAGCGTGTGTGTTAATAAAAATAAAACAGTAAGCGTGTTTGTGTGTATGTTAATAAAAATAACAGTAAGTGTGTGTGTTAAAAATATTAAAATAAATGAAACAGTATCGTGTGTGTATATAAATAGACAAAAAAAGTTTTTTTAATTAATTGATTAAAAAATAAGAAAAAAAAAATCTGTGTCAATGTAAAAACAAAACAATTACTAAAATATCAATGATCAAAATAATAATAATTTGAAAATCTGTACAATTATTTGTCAGTCTGAGGTTCCACTGGTTGTTTTTTCACATTTGGGCATTTCTCCCAGTAAATAGGGGAGTTTCTGTGTGTCTGATATGAATTCGGGGTATATTTGGGAAATGTTTGCAAAATGTTTTTGTCTTGGTGTTTTATATTTGGGGCATGAGGTTAGAAAGTGCAGCTCTGTCTCTACCTGTCCCCCAAGTCTCTACCTGTCCCCCGAGTCTCTACCTGTCCCCCGAGTCTCTACCTGTCCTCTGTCACACTGGGAGCAGAGTCTCTCCTCTTGTGGTAGCCAGCTCTGTCTGTGGCTTTTCTATGGCCAGGCTGTGTTCACTCAGTCTGTACGTTGTCAACATTTTTCTTAGTTTGGGACATTTTATTGTACTCAGGTAATTTGACAGTGTGAATTCTCTTTTTAGGGTCAGATAACATTGGAATTTACTTTGTGTTTTGGTCGTTTCTTTCCCCTATTCAATATATTTTTCTTTCTGCTTGCTGATAATTTGGTTTGGTCTTTCTCTGCACCTGCAGGATGTTCTTACAGAACTCAGTATGGAAAGATTCTATGATTGTTTTGTCCCATTTGTCAAATTCATTATTATGTTTTGGCCCCCAGATTTCGCTACCATAAAGAATTATTGGTTCTAGTACAAACTGGAAAATTTTAAGCCAGATTTCAGTCTCTCTCTCTCTCTCTCTCTCTCTCAGGTGTGTGTGTCTCAGGTGTGCGTCTCACCTCTCTGGTCTCCAGCTTCCTGACGGCGGTGTTGCTGGTCCTCTGCAGGACTCGCAGTCGACTCTGCAGCTCTCTGCGCGTCCACTGGGGGACGGGGGTATTATCTACAGCCTGACAGACACAGCACAGGGTCAGGCGCACGTTTTCACAGTCTCAGTGGCTGCAGTGCATCATGGGTAGTGTACGTACATCAGAGAGCACCCCGACCTCCTTGGCGAGGCGCTGGGCGGAGTCGAGGCTGGAGGGGGCGGAGCCTGTCAGTCTGGCCGACAGAGAGTCCACATCCTGAGACAACACCTGACCCGCCTCCCGAGCCTGAACGCCATCAAGACAAAAGTCATTAACCTGAACTACACCTGCTGTACCTGAACTACACCTGAACTACACCTGCTGTACCTGAACTACACCTGAACTACACCTGCTGTACCTGAACTACACCTGCTGCACCTGAACTACACCTGCTGCACCTGAACTACACCTGAACTACACCTGCTGCACCTGAACTACACCTGAACTACACCTGCTGTACATGAACTACACCTGCTGCACCTGAACTACACCTGCTGTACATGAACTACACCTGAACTACACCTGCTGTACATGAACTACACCTGAACTACACCTGCTGTACCTGAACTACACCTGCTGTACATGAACTACACCTGAACTACACCTGCTGTACATGAACTACACCTGAACTACACCTGCTGTACCTGAACTACACCTGCTGTACATGAACTACACCTGAACTACACCTGCTGTACATGAACTACACCTGAACTACACCTGCTGTACATGAACTACACCTGCTGCACCTGAACTACACCTGAACTACACCTGCTGCACCTGATCTACACCCGCTGTACCTGAACTACACCTGCTGCACCTGAACTACACCTGAACTACACCTGCTGTACATGAACTACACCTGAACTACACCTGCTGTACATGAACTACACCTGAACTACACCTGCTGTACATGAACTACACCTGAACTACACCTGCTGTACCTGAACTACACCTGCTGTACATGAACTACACCTGAACTACACCTGCTGTACATGAACTACACCTGAACTACACCTGCTGTACATGAACTACACCTGCTGCACCTGAACTACACCTGAACTACACCTGCTGCACCTGATCTACACCCGCTGTACCTGAACTACACCTGCTGCACCTGAACTACACCTGAACTACACCTGCTGTACATGAACTACACCTGAACTACACCTGCTGTACATGAACTACACCTGCTGTACATGAACTACATCTGGATTACACCTGAACTACACCTGCTGTACATGAACTACATCTGGATTACACCTGAACTACACCTGCTGTACATGAACTACATCTGGATTACACCTGATCTACACCTGCTGCAGCTGAACTACAGGTGAGTCCTGACTTTATTAGTTACACAGTGAGGACAGGATGACACCGTGGCCCTGTGATGTTTGGACTGACCCGTGCTGCGTCCCGTCCCGTCACCGCCACGATCCGACTGATTCCCTTCACCATCTGCCGCTCAGAAACCACCACCAGGTCCTGGATTGTTCCGGTCTGCAGCAGGTGACTGAACACAGAAACACGTGAGTGAACAGGTGACTCAGGTAACCAGCAGGTCAGAGGACAGACTCACCTGTACATGAAACATGAGGCTACAGCCAGCAGCTGGTAAGCTTAGCATAAAGACTGGAATCACCCTGAACACGTGACTCTGAGAGGGAGATTTAAAGGTGAGCTGTCCCTTTAAGGAGACACTACGCGCTGTAACCTCAAAGATGAAGCACCTGACGGCTCTCTGCAGCTGGAACTATTCTGCTTCCTGTGAAAGAGTCAGGTCACATCGTCTGCACTGTGCTCGAAGCCTCTCACCTGATTACCGTTATTTCATTTCCTGCCAGAGTTTCGATACGTGCCACCCCACTGTGCTGTGATTGGCTAGCACTCCTTGACACGACTGATACAAGATATTGTAATAATAATATAACCGTTGTAAATCTACAGAGGAAGAGCAACACACACATTTCATGTCCATAGCTGTAAATTTACAGATAAGAGCTCAAACAAAACATATACAACTTCCTGCCACACCAGGTAATACTTCCTGTCTGAGCGTGTGTGAATGTAGCAGGTGAACAGGTGTGTTTCTGGCTCACGTTCCACAGCAGAGCTCCACAGACGTCTGCCTGTCTGTCTGATCGTCCAGCAGCTCAGAGACCGGAATCCCCACAGACACCACCCGAACAGGGTCCGGATACACCTGCAGACAGACAGACAGTCAGTACACCTGCAGACAGACAGACAGACAGACAGTACACCTGCAGACAGACAGACAGACAGACAGTACACCTGTAGACAGACAGACAGAAAGTCCACCTGTAGACAGACAGACAGACAGACAGTCCACCTGTAGACAGACAGACAGAAAGTCCACCTGTAGACAGACAGAAAGAAAGTCCACCTGCAGACGGACAGACAGTCAGTACACCTGCAGACAGACAGACAGACAGACAGTCCACCTGTAGACAGACAGACAGAAAGTCCACCTGCAGACAGACAGACAGACAGACAGTCCACCTGTAGACAGACAGACAGAAAGTCCACCTGTAGACAGACAGACAGAAAGTCCACCTGCATACAGACAGACAGACAGACAGACAGTCCACCTGCATACAGACAGACAGACAGTCAGTACACCTGTAGACAGACAGACAGACAGTCCACCTGCAGACAGACAGACAGTCAGTACACCTGTAGACAGACAGACAGTCCACCTGCAGACAGACAGACAGACAGTCCACCTGTAGACAGAAAGACAGACAGACAGTCCACCTGCATACAGACAGACAGACAGTCCACCTGTAGACAGACAGACAGACAGTCCACCTGTAGACAGACAGACAGTCCACCTGCAGACAGACAGACAGTACACCTGCAGACAGACAGACAGACAGACAGTCCACCTGTAGACAGACAGACAGACAGTCAGTCCACCTGCAGACAGACAGAAAGACAGTCCACTTGTAGACAGTCAGAAAGACAGACAGTCCACCTGCAGAAAGACAGACAGACAGTCAGTCCACCTGCAGGCAGAAAGACAGACAGACAGACAGACAGTCCACCTGTAGACAGACAGACAGACAGTCCACCTGCAGACAGACAGTCCACCTGCAGACAGACAGACAGACAGTCCACCTGTAGACAGTCAGTCAGACAGACAGACAGTCCACCTGCAGACAGACAGACAGGCAGTCCACCTGTAGACAGTCAGTCAGACAGACAGACAGTCCACCTGCAGACAGACAGACAGACAGTCCACCTGCAGACGGACAGACAGACAGACAGTCCACCTGCAGACAGACAGACAGACAGACAGTCCACCTGCAGACAGAAAGACAGACAGTACACCTATAGACAGTCAGTCAGACAGACAGACAGGCAGTACACCTGTAGACAGACAGTCAGACAGACAGACAGTACACCTGTAGACAGTCAGTCAGACAGACAGTACACCTGCAGACAGACAGACAGAGAGTACACCTGTAGACAGTCAGTCAGTCAGACAGACAGTACACCTGTAGACAGTCAGTCAGACAGACAGACAGTACACCTGCAGACAGACAGACAGAGAGTACACCTGTAGACAGTCAGTCAGTCAGACAGACAGTACACCTGTAGACAGTCAGTCAGACAGACAGTACACCTGCAGACAGTCAGTCAGACAGACAGACAGTACACCTGCAGACAGACAGACAGACAGACAGAGAGTACACCTGTAGACAGTCAGTCAGACAGACAGACAGTACACCTGCAGACAGACAGACAGACAGAGAGTACACCTGTAGACAGTCAGTCAGACAGACAGACAGAGAGTACACCTGTAGACAGTCAGTCAGACAGACAGACAGTACACCTGAGGACAGTCAGTCAGACAGACAGACAGTCCACCTGTAGACAGACAGACAGACAGTCCACCTGCAGACAGACAGTCCACCTGCAGACAGACAGACAGACAGTCCACCTGTAGACAGTCAGTCAGACAGACAGACAGTCCACCTGCAGACAGACAGACAGACAGACAGTCCACCTGCAGACGGACAGACAGACAGACAGTCCACCTGTAGACAGTCAGTCAGACAGACAGACAGTCCACCTGCAGACAGACAGACAGACAGACAGTCCACCTGCAGACGGACAGACAGACAGACAGTCCACCTGCAGACAGACAGACAGGCAGTCCACCTGTAGACAGTCAGTCAGACAGACAGACAGTCCACCTGCAGACAGACAGACAGACAGACAGTCCACCTGCAGACAGACAGACAGACAGACAGTCCACCTGCAGACAGAAAGACAGACAGTACACCTATAGACAGTCAGTCAGACAGACAGACAGGCAGTACACCTGTAGACAGACAGTCAGACAGACAGACAGTACACCTGTAGACAGTCAGTCAGACAGACAGTACACCTGCAGACAGACAGACAGAGAGTACACCTGTAGACAGTCAGTCAGTCAGACAGACAGTACACCTGTAGACAGTCAGTCAGACAGACAGACAGTACACCTGCAGACAGACAGACAGAGAGTACACCTGTAGACAGTCAGTCAGTCAGACAGACAGTACACCTGTAGACAGTCAGTCAGACAGACAGTACACCTGCAGACAGTCAGTCAGACAGACAGACAGTACACCTGCAGACAGACAGACAGACAGACAGACAGACAGTACACCTGCAGACAGACAGACAGACAGACAGAGAGTACACCTGTAGACAGTCAGTCAGACAGACAGACAGTACACCTGCAGACAGACAGACAGACAGACAGAGAGTACACCTGTAGACAGTCAGTCAGACAGACAGACAGTACACCTGTAGACAGTCAGTCAGACAGACAGACAGAGAGTCCACCTGTAGACAGACAGTCAGTCAGACAGACAGAGAGTACACCTGTAGACAGTCAGTCAGACAGACAGACAGTACACCTGTAGACAGTCAGTCAGACAGACAGACAGTCCACCTGCAGACAGACAGACAGACAGTCAGTCCACCTGCAGACAGAAAGACAGACAGACAGACAGACAGTCCACCTGTAGACAGTCAGTCAGACAGACAGACAGACAGTCCACCTGTAGACAGACAGTCAGTCAGACAGACAGAGAGTACACCTGTAGACAGTCAGTCAGACAGACAGACAGTACACCTGAGGACAGTCAGTCAGACAGACAGACAGTCCACCTGCAGACAGACAGACAGACAGTCAGTCCACCTGCAGACAGAAAGACAGACAGACAGACAGACAGTCCACCTGCAGACAGACAGTCCACCTGCAGACAGACAGTCCACCTGCAGGAAGACAGACAGACAGTACACCTGCAGACAGACAGACAGACAGTCCACCTGCAGACAGACAGACAGACAGTCCACCTGTAGACAGACAGACAGACAGACAGACAGTCCACCTGCAGACAGACAGACAGACAGACAGTCCACCTGCAGACAGACAGACAGACAGACAGACAGTCCACCTGAAGACAGACAGACAGACAGACAGTACACCTGTAGACAGACAGACAGACAGTCAGTCCACCTGCAGACAGACAGACAGACAGTCAGTCCACCTGCAGACAGACAGACAGACAGTCAGTCCACCTGCAGACAGAAAGACAGACAGTCCACCTGTAGACAGACAGACAGACAGTCCACCTGCAGACAGACAGTCCACCTGTAGACAGACAGACAGACAGTCCACCTGTAGACAGACAGACAGACAGTCCACCTGCAGACAGACAGACAGACAGGCAGTCCACCTGTAGACAGTCAGACAGACAGTACACCTATAGACAGTCAGTCAGACAGACAGACAGGCAGTCCACCTGTAGACAGACAGTCAGACAGACAGACAGTCCACCTGAAGACAGACAGACAGACAGACAGACAGTACACCTATAGACAGTCAGTCAGACAGACAGACAGGCAGTCCACCTGTAGACAGACAGTCAGACAGACAGACAGTCCACCTGAAGACAGACAGACAGACAGACAGACAGTACACCTATAGACAGTCAGTCAGACAGACAGACAGACAGGCAGTACACCTGTAGACAGACAGTCAGACAGACAGACAGTCCACCTGAAGACAGACAGACAGACAGACAGTCCACCTATAGACAGTCAGTCAGAAAGACAGACAGGCAGTACACCTGTAGACAGTCAGTCAGACAGACAGTACACCTGTAGACAGACAGACAGTCCACCTGCAGACAGACAGACAGACAGTACACCTATAGACAGTCAGTCAGAAAGACAGACAGACAGTACACCTGTAGACAGACAGACAGACAGACAGACAGTACACCTGCAGACAGACAGACAGAAAGACAGACAGACAGTACACCTGTAGACAGTCAGTCAGACAGACAGACAGTACACCTGCAGACAGACAGACAGACAGACCGTACACCTGCAGACAGTCAGACAGACAGACAGACAGTCCACCTGCAGAAAAACAGACAGACAGTACACCTGTAGACAGTCAGACAGACAGACCGTACACCTGCAGACAGACAGACAGACAGTACACCTGTAGACAGTCAGTCAGACAGACAGACAGTACACCTGCAGACAGTCAGACAGACAGTACACCTGTAGACAGTCAGACAGACAGACAGACAGTACACCTGCAGACAGACAGACAGACAGACAGACAGTACACCTGCAGACAGTCAGTCAGACAGACAGACAGTACACCTGCAGACAGTCAGTCAGACAGACAGACAGTACACCTGTAGACAGACAGACAGTACACCTGCAGACAGTCAGTCAGACAGACAGACAGTACACCTGCAGACAGACAGTCAGACAGACAGACAGTACACCTGTAGACAGACAGACAGACAGTACACCTGCAGACAGACAGACAGAACACCTGCAGACAGTCAGTCAGACAGACAGACAGTACACCTGTAGACAGTCAGTCAGACAGACAGACAGTACACCTGTAGACAGACAGACAGAACACCTGCAGACAGTCAGTCAGACAGACAGACAGTACACCTGCAGACAGACAGTCAGACAGACAGACAGTACACCTGCAGACAGACAGTCAGACAGACAGACAGTACACCTGTAGACAGACAGACAGACAGTACACCTGCAGACAGTCAGTCAGACAGACAGACAGTACACCTGCAGACAGACAGACAGACAGTACACCTGCAGACAGACAGACAGACAGTACACCTGCAGACAGTCAGTCAGACAGACAGACAGTACACCTGTAGACAGACAGACAGAACACCTGCAGACAGACAGACAGACAGTACACCTGTAGACAGACAGACAGTACACCTGCAGACAGTCAGTCAGACAGACAGACAGTACACCTGTAGACAGACAGACAGAACACCTGCAGACAGACAGACAGACAGTACACCTGTAGACAGACAGACAGTACACCTGTAGACAGACAGACAGAACACCTGCAGACAGACAGACAGAACACCTGTAGACAGACAGACAGACAGTAAACCTGCAGACAGACAGACAGACAATCAGTACACCTGTAGACAGACAGACAGACAGACAATCAGTACACCTGCAGACAGACAGACAGACAGACAGTACACCTGTAGACAGACAGACAGACAGACAGACAGACAGTCCACCTGCAGACAGACAGACAGACAGACAGTACACCTGTAGACAGACAGACAGACAGACAGACAGACAGTCCACCTGCAGACAGACAGACAGACAGACAGACAGACAGAACACCTGCAGACAGACAGACAGACAGTACACCTGTAGACAGACAGACAGAACACCTGTAGACAGACAGACAGAACACCTGTAGACAGTCAGTCAGACAGACAGACAGTACACCTGTAGACAGTCAGTCAGACAGACAGACAGAACACCTGTAGACAGTCAGTCAGACAGACAGACAGTACACCTGTAGACAGACAGAGAGTACACCTGTAGACAGTCAGTCAGACAGACAGAGAGTACACCTGTAGACAGACAGACAGACAGAGAGTACACCTGTAGACAGACAGACAGACAGTAAACCTGCAGACAGACAGACAGACAGACAGTACACCTGTAGACAGACAGACAGACAGACAGACAGACAGACAGTCCACCTGCAGACAGACAGACAGTCCACCTGCAGACAGACAGACAGTCCACCTGCAGACAGACAGACAGTCCACCTGCAGACAGACAGACAGACAGACAGACAGTACACCTGCAGACAGACAGACAGACAGACAGACAGTCCATCTGCAGACAGTCAGTCACCTCGTCCACTGTCCTCAGGCCGTGGATGCACCTGGCCGTCTGCAGAGGGAGCTCCTGGCTGTAGACAATCTGATTGGCTGAGATGATGTCGTTAACACACCTGTCTACCTGCTGCAGCTGAGAAACGCTCAGTGAACCCTGAAGAGGACAAACAGACAGACGGTAACAGTCAGAGGCATCACCTGTCCAGCTGCACGCACACCGCACACTGGTTGTTTACTGGTTGCTTACTGGTTGGTGGCTGGTTACTGGTTGGGTACTGATTGGTTACTGATTAGTTACTGGTTGGTTATTGACTGGTTGGTTTGTTGGTTACTGACTGGTTACTGACTGGTTACTGACTGGTTACTGACTGGTTACTGGTTTGTTACTGACTGGTTACTGGTTTGTTACTAACTGGTTACTGGTTGGTTACTGACTGGTTACTGGTTGGTTACTGGTTTGTTACTGACTGGTTACTGGTTTGTTACTAACTGGTTACTGGTTGGTTACTGACTGGTTACTGGTTGGTTACTGGTTTGTTACTAACTGGTTACTGGTTGGTTACTGACTGGTTACTGGTTGGTTACTGGTTTGTTACTGACTGGTTACTGGTTTGTTACTGACTGGTTACTGGTTAGTTACTGACTGGTTACTGACTGGTTACTGGTTTGTTACTGACTGGTTACTGGTTTGTTACTGACTGGTTACTGGTTTGTTACTGACTGGTTACTGACTGGTTACTGACTGGTTACTGGTTTGTTACTGACTGGTTACTGGTTTGTTACTAACTGGTTACTGGTTTGTTACTGACTGGTTACTGACTGGTTACTGGTTTGTTACTGACTGGTTACTGGTTTGTTACTGACTGGTTAGTTACTAACTGGTTACTGGTTGGTTACTGACTGGTTACTGGCTGGTTACTGACTGGTTACTGGCTGGTTACTGGCTGGTTACTGGCTGGTTACTGGCTGGTTACTGACTGGTTACTGGCTGGTTACTGACTGGTTATTGACTGGTTACTGGTTGGTTACTGACTGGTTACTGACTGGTTACTGACTGGTTACTGGTTGGTTACTGACTGGTTACTGGTTGGTTACTGACTGGTTACTGACTGGTTACTGATTGGTTATTGACTGGTTACTGACTGGTTACTGACTGGTTACTGGTTGGTTACTGACTGGTTACTGACTGGTTACTGGTTGGTTACTGACTGGTTACTGACTGGTTACTGGTTGGTTACTGGCTGGTTACTGGCTGGTTACTGGCTGGTTACTGATTGGTTACTGGTTAGTTACTGACTGGTTAGTTACTGACTGGTTACTGACTGGTTACTGGTTGGTTACTAGTTGATTACTGGTTGGTTACTGACTGGTTACTGGTTGGTTACTGACTGGTTACTGGTTAGTTATTGACTGGTTACTGGCTGGTTACTGATTGGTTACTGGCTGGTTACTGATTGGTTACTGATTGGTTATTGACTGGTTACTGGTTAGTTACTGACTGGTTACTGACTGGTTACTGGTTGGTTACTGACTGGTTACTGGTTGGTTACTGACTGGTTACTGGTTTGTTACTGACTGGTTACTGGTTTGTTACTGACTGGTTACTGGTTGGTTACTGACTGGTTACTGGTTTGTTACTGACTGGTTACTGGTTTGTTACTAACTGGTTACTGGTTTGTTACTGACTGGTTACTGACTGGTTACTGACTGGTTACTGGTTGGTTACTGACTGGTTACTGGTTGGTTACTGACTGGTTACTGGTTTGTTACTGACTGGTTACTGGTTGGTTACTGACTGGTTACTGGCTGGTTACTGATTGGTTACTGGTTAGTTACTGACTGGTTACTGACTGGTTACTGGTTGGTTACTGGTTAGTTACTGACTGGTTACTGACTGGTTACTGGTTGGTTACTAGTTGATTACTGGTTGGTTACTGACTGGTTACTGGTTGGTTACTGACTGGTTACTGGTTGGTTACTGACTGATTACTGGTTTGTTACTGACTGGTTACTGGTTGGTTACTGACTGGTTACTGGTTTGTTACTGACTGGTTACTGGTTTGTTACTAACTGGTTACTGGTTTGTTACTGACTGGTTACTGACTGGTTACTGGTTGGTTACTGACTGGTTACTGGTTGGTTACTGACTGGTTACTGGTTGGTTACTGACTGGTTACTGGTTGGTTACTGGTTTGTTACTGACTGGTTACTGGTTGGTTACTGACTGGTTACTGGCTGGTTACTGATTGGTTACTGGTTAGTTACTGACTGGTTACTGACTGGTTACTGGTTGGTTACTGGTTAGTTACTGACTGGTTACTGACTGGTTACTGGTTGGTTACTAGTTGATTACTGGTTGGTTACTGACTGGTTACTGGTTGGTTACTGACTGGTTACTGGTTGGTTACTGACTGGTTACTGGTTAGTTACTGACTGGTTACTGACTGGTTACTAGTTGATTACTGGTTGGTTACTGATTAGTTACTGATTAGTTACTGGTTGGTTACTGGTTAGTTACTGACTGGTTACTGACTGGTTACTGGTTGGTTACTGGTTGGTTACTAGTTGATTACTGGTTGGTTACTGACTGGTTACTGGTTGGTTACTGACTGGTTACTGGTTGGTTACTGACTGGTTACTGGTTAGTTACTGACTGGTTACTGACTGGTTACTGACTGGTTACTAGTTGATTACTGGTTGGTTACTGATTAGTTACTGATTAGTTACTGGTTGGTTATTGACTGGCTTGTTGGTGGTTAGATGTTTGACCTTGACACTGAAGTCGAAGCGGAGGCGATCAGCTGACACATGAGATCCTCTCTGCTTAACTGAGAGACCCAGAACTTCCCTCAGAGCAAAGTTCAGGACGTGAGTCGCTGTGTGGTTCACCATGCAGGACAACCTGTGGACCTGAGGACACACAGAGACACCACAGTGAAATAAACTCACCTGAGCCACACCTGGACTCAGTTCACCTCTTTATACTTTAATAAATGGACAGATCCAGCACTTTTTCACAGGCTGTCTCTTCACCACCTGTCTGACTGCTGAAGGCGTTTACCTGCTTTATTAACAGAAATATAAATCACATGTAAGTCGTTACTTTCTCCAGTAATAAGATGTTTTAAGTTCTATCCACTGGGATCTTTGTGATATGTGTGTTCCCTATTTCTTTATCTCATTGTCCACGTCAGCAGAGCTTTATTCCTCTCCTGTATGTCTTGATGCGTCCTGAGGGTCCAGGGTCCATTTCAGTAAATCAATATGTGTTCAATATATAAAAATCCAGAGTCCATAAATGACCTATTAATTCTTCATGTCCTACGAGACAATGCATTTTGTTTCGGGGACATCACGTGTGCACCGCTCTGATGTTATCTTGTTAATGTTACTGACAGCTTCCTGTGCAGACCTGTCTCAGTGACAAATGATCTATTGTAAAACTGTTGGGTGGTACGTGTCCACACATCCTGAGCTCATTAACACAAAGACATTCAGGAAATTCACGCTAAGCTGCTGACTGGTTCGTAAATGTGGTCAGTGAATCAGGAGGAAAAGAGACGAGCAGCCAAAGCGGATTCAAAATGGCCGAAATGCTCGACTTCAAGCGAGTAAACGGATTTTACCAGACTGTGAGATGACAGAGAGGAAGTCACGGCATCGCGCACTAAAAACCAGAGAGGTCAGAGTTTGGAGGTACTAAGTTTAGGTGGTTATAATGTAATAACTGTGTACTACAGAGACTGAGTCGAGAGCTTTTCTGAGTGTTTCAGATGAGAGTAGGACAGAACGTGTCGTGTTTGGGAACCGTGGTTCCAGCGTTCAGCAGTGGACACTGATTCCCGTCAGTCTAAGGACACATTTCTGTAGCTGTCATTAGCAGAGATAGCGTGGGTGCATGGGGGCGGCCGACCCAGGGCCCCGGCTAGGTAGGGGCCCCCAGCATGGGCGCAAATGCATTGTCATTCGCTTGTAGACACGGCCGTGCAAGAAAATTGCTTTCCTTGGTGGGAGGTCAGTGCAGCCGTTCTTATCAAACGAAACAGGCTCTTCACTCCTGGTTTCAATAGTAAACCCACAGACTGCAGCCTGCATCAAAAAACACCACAAGAATGACCGTTATCAACAAAAAACACTAAATTCAAAACATTTAAAAAAACATAAATCACAAAGTAACTTTTGGAATTCAAACAAATAGTAGACTTATTAGCTAATTTTAACAAAACTCCCTTCACCGCCATGCATCATGGGAATTCTAAGGGACTGACTTAGGCTGCTCACCCTGGACTCACACAGGCGGCGTGTGCGCCGCGGTTTAGTTCCGTCCTCAACTTCCAGTGGCAGCCGAAGTGTTTCAGCAGCGCAGCGTGCAGCCTGCCAACGTTAATGACTTGTTTTTAATACGTCCTTTTTGTGCTTCTGCTTCCTTCTTCACAGCTCTGTGTGACCTGCTTTCAGAATAAGAGCGTTTTGCCTGATTTTGCAGACATGTTTTCAACATTTTGTTGATTTAGTGATAAGTTCTTGCTTTTTGACCTTCTGCTAAGTAGATACGTAGTTAAATTGTTTGTCTTTTCGGCCTCTTTAAACTGTCTTTATTGTTGATATACGATCGGGTATTTTATTTTGAAAATGGTTGCACAAGCATTGACTAGAGTGGCTGCGATCAGCACAGAGGCCCCCACTGTGCTGACAGTCTAGCTCCGCCCCCACTGTGCTGACAGTCTAGCTCCGCCCCCACTGTGCTGACAGTCTAGCTCCGCCCCCACTGTGCTGACAGTCTAGCTCCGCCCTAGCTTTGATCCGACCGTGCTGGATTTAAACAGCTCTGTCAGAAGTCTGTAATACCACACGTGTGCTTGGTGTTCACCTGGTCCAGGTATAGCTGGACCTGGTCTCCAGTCTTCAGGCTTTCGGCCGCAGTCACCTGATGGACCACGTACCCTCCCGCCTGGACCGCGGCCTCCACAGGGTACAGGATGTCCTGTGAGACACACAGCTGGAGTCAGACCTCACCTGGAAACAAAACAGGTCAACTTCCCATGATGCATTTCCCCTCTGAGCGGTCAGCTGACCTGCAGTCCGTCCCGGGTGAAGTAGCCCTGGTCATGTGACTGCCCCCCCTGCTCAGAGTAGAAACAGGTTTGATCCAGGATGACGCCGCAGCGCTGTCCCTCACTGACCTCGGACACCAGAGTCTGACCGTCATACAGAGCCAGCACTGTTGCACGGCATGCTGGGAACACTGGGGGGAGGACAAACAAGGGTTACCTGTCTGACCTGGACTCAGAGGCTCAGGTGAGGAATCTGCAGCGCGTGGTTCTGGACAGGGGTGTTACCTGTCCAGGTCGTACCGTATCTGTCCTGCTCCAGTCTGTACCGGTATTTCAGGCTGTCGTCAGTGTGAGGAACTCCGAGCCGCTGCAGCTCTGCCAGGCTGAGGACGTCCACCGCCACCTGAGGCTGGGCGCCATGAAGGTCAGACCTCACCTGAGAGACAGAGAGACAGGTGCTGCATTACGTCACCAACACACAGCTATCTACACAGTAAGAGCCCTCCGTCTCCTTCACAGTAAGAGCCCTCCGTCTCCTTCACAGTAAGAGCCCTCCGTCTCCTTCACAATAAAAGCCCTCCGTCTCCTTCACAGTAAGAGCCCTCCGTCTCCTTCACAGTAAGAGCCCTCCGTCTCCTTCACAATAAAAGCCCTCCGTCTCCTTCACAGTAAGAGCCCTCCGTCTCCTTCACAGTAAGAGCCCTCCGTCTCCTTCACAATAAAAGCCCTCTGTCTCTTCACCTTGTGGTTCTCTGCGATCAGGCGGTCCAGCTCCTGACGGTCCACCTGGACTCCTCTCTCCTCCAACATCAGGTCCACCAGGTCCAGAGGGAAACCCAGGTCCCTGTGCAGAGACCAGGCCACCGAGGCTGTTAGAAACACACACACGCCACGTTTAACTGGACTTCCTCCGGGACAACGTTTCAAACTTCTGCAGGAACTGAAAGTTAGGTCTGTTTCTGTCCCGTGTGCTGCTCTGAACTGTGAGATGGAGTTTGGAGTTAAAAGAAAACATTGACTGAAAGAACATGCTGCAGCCAAACCTACAGCTTCGATGAGCAAGGCGTGGGATTGGCTGGCAAATTCCTGTTTGACCCTTAAAACAGTTCCCAGCGAGGATTTATAAAGTACTTAGATGTGAAGTCATCACGTCTAAATATTTAGGCATTAGAATTGATACAAGCTAGTAGTCATCCAGACTGTTAACTTTAATCTGAACACTTTTAAGAGTATTACACATCATTTGTCACCGTTTGCTGCAAAACTTGTTGTTCACACAATGATTTTTCCCATCTGTCACCTGTGTAACATCCTGGTCACAGGCAGGTGTGACTAGGCTCAAGCCCATCATCTCGCTCTACAGACAAATTCTAAAAGTACTAAAGCATCCTGAGGATTATCATCACGTAACATCTTGAAATCATCTTTATTCCGATGCATCATCTCGCACCCCCTCCTCTCAGAGGATGCATGGCCAGCAGAACTAGAGCAGGGGTTTTCACTGTCTGAGACTGGGGGCCTCCCCTCAGACCAAGCTTGGGAAACGGGGCCCCCCCACCGCATCTTGGTAAGTCTCGCTCAGTTCCTGGACGCCTCTGGGACCGTGATTACAGTAGGAGCGTCTGAGCTGACTTAACGTTAAGGGTGCTGGACTTAAAATAAGGCATGCTGGTTCGCTGCAAAACGTCCCCATGTCACATGACTCGCGGGAGCAAGGCGGCTGCAGGGAACCTCACTATCGCCTGAGATCAATGATCTCAGCTCACAGCAAGTTGATGCAGGTAGAATGTGTCCGACCGGCGCCGTTTTTATTCCCCGCCCCCGCTGTCACCTGCAGCTCGTGTTAGACAATCAAGTCGGCGAAAGTCAGCCGGCATCATCTTGAACACACCTATTATCTGATCCCATAGACTTTCAACATGTGAGCCAGAATAGCCTGATACTGCTGTTTGACAGAACTTCTGATCATTTGATCATTTACATTTATTTGACGCTTTTATCCAAAGCGACTTACAATTGCTATACATGTCTGAGGTCGCACGCCTCTGGAGCTACGAGGGGTTAAGAGTCCTGCTCAGGATGGATCACAGTGGGGGACTGAACACCACAGGCATAGTCTTATCCATCTCCACCACTTCTGACTGCGGCAAATGGTTTTAAAAAGCTCCGTCCTGAGGCTTTGATCTCTTTCAGACTCTGATGGGGGGAAACGGGTCCCAGAATCTACTCTGAGCTCTCACTCATGCAGCCTGTTCTGTGTGATCTCCTTTTGATAACTGACGCAATCAGTGATGAGATATTGTTTCACTTCCGTTCACTGAGCCTCCCCTGAAGCTGTTCAGAGCCCCCTGCGGAGGCCCGAGAACCTGAACTAGAGCCGCTACTAGTTACCGCAATTTAGAAAGACAGCCTTCGGTCAATCGCCTTTCTCTGTTACCGTAGAGGGAAAGTGGAATTCCAAACCCACAAACACTCAGGACGTTTGGCGGTGGTTAAAGCCAGCCTCAGGCTTTGGCTAAAATCACCACAGGAGTGTCACCATTTGTGACCAGTGAGTTTTTATTAATTCCACGTTGATGGACAGAATGTATTTTGTTATTTTATGTAGTGCATTTGTGGTTTTGTGTCCTTTCTTTTGTTTTGTCTGCCCAGGGACAACAGATGCAAATTAGCAGCTAGCTAACTCTGGTGTGCGCTGTCCCTGTCAGATAAACAGTAAATCAGCCAAGTGAATGACGCGTGTTTAACTTGAGCTAAACATTCAGCAGCATCAGCACCAAAACGGCGGCTGTAACACGGTGGATCGATACATTTGAGAATCACAACCCAAGCGAAATGACACCAGCCACGTGTTTTTTACCCCCATTCATGTTAGCGGAGCGCTAAACCGGAAGTTAGCCTGCTCGGCCGGGAAAAGTCAGCACAGTGGAAGCTGTAGCGCTGCTGCAGACTAGTGTTTGGGGGTGTAATTGCAGAATGACGGACACGCCTACGCACAGGTATAAATGCCTGGCAATGTGCGTAGCCTACGGCGTAGGTACGCACGTAGCCCCTACGCAGGAGTATGACTCAACAGACCACAGCTGGGTCACACACTGAGACCTCTGACAGCGTGGAACCCTGGGAAACTGACCGGGAAAGACTCCATGTTTGTAGTCCTTCTTGCTGAGCGTCCGGTGGATCAGCCTGCTGCCCTGCTGCAGAGACGACAGGAAGTGAGCCTCGTTCTCGTTGATGACGTCCACAATCTGAAAGAACACCGGCTGTCAGTCGACCCCTGCTGATGACAACTTCCTGTCCAGTAAACCCATCAGGAGGAGTCCACTCCCCCCGCACGTGATCCACAACATGTTCTGCACTATGGTACTCACCCGGTCCACCTCCCTGTGCAGCTCCGGATACACGTCCCCCTGCAGCACAGGAAGTCAATCCATCAATCCATCCAATCCATCCATCCACCAATCCATCCATCCCTCCCTCCAATCCATCCATCCATCAACCAATCCATCCATCCATCAACCAATCCATCCATCCCTCCCTCCAAACCATCCATCCATTAACCAATCCATCCATCCATTAACCAATCCATCCATCCCTCCCTCCAAACATCCATCCATTAACCAATCCATCCCTCCCTCCAATCCATCCATCCCTCCCTCCAAACCATCCATCCATTAACCAATCCATCCATCCATTAACCAATCCATCCCTCCCTCCCTCCAAACCATCCATCCATTAACCAATCCATCCCTCCCTCCAATCCATCCATCCCTCCCTCCAAACCATCCATCCATTAACCAATCCATCCATCCATTAACCAATCCATCCCTCCCTCCAATCCATCCCTCCCTCCAATCCATCCATCCCTCCCTCCAATCCATCCATCCATCAACCAATCCATCCATCCATTAACCAATCCATCCATCCCTCCCTCCAATCCATCCATCCATTAACCAATCCATCCACCAATCCCTCCAATCCATCCACCAATCCATCCATCCCTCCCTCCAATCCATCCATCCATCCACCAATCCCTCCCTCCACCCATCCATCCATCCATCCCTCCCTCCAATCCATCCATCCCTCCCTCCAATCCATCCATCCACCCATCCCTCCACCAATCCATCCACCCATCCCTCCACCAACCCATCCATCCACACATCCCTCCCTCCAATCCATCCATCCACCCACCCATCCATCCACCAACCAATCCATCCCTCAACCCCTCCATCCATCCATCAATGCATCCCTCCATCCACCAATGCATCCCTCAATCCATCCATCCAATCCATCCATCCATCCCTCCCTCCAATCCATCCATCCATCCATCAACCAATCCATCCATCCATCCATCCACCCATCCCTCCCTCCAATCCATCCATCCCTTCATCCACCCATCCATCCATCCATCAACCAATCCATCCATCCATCCACCAATCCATCCATCCCTCCCTCCAATCCATCCATACCTCCAATCCATCCATCCACCCATCCCTCCACCAATCCATCCATCCACCCATCCCTCCCTCCAATCCATCCATCCATCCACCAATGCATCCCTCCATCCACCAATGCATCCCTCAATCCATCCATCCATCCAATCCATCCATCCATCCATCCCTCCATCCACCAATCCATCCATCCAACCAATCCATCCATCCATCCATCCCTCAACCCCTCCATCCCTGAACCCCTCCATCCATCCATCCAATCCATCCATCCCTCCATCCATCCGATCCATCAATCCATCCATCCCTCAATCCATCCATCCATCCCTCAATCAAATCCATCCATCCATCCATCCATCCCTCAACCACTCCATCCCTCAACCCCTCCATCCATCCATCCATCCATCCATCCCTCCATTCCTCAATCCATCAATCCCTCCATCCATCCCTCAATCCATCCATCCAATCCATCAACCCATCCATCCCTCAATTCCTCCATCCATCCATCCATCCATCCCTCCCTCCAATCCATCCATCCCTCCAATCCATCCATCCACCCATCCCTCCAATCCATCCATCCATCCATCCATCCCTCCACCAATCCATCCATCCACACATCCCTCCCTCCAATCCATCCATCCACCCACCCATCCATCCACCAACCAATCCATCCCTCAATCCCTCCATCCATCCATCCACCAATGCATCCCTCCATCCACCAATGCATCCCTCAATCCATCCATCCAATCCATCCATCCATCCCTCCATCCATCCCTCCCTCCAATCCATCCCTCCATCCACCAATCCATCCCTCCATCCACCAATCCATCCATCCATCCATCCATCCATCCCTCAACCCCTCCATCCCTCAACCCCTCCATCCCTCCATCCATCCGATCCATCAATCCATCCATCCCTCAATCCATCCATCCATCCCTCAACCCCTCCATCCCTCAACCCCTCCATCCATCCATCCATCCCATCCATCAACCCATCCATCCCTCAATTCCTCAATCCCTCCATCCATCCCTCCATCCATCCAATCCATCAATCCCTCCATCCATCCCTCAATCCATCAACCCATCCATCCCTCCATCCATCCATTCCTCAATCCCTCCATCCATCCATCCATCCATCCATCCCTCAATCCCTCCATCCATCCATCAATCCATCCATCCCTCAATCCATCCATCCATCAATCCATCCATCCCTCAATCCCTCCATCCATCCCTCAATCCCTCCATCCATCCCTCAATCCCTCCATCAATCCATCCATCCCTCAATCCCTCCATCCATCCATCAATCCCTCCATCCCTCAATCCCTCCATCCATCAATCCATCCATCCATCAATCCATCCATCCCTCAATCCCTCCATCCATCCATCCATCCATATCTGGTCCCTGCACGTTCTAGATGTTCTGATCTTTTCTTCTTCTCCTTTACGTTCGGATGTAAAATGTTTTTCATTACCTTCCTGGTCAGAGGGTTTATGGGAAATGTATTTTACCAGTATGTGGACGACAGTTGGAACCAGGCTGGCCAGCGTCCCCTGAGGAGCCTGAAGGACCTCGACACAGAACCGGACCGCCCGCCGCAGGATCCTCCTCAACACCAACCTGATACACAGAAGATACACAACAAGTACACAAAGAGTACACATCAGTACTGCAGCAGGATGGCACACACTACTATTAACAGCTGTGTATCTGAAGGCTGACAGCTGATTGGCTGTCCATCGTGTTCCGACAGCTGATTGGTCGACACTCACTCTGCCCCCGACATGCCCGGGTGAACGCCGTCAGCGATGCAGACCGATAAAGCGCGGACGTGGTCAGCTACCACTCGGTACGCCATGTCCACCCTCCCCTGGTCCGCTGCGCCCGTCCTGCCGCCGTACGACCCCGCCCTCGACTTCTGAGGACACACATCGCCACGACAACAGGAAGCTGTCAATCAGAGCCATCCACACCTGAGAGACCACAGGTAACCACAGAGCCTGCGGCCTGACGAGCAGGTCTACTCACGGTCCTCGTGTACTCTGTGTGTACTCTGTGTACCTGGTGTCGTATGTACTCTGTGTGTACTCTGTGTACCTGGTGTTGTGTGTACTTTGTGTACTCTGTGTACCTGGTGTTGTATGTACTCTGTGTACCTGGTGTTGTGTGTACTTTGTGTACTCTGTGTACCTGGTATTGTATGTACTCTGTGTACCTGGTGTTGTGTGTACTTTGTGTACTCTGTGTACCTGGTGTTGTATGTACTTTGTGTACTCTGTGTACCTGGTATTGTGTGTACTCTGTGTACCTGGTGTTGTGTGTACTTTGTGTACCTGGTGTTGTGTGTACTTTGTGTACTCTGTACCTGGTGTTGTGTGTACTCTGTGTACCTGGTGTTGTGTGTACTTTGTGTACTCTGTGTACCTGGTATTGTATGTACTCTGTGTACCTGGTGTTGTGTGTACTTTGTGTACTCTGTGTACCTGGTGTTGTATGTACTTTGTGTACTCTGTGTACCTGGTATTGTGTGTACTCTGTGTACCTGGTGTTGTGTGTACTTTGTGTACTCTGTACCTGGTGTTGTGTGTACTTTGTGTACTCTGTGTACCTGGTGTTGTGTGTACTTTGTGTACTCTGTGTACCTGGTATTGTATGTACTCTGTGTACCTGGTGTTGTGTGTACTTTGTGTACTCTGTGTACCTGGTGTTGTATGTACTTTGTGTACTCTGTGTACCTGGTATTGTGTGTACTCTGTGTACCTGGTGTTGTGTGTACTCTGTGTACCTGGTGTTGTGTGTACTCTGTGTACCTGGTGTTGTGTGTACTTTGTGTACTCTGTACCTGGTGTTTTGTGTACTCTGTGTACCTGGTGTTGTGTGTACTTTGTGTACTCTGTGTACCTGGTGGATGGCGTGGAGCAGCGGGGCGAAGAGGTCGGTGTCGTAGTTTGACCTTTGACCCTGCAGGACGCTCACCAGTCTCTCCAGTCCCATCCCAGTATCCACACTGAACTGGGGCAGCAGCTGCAGACCCTGGTCCACCTCCCTGACCCAGCACACCCCGAAACACAACCCGTTACACCAGGAGCAGACCAGAACCACCAGCGGACTGCGGTTCATACTGGGCTGAACTGGTTTTATGTGGATCAGGTTCTGGTCCAGGTGTGTGTATGAACTGGTTTTATGTGGATCAGGCTCTGGTCCAGGTGTGTGTATGAACTGGTTTTATGTGGATCGGGTTCTGGTATATTAACTGGTTTTATGTGGATCAGGTTCTGGTCCAGGTGTGTGTATGAACTGGTTTTATGTGGATCAGGCTCTGGTCCAGGTGTGTGTATGAACTGGTTTTATGTGGATCGGGTTCTGGTCCAGGTGTGTGTATGAACTGGTTTTATGTGAATCGGGTTCTGGTGTATGAACTGGTTTTATGTGGATCGGGTTCTGGTATATTAACTGGTTTCATGTGGATCAGGCTCTGGTCCAGGTGTGTGTATGAACTGGTTTTATGTGAATCGGGTTCTGGTGTATGAACTGGTTTTATGTGGATCAGGCTCTGGTCCAGGTGTGTGTATGAACTGGTTTTATGTGGATCAGGCTCTGGTCCAGGTGTGTGTATGAACTGGTTTTATGTGAATCGGGTTCTGGTGTATGAACTGGTTTTATGTGGATCGGGTTCTAGTCCAGGTGTGTGTATGAACTGGTTTTATGTGGATCGGGTTCTGGTGCATGAACTGGTTTTATGTGGATCAGGTTCAGGTCCAGGTGTAGTAACCTGTTGTACTGCATGAAGACCAGGTTCCAGATCTCCACCACGTCAGGACTGTCAGCGTTGACGAGCGCCGCGGCGTCTCGTCCTCCCACATGGTCGTAGTGGATCTCGGTGCAGGGGCCACAGGGGCCCGAGTCCCCCATCTCCCAGAAGTTCTCCTTCAGGCCGAACGGAAGGAGGCGACCCGGAGGGACCCTGAGGAGGAGCGGGACCGTCAGAGACTCAGACCTGGACAGGGGGTCCACACACAGCGGGACAGGGACTCACCCGATGTCCAACCAGATGTTCCGCGTCTCGTGGTCGGCAGGAAGACCCGACGCCGCGTCTCCGGCGAAATACGACACGTACAGGCGGTCTGCAGGTATCCCATAATGCTCAGTGAGGAGGCTCCACGCCATCTGACACGCCTCCTCCTGTACAGACACACAGACAGAGTACGTCATGTGACGCTCAACAGTTTCCTCCGCCCCCCGCCCCCTAAACAGGAAGCGCCCCCCACCTTGAAGTAGTCTCCGAAGGACCAGTTCCCCAGCATCTCGAAGAAGGTGTGGTGGTGCAGGTCCCGGCCCACGTCCTCCAGGTCGTTGTGTTTGCCGCCGGCTCGGACGCACTTCTGACTGTTGGCCACTCGGCGGTACGAGGCCATCTCGCTGCGGGGGTCCACGGTCCCCAGGAAGACCGGCTTAAACTGGAACCAGAGTCCACAGAGAGCAGGCGTTGTGAGGTACCAACAGGCTACGTGTACTGCGTTACGAGAACTCAAGGAACGTTTTGCAGTAAACTGTACTCTGTTTTTACTCGAGCAGACGTGTCCCGGGTCAGCCGGGACCAGCTGTCCTGGGACTGACCTGGGACCAGCTGTCCCGGGTTAGCTGGTCCCAGGGCAGTACCAGGACAGCTGGTCCCGGGACAGCTGGTCCCGGGACTCTGTGCTTTGGTTCCTGCAGCTGATATTTACAGGTGAACATTTCCTAATTTTACTCACACATATTTGTTGTATAGATTTAATCACATTGTTTGTGAAGTGATCACTGTTTGAAGTGTTGACAAAAAAAAAAATCAGCCTTTAAACTCAAAAGAAATTAAAGCTGCAAGCAGCGTTGGGCGGGCCCTCGCACTTGTAAGCGCGTCCGCGCGTGACTCGGCCGAGTTGCATATTCTGGAGCTCTGCCGGTGCGGCTGTGAATTTGCTACGCGGTTATGACGCCGCATGAAGGTGCTATATGTCACTTCCTGTGTCCCCTATGTGGAGCTACATAGCACTTGCCGCTATGAATATAAATCGGTATTGGCGTGTAGATGTCTGCGGGGTGGGAGAGTTATCAAGCACGTAAAGTTTGTTTCAGATGTGAGCATGTACACTGAACAATAATGTACCCAAACAATAAAATAAATTCCTTTTATATTTCCCTGCCTTGTTGTTTATGTGTACATACAGAGGAAGAATGTGAGAACAGCACACATTTCATCGTTACTGTGTGTTAGAGCATGGGAGAACAGTGGATACTTTTAATACAGCCCACACCCCTAATACTGTGTAACTATAACAAGTAGAGAACAGAAGAAAAAGATGTTCTTTCTTTACAACTGTCTGCATAGCTTATTCATATTGTGTAATGAATGAAAATAAATAGGCCTACTAGGCTCCTCTCTACTTTGACATTTAAGATTAGCTTGTTTGATCCACCTTCATACACATGTGACATTACTGTACAACTTGAGAAAGGTGAGTTGTTTTCTGCTCCAGCCTGCCTAAAAGAAAAGCGTTTTTGGGATTAAATGGACTTTTTTAGCTGCTGCAGTGCAGGATGAACTCAGAACAGACCCATTTCTCACCTTATTATTCTAGATCATGCAACGAAGAAGAAGAAATGCATAATAAATCCTGTCCACAAATACTGTACAGCATGTAGTCTGATGAACAAGACTTGTGTTATAGCTGACTTGGGCAGTGAAATGTTTAATTTTTTTAATTCATGTGGTCATAGTTGTCCACAACTCAAATCAGAATATAAGAAGAAATGTTTTATACCACCTCAAGAAGGCTTCCTATCAGAAAGGTAGGAAGGTATTTCAAATGTACAACTGCAGTACTTAAATCTAAGTAAAGTAATTTCCCTGACATTTTTGTGTTACTTTACTTTTAATAGACCCATGTAAGAGGTTTTATACGTCCTGTGAGTATAATCCAATCAATCTTATTTTCATACTGTATATCCGTTGTGTAATTTGATAAATTGTGTTGTATGTCGTGCTCGCATCTCAGAGAAGACTCTGACTGCAACATGCGTCTTTGTAAAGAGAGAAACGGACAGAAAAAGTCTCTAACTCTGCCTGTCAGCTCGCTCTGCTCCGTTAAAACTGAATTTACCATACAGAATTGAATACGAGTGCACTCCAGATTTAGCTGCAGCCAGCTGACCGTGTGCTTCTCCCTATACTGCAGTTCTGTGTCCATGCATGCAGCAAACTGAAAGCACTGTCTGTCGGAGCGTCTACATGAAAAGAGAAGGAAGACATTGCTGGTAGTATTGTCTTCAGAGTTGTTAAACACCTCAGCGCACTGAAGGAAGCCATCTGACTGTGTGAGGGGCAAGATCGTTGATGTCTGCAGGGAGAGTAGGAGCTCTCCAGTCTGACTGGTCCACCAATAGCAGAGAAGATGACCCCTTGAGACACAGCCCCTCCTCATTTGCATAATGAGGCAGAAATGCATACAAAAATTTAAAAAGGACTTTTTTGTGCGTCTGGACAAGATACACGTACCACAGAAAATTCGTGCACGTAGGTGAAACGTGCGGCAGGGGCTGCTTCGTTAAAGGTCACTTTCTGTTGCCAGCAGGTGGCGCTATGACTGTGGGTGAATGTCGGCATGTACATGTGTTCAGGGCGGGACTCTCATCCTACATGTACAGTTTGGTCCAGATGTGAGCATGTACACTGAAGTTACAACAACTTCCTGTTTCATGGCGAATCATCGACGCCACGGACACGCCCATTGACGAAAACGCGCAAATAGCACAACTTTTCATCGTCACTGCCTTTAGAAGGCACAGCAGAAATTTGACGTCGATCCGACTAAATCCCTAGGAGGAGTTCGTTAAAGTACGAAGTGTGTAAATCATCCAAAAATGGCCGTAAAATTCAAAATGGCCGACTTCCTGTTGACTTTAGGCTATGGGTTCTTGAGGCTTTTTTGTGCGTCTTGATACGATACATGTCCCCAGAAAATTTCGTACATGTAGGTTGAACGTGAACGAGGGGCTAATCATTTCCAATTTTCTAGGTGGCGCTAGCGAGTCATTTTGCCACGCCCATGTGCGAAACTTGTAGAATACGAAATTTTTCACCGGTTCTGACATGTTTGCAAATTTTGGTGAGTTTTCGAGTATGTTTAGGCCATGTCATTTGGGCCTACCTTGCAGAAAAAAGAAAAATATAATCCGAGCAAATTCAATAGGGACCTTGCACGGTCGTGCTCGGGCCCTAATAACGATTTGATACTTATCGTGATAATTATTGATATCGGAAGATATGAAACTTTTTATCGTGGTAGCATTTTTGGCCGTATCGTCCAGCCCTAGATCATCATTTGTTTGCTAAATTTCACTTTTTTACTTCTACTTGAGCACAGGTGTGACAGGTGTGACAGGTGAGCACAGGGTGTGACAGGTGAGCACAGGGTGTGACAGGTGAGCACAGGTGAGCACAGGTGAGCACAGGTGAGCACAGGGTGTGACAGGTGAGCACAGGGTGTGACAGGTGTGACAGGTGAGCACAGGTGTGACAGGTGAGCACAGGGTGTGACAGGTGTGACAGGTGAGCACAGGTGTGACAGGTGAGCACAGGGTGTGACAGGTGAGCACAGGGTGTGACAGGTGAGCACAGGTGAGCACAGGGTGTGACAGGTGAGCACAGGGTGTGACAGGTGAGCACAGGGGTGACAGGTGAGCACAGGGTGTGACAGGTGTGACAGGTGAGCACAGGGTGTGACAGGTGAGCACAGGGTGTGACAGGGGAGCACAGGTGTGACAGGGGAGCACAGGTGTGACAGGGGAGCACAGGGGAGCACAGGGGAGCACAGGTGTGACAGGTGAGCACAGGGGTGACAGGTGAGCACAGGGGTGACAGGTGAGCACAGGGTGTGACAGGTGTGACAGGTGAGCACAGGGTGTGACAGGTGAGCACAGGGTGTGACAGGGGAGCACAGGTGTGACAGGTGAGCACAGGTGTGACAGGGGAGCACAGGGTGTGACAGGTGTGACAGGGGAGCACAGGGGAGCACAGGTGTGACAGGGGAGCACAGGGGAGCACAGGGGAGCACAGGGTGTGACAGGTGAGCACAGGTGTGACAGGTGAGCACAGGTGTGACAGTCCCGCTTGTTCCTGTTGATCTGTGAACCAGAACTCAGTAAAAGGTTCTGGATCTCTGTTGTAACCGACTTTAACAAGCTGAAAATAAATGAGACTGAAACAAGACAAACTGTAAACATGTGTACTGTCACTAGTACTACTAGTATCCACGCGCGCGCGCAGCTCTGACAGGAAGCGCTCTTATTTTGAAATCGCTAGCTAACAAACCGGGACAGACCTGGACCGGACTGGGACCGGACCGGGTCCAAACTGACCTGGTTCATGCCGGCGTTGACGAACAGCAGGCTGGGGTCTCCTCGAGGCCGGACCGGGGAGGACGGAACCAGCAGGTGTCCGTGTTTCTGCCGGAAGTAGTCCATGAAGGTGCCGCGGACCCGGGCGGCAGAGAGGCCGCTGGAGGAGCGAGCTGAGCCGGCAGAGAGGAGCCCCGGAGCCCCGCTGAGGGGCCGGAGCCTCCGGAGGAGCAGCCTGAACATGTGGACCGCTCAGTTACCGACAGAACCGGGCTGAGCCTGAACCACGGTGACCCCCACGGCCACTACGGGCTGTTATGACGCGCATGCGCACCCCGACCTTCTTCTTCTTTTAGAGTTTAGCTGGCGGTTCGCAACTTCAGGTGTATTTACCGCCACCTACCGGACTGGAGTGTGGTCGTCGAGAACAGTCAGAGGGAAATATTCACCTAAGGTATAAATATGCTCGTAGTAAATACGGTAAAACAACCCGTGTTTTTAACAGATACAGATACAGATTAACTAAAGTAAGCACTTTCCCTTCTTTATGGAGGACTGATGTTAAACAGTTACGCTCCTCCCTGTAATTACTGCACTCTATTAGGACATGCTCAGCTGTTTCTGGCTCACAGGCTCCTGTCTGATGTTTCCTATACGGAACAAAGATCTGTTGAGACCTGAATGGCCAAACCTCAAACGTGTCAGCGCTGCCTCTTCTCTCCGGCTTCACCCTAGACCTACCCCCTCCCACGTTTCTTTGCACACAGTAAAGATGTCTGCCAGTGTCATTACTATCCCACTGCTCTTGCCACATCCCAATCACTTTACTCTGAATAATAGATTTCCCCTCAGCTTTGCACAAAGGGACATTGATATTAACCACATCCAATTTCAGGGCCTGTTTAGCGAGAATATCCGCCTCTTCGTTTCCATCAACACCTACATGGGCAGGGACCCAGACAGACTGAACACAAACATCTTTACTATGCAGCTGAAACAGTATATGGTATGTTTTGTATAACAGATCAAGTCTGAATGACTTTCCTGTTTTCATGCTCAATAACGCAGCTTGACTGTTTGAAGCAACTACAGCTCTGTTTATGCCTCCAATGCAATTCATAAGCACCCAATTAAGAGCTAAAGCAATGGCAGTGAGTTCCACAGTATTCACTGCGAGGACCTTCTTCTTCTGTCTCTGTGAATGTGATGTTAAACCGGGCGGGAGCCTCAGACCGCCACGGAGCAGCCCTCCGGTCGGATCCGGATCCAGACCCGCAGGGGCCGTTTCCACCGGGGCTCTGGGGACATGATGTCAGAAGCACTTTCTGAAAACATCTGTTAAAAATGGAAAAAATGGAAATGCTTAGAGAAAAGTTGAACTACACAAAAAGAAATTTAAATCTACAAGAAACAAATGTGCAAAACAAGAAACTGCTGAGTACTGCATTAGTTTCTGAATCAACACCACCGGCCTCCTGAATTTAAAAACATCATCTCCAGAACGCAGAGAAGCTCAACATGTTCTGGTGGAGACTCCCAGATCCCCTGTTCTTATACTTATAGAAGATAAAATCTCTTCTCATCCTGGACCAAACACAGCTCGCATCTGAACCCTGATGTCCGGCTTGAATCCAGCTCGGTGCCAGTTCACCTGCCTGCTCGCTCACGCTCACATCTCTCCCTGGGTTGCTATGGCTCCTGTTTGTGCATATATTTCTGACCTGTGTGTAAAAACTATCTATTAATAAAGTATCTCTTCATCTTCTTCATCACGATGAACTGAACATATTCATGCACTTCCTTTATTAAAGCTTCAGGTGGTAAATAATGGTTTAGATTTATTCTGTCCGCAGCAGACAAACAAACACAGAGACAGTTTGTGAATAAGAATCAGCTGTGAAAAGAATCAGCTATCTCTCGTCACAGGACAAATAAAATACTGTCTGTTAAAGTAATCAAATGTATGACGTCTTCTTAGTCTCGACAAACTGTAAGCAGCCTGTTGTCCTGCTTAAAGATGTACTTTAACTAGCTGATAACAGACTTAAATACTTTGTGTGATATTTATTATTATTTATTTTCCACAGGGGTGGGCAAAGTACACAGATCCTGTAAAAGTACAGATACTCTTGCTAAATATAACTCCACTAAAAGTACTTGAGTACAAAAGTACCTGCTTTAAGTATCAAAAGTAGAAAGTACTAATAGAATTTAAAAATACAGCAAACTCTTTCTTATTGATTAAACAAATTAGGAACAGGCTTCCTTTACTCACTGTGTGTGTGTTCAGATGCTTTACTGCAGTAAAAGTACTAAGACCATACAAGTAAAAGTCCTGCACTGAAAATGTTATTTAAGTAAAAGTATGTGAGTATAATCGGGAACATGTACTTAAAGTATTAAAGTAAAAGTACTCTGTGTCCTGTGACTGTTGTACTGTTATATATTATTATTGCTGTAGTTGTTTTTTTTGCAGTATTTCTGCTAAAATATCTATAATACTTTCATCACAGCCTGAAGTCCTCACCACAAGGTGGCGCCATTGCATTTACCTCTAACTTGTGCGTGAGTCCGGTACTTGAGTCCAGTACTGGTCCCGTGTTTGCTCAGTGAGTAGATGTTGAGTCTCTTCTGTCCGAGCCTCGGCGGGTCCCTGAACGCCTCAGCAGCAGCAGGGAGTCGCGCGCTGATCAGACCTGATTAAACTCACCTGGCGGCGTCACGGCGGCGGCTCGTGCTGTCTGAAGCGGACCGTGTTAGCCGAGTTTACCGTGAATGTTGAGCAGAGTTTTCCGGCGGCGGGATGCAGAAAGGCCTGAAGAAGTACTTCGTCAACATGGACGAGTACCTGTGCAGCCTGGGCCTCTACCGGAAGATGGTGGCCCGGGACGCGTCCAGCCTGTTCCGGGCCGTGTCAGAACAGGTGAGCCGGGCTAAAGGTCGCAGCTAACGGCGGCGGGGTCAGAGGTTAAAGTAAACTCTGTTTGGTGCAGCAGCTCTGAATGAGCCAGACTCTGTTACCATGGAAACGGGTCCCTCAAAACTACCAGGACCCGATTTAAAGGAGGTCCAGGTGGACTAGGTAGGTCAGGAGGTCCAGGTGGGTCAGGAGGTCCAGGTGGGTCAGGTGGACTAGGTGGACTAGGTAGGTTAGGAGGTCCAGGTGGGTCAGGTGGACTAGGTAGGTCAGGAGGTCCAGGTGGAACTAGGTGGGTCAGGTGGACTAGGTGGGTCAGGTGGGTCAGGTGGACTAGGTGGACTAGGTGGGTCAGGTGGACTAGGTGGGTCAGGTGGACTAGGTGGACTAGGTAGGTCAGGTGGACTAGGTGGGTCAGGTGGACTAGGTGGACTAGGTAGGTCAGGAGGTCCAGGTGGGTCAGGTGGACTAGGTGGGTCACTGTGATCTGATGGATCTGGGTTTCATGTCTCAGGTTAATTCATCGTTTAGCTTTTCTTTATCTTGCGTGGCAGTAAAACAGCTTCCGATTGGTCGACCAGAAGAAGGTGTGTGACTTGTGGGGCCCCGCTCGTGGGGGGCCTGTGCCGTCAGACCGTGTTATCTAAATATTTATGTGTTCACATGTAAATGATGTGAGGATCAGTTTGATCAGGTGCAACAGAACCTGAACTGGACTGTGAGCTGATTGGTCGGTTGACGTCATGGTTACAGGTGTGTGTGTGTGTGTGTGTGTAGTTGTATTTCTCGCAGAACTACCACCAGAGGATCCGTCAGGACTGCGCCAACTTCATGAGAGCCAACAGGAGCAACTTTGAACCGGTGAGTCCCTGAGGGACCTGATCAGGATCCGAGCAGGTTCAACAAACTCTGAACTGACTGATCATCACAACATGACGGCCGACTCATCGTTGATCAGGTTTCAGCTGAAACAGGAAACACAAAGTTCCTGATCTCGCTGAAACTGTTAGGACGCATCATCAGAGCGTCTCTCGGTAACACGCCGTCTTCTCTTTCAGTTTGTTGAAGGTTCATTTGAGAAATATCTGGAGCGTCTGGAGGACCCCAAGGTGAGCGGCCGTGACCTTTGACCTCACGCTGAGCTGTGTGTGGCCGTGTGTGACGGCGCGTGTGTGTGTGTTTCAGGAGACGGTGGGTCAGGTGGAGATCAAGGCTCTGTCTCAGCTCTACAGGTGAGAAACTGATCACATGACTCTGCAGCTCTGAATCATTGAAGGTCTGTGTTTATTGGATGAAAGTGTACCTGGGTGATGATGTCATCAGTGAGCAGCCTGAGGGTCTGAACTGGATCAGAACCAGAAGTGACTCTGACTGATGTCCTCGCATTGTTTCTTATAGATTCAAACGGTCCAATCAGAACGCAGCAGGCAGCTGTTTATTCCTGCTGTTTAGTAATCATGTGATCAGATGATGTCATCCTTTTCCTGTCTTTATGCTAAGCTAACGGCTGCTCGCTGTAGCTTCACGTGTGTGTGTGTGTGTGCGCGTGCAGGCGTTGTTTCCTGATCTACCGTTACCCGGGGAAACCAGCCACGGTGATCTCGGAGGCCGACTTCGTTGACAAGGTGAAGTTTGTGTCCTGCAGACTGAGCTGTGATTGGCTGATCAGCTTTAAACACTCAAAGGCCTCTTCCATGGACGTTGCCATGTTGCACGCCATGTTGCACGCCATGTTTGGGGGGGGGGGCTCATTAAAACTCTGATGTAATTGGTCAGCACTGACTGTCAGTCTTCTGTGTTGCCTAGGTGACACTGTGTTGCTCCATCAACGGTCACTATGACATCGTTTACCCGAGGAGTTACCCCGCCTCCGCCGCCCTCTGTCAGTGTGAGTACTGATCAGTGATTGGTAGATGAGTGATTGACAGGTTTACAGGGAGTGTGTGTGACGTTGTGATGTGTGTGCGTGTGCAGCGCTCCTGTACGAACTGCTCTACACTCAGGTGTTCGGGTTGGAGGAGGCGGAGCTCTGTCAGGCCATGGAGGTCTTCAAGGTCGGAGGTCGTCGCTATAGAAACAGCCCATCGATGTGTAGTGACATCGACATCGGCTACGACACACCTGAGGACCGCGGCCACAGGTACACACACCTGTGACAAAGCTGACGATGTAGAGATGACACCACGGCTCATATGTAACAGTAATCTGCTGTTAGAGCGGAGACGTCGCCGCGCTCTCACCCTCAGCTCGCCACTTCCTGTTTGTTTTCGGCGCTCTGCTGGTTACGCTTCAACGCCATGAGGACATCTTGTTGTACTCTGTGTGTTTGTTTTATCCTGCAGGGACGAGTCTGAACCGGGTGGAGCTGCTGAGGAGAAACTCCGAGCTGGGACAGACGACACAAAGGTGGGAGGGAGGCTGAAAAGGTGCTGGGTCCCGACTGGGGCCCCGGGTCTTGACTGAGGTCTGGGGTCTTGACCGGGGTCCTGACTGGGGCCCCGGGTCTTGACTGAGGTTCCCGGGTCTTGACCGGGGTCCCGACTGGGGCCCCGGGTCTTGACTGAGGTTCCCGGGTCTTGACCGGGGTCCCGACTGGGGCCCCGGGTCCTGACTGGTCGTTGTTTTTATTGTCCAGCCTCCTGCAGATGCCCCGCCCCCCTCCAGACTGTCTCTTCCTTACAAAGTGATGAAGTCTCTGGACGGAGAGGTTTACAGGAACCTGGAGTTTGACGTCTGGCAGGACACCTGCAAAGGTAACCCACGACTGAAGTACAGAGTCCTGGTTCCTGATGGAACTTACAGGTTCATAAAGTTTGAAACGTTGATGAGAAATGAAGTTATATTGTTGTTTGCAAATGTCCTGCCACCAGCTTACAATGAAACTTCAGGTTCAGATTGTTGGTCAGTAATATTTATTTCTTGTTTGTCTGAAGATTTGAGTTTGAAATCTGTACGTGACAGAAAAGATCTTCAGATTCTGTTTCTCTGTGTGACTCAGAGATGCAGAAGACCGACTACATGGTGTTCGCAGGGAGGCAGTACTTCCTCGGAGACAAGTGTCAGGTAACAAAAACCCTCGACCACACTGACGACTTCAAAAGCTCACTGCAAATACTACGGGGTCGGGGCCCGCCGCCTGTAGTGCCGCCGCGTCGGGGTCGGGGCCCGCCGCCTGTAGTGCCGCCGCGTCGGGGTCGGGGCCCGCCGCCTGTAGTGCCGCCGCGTCGGGGTCGGGGCCCGCCGCCTGTAGTGCATGGACTGTGTTAGCTGAAGCCGTTTACACACAGACGTCTCCCTGAATCTCTTCACGATATTATTTACTGCTGACTCTGAAACACCTAAATTCTCTGCTGTCCTGTGTGAAATGTTCCTTTGGACTGTAGAAGAGAAGGACGCTGCTGCAGCACAGTTAGAGGTCTTTCCTTCTGTACGACTGACAGACAATAGACAGGAAGTGAAAGCTGATTTGCTGTTTCAGCCTCAGGCGTCTGTAGTTACCTGTCTGTGTGTTTCAGGTGCGTCTGGAGCCGAAGGGGAAGTACTACAACGCCTTCATCCAGGAAGTAGGAACGCACTCTTCAGCAGTCACCGTCTTCATTGAGGAGCTGGGAGAGAAGTAAACCTGATACTGACTCAAATGGACCGGACTACGTGTTCTTTAGTTTACTGGTCCTCTCACAGAAGCCTAGCAGCTGGTTTAGGAAGTGGTCACAGTTTAGGTTTTGGGAGAAATGCGTGTCAGTGAGGGATCAGACAGTGAGCTGCAGTTTCAACACTGATCAGCTGACCTTTAACGTTTCCTCTCTGTGTGTCAGACACCTGGTTCCTCTGACTGATCTGAAACCGGTGAATCCAGTTCCGGCCTGGAACGTTGCTGCTCCTGCTAGAAAAGGAGATCTGGGTACGTAGATCCTGATCCACTCTTCTGTCCGGCTCTCTGAAGATATTTACTGTTAATTTTCTTCATATCAGTTATAAAAATGACCTGTTTAAGATTTAATTTCCCTCTGGGTGTGGTTTCTCTTCTGGGCCTACCGTGACGCCCTCCCCCACCTAGCGTAACGCCCTCCCTGACCTTCCCAAACGAAAGTAACGCCGCCCTCCCTGACGTACCCAGACGACGGTAACGCCGCCCTCGCTGTCTCCCTGTCTCTTTCAGACTTGGACTCTCGTGGCCAGCGTCATCACCGCCATCGGTATTTCAGGAAGTCTCGCGGCAGCAGTGGAATGAAGGGGGCGGAGCTGTTGATGCCGTTACCGTCCTCTTACGGAGGGCCCCCCCCCTCCGGCTTGCCCCCCCGCTTCCAGCCAGGAGGTCACCCCCGCCCGCCTCCTCCCCCATCACCAGGATCCATGACTTACGATCCCTACGCCCCCCCACACCACCACCACCACCCCACAGCCAGACCGCCTCGCTACGGGGCCTCCAGGTGGGACTTTGTACCTGATACACACCTGTGTGTTACCTGCTGACACACACACCTGTCTGCTACCTCATGAATACACACTGATACTGTGTGTGTGTGTGTGTGTGTGTGTGTGTGTGCCTGTCTCATGGATTCTGGTCAGAAGCTCCACCCGTTTCCTGAACCGTCACCTGATTGGTCCACAGTTGACCTATTACCACCCTGGCAGACGGTATTACCACGACTACGACAACTACACCTTCAGGTCACGGTGAGCACAGATTTAAATCTGTGAACATGTCGACTCGCAATGATTTATTTTCTTTTTTAAATATCTACACTTGCTGCGATTAAGTCAAATCACATGACAATAGGTAACCAGAACAACTTGATTAGTTTAATTTTCCTGTATCTATTTTGTATTTAAATAATTTAACTTGAGGTTTTATGAATATATTTAATTCTAATGAGGTCTAAATGTCCCTGTTTCTCATAGCTGCTTCAGTTGGTCTCTTCAGGCTCCGCCCACACTCCTACATCTTTATTTACAGACCTTCTGCTGCATTTCCACCTCCTGTTCAGACTAAAACGGTGAAGTCTGAAAACGCCGCTGACCCCGTTTTGGTTTTCAACACTGGGGTAGCGTGTTAGTGCACACGGGTGGAAACGATGACGCTCACGTTTGGCTTCCTGATTGGCTCTTGTCAGTCAGTCGAAGCAGAAACACGATGCTGCTGCTGCTGACAGTTTTTTAACATTTGTTTTACTGTGTAAATAACACTTCTACACTTGTACTCTGCATGTCTCCGTATTTACTTTTGCGTCGACTCCCAGTCTGTTTCCCGCCGCCGTCTCTCTGTCCTCCCGTGTTCCTCGCAGTAACAGTTCCACCTCGCTGTCGCAGACAAATCTCTGCTGTGGTTCTTCACCATCGCTGTTCATCTCTAGGAGAACTTTGTTCTTGTTTGTTCAGGCGCAGTCGGCGTCAGCTGGCGGCTCTGAATAAAGAGTGTCAGTTTGGTTTCTCTGCGGAGTCGGAGGAGCAGACGGACCTGGACGCCACCATCACGTACTACCAGCTGGACGACGGCAGCGACGGCGTCTTCCCTCCACTGCAGGTGAGAGAAACCAGAACAACTCCGGTAGAGGATCCGAACTGTCCAGGACTAAGATTTGGTTTGTCTTTTTAATTGAACTACAGAACTAATTCTTCTTAAGGTAATTAAAGGAAGTGAAGCAGAACTGAAAATACAGTTTGAGTCCCAAAGTTTGTGTCTCTGTCACTTTGACTTTAACAGCTAAACTGCGTCACGTGACGGGATGACGGAGACGCGTACGGACACGTTAGAGACTTTGACTTTGGACCATTGACGGTATAAAATAAGTGGGCGTAGCCGCCGTGATGTCACCCGTCTTGAGTTTGGCATTGTGGTCGTCGCCATCTTGGTTTTTTGGAAGGACACGTGACCATGTTTGGACAAGAGGGTGGAGCTAGCTAGCTAGCTTGGTTAGCAAGGTGCATCTGCAATAAACTCATCAGGAAAGTGTTTACTGAGGGAATAAATCAGCTGAGAAGTAGAAACGTTTTCTCACAGACTTCTATACAATCACACTTCTTTCTGCAGCTGGTGGAGTCGCCCCCTGCTGGCTGCTAGAGAGGACGCAGGTTTAAGGCGCCCCCTGCTGGCTGCTGGAGGGGACGCAGGTTTAAGGCGCCCCCTGCTGGCTGCTGGAGGGGACGCAGGTTTAAGGCGCCCCCTGCTGGCTGCTGGAGGGGACGCAGGTTTAAGGCGCCCCCTGCTGGCTGCTGGAGGGGACGCAGGTTTAAGGCGCCCCCTGCTGGCTGCTGGAGGGGACGCAGGTTTAAGGCGCCCCCTGCTGGCTGCTGGAGGGGACGCAGGTTTAAGGCGCCCCCTGCTGGCTGCTAGAGAGGACGCAGGTTTAAGTTACTTCAGTTCTAGCTTCACTTTGCAAACCCGGAGGTTCCCGCTTGCTTTGGACACTAGCTTCTTATTTTGGGACCCTGAGTGTGATGTTGGAGAGTCAACGTCCCTCTCACTTTACAGACTCGGACTTTGAGGCACTGAGGGTCAGACTCTGCAGACCCCTGAGCGACTCGGACCTGGGACTCGCCTGTAATCTGGGTAACAGCCTCATGATGTTGTACAAACATTAACCATGTATGTATGATCTCGCTCTTCCCTTAGGGCCCACCGGTGGCACCCCCCCAAACCATGGGAGCCCCGCCCCCTCCCCCTGGCTCCTCCTACAGAGTTCAGAGAGGGTCAGGCCCCCTCCCACCTGCACCTCCACCTGGAAACACCCCTGTCTGTTCATCAGAGGAGGACCAGGAGGACACGAGTACTGTGGAGGACCAGGGTGAGGACATGATTACATTAAAAGTTAGATAAACAATAGAAACATGGCCGCCCTTCAGCCAGAGCGTATCTGATGTGTGTGTTTTCTGTCAGCTGAGTACACAGAGGAGTACATCTACATCACTCAGGGTGAGTACCTGACCGTCCAACTAGCTGACTGTCCAGCTTCCGAAGACAGGAAGTGACTTAAGTCTGAATGTGGACCGTTTCAGATCAAAGCTACCAGACCTCCGGGGTCTACGTTGGATCTGAGCCCTCCACCAACCAGGTAACACACCTGACCTCTGACCTGCAGGATGTTCGTGTCCCTGTAGATCTCCAGGTTGAAATAGTGTTACAGGTTTTCACCTGCCGGCAAAGGTAGACCAGCTAGGAGGGAGCCAGCTGGGTCAGAGGCCCGGTCCTGGTCTGGGTAAAGTAGAGCGGAGAGGCGTTCTGGAGGAACAGCAGCAGCTCGTCGGCGTACAGGGAGACGTATTAACCGTTACAACTGAAATCCAGGCATGGTACTGCCCGAGGCAAATAACACGGGTTGTCACATGATCAGTGATGTCATGAAGCTTTGAGGGACAGGGAGGGAGGAAGGACAAAATGGGGTGCTTCTCAATTCCGCTGTCATTTCCTTGTTCCTCGCTTGAACAGGAAGTTGTTCCATCTTGCAAACCGTCCCCTCTTATTTGTGCTCAGAGGATCGTGGATACACGAGTACAGAAGTCTTTTACTGACTGACACGCCCCCTCATTGCATAGCCGTTATATTGATTGGACGCTGCAGCAGATCGGACTGATCTGACTCATCACTGCAGATTCACACCAGAGTGAAGACCGACAACACATCAAAGTGTTTCCGCCAAGTTTTATATTTGATTCCCGGTCGAGTTAAAACGTTCACTGTGGGTCTGAACAACAAAAGGAGCACAAACAACTTTCCTAATTTATTACAACAGATTTCCTTCTCTGTTGTTTCCCACATTAACTTTTATTATGGTGACAATTTAAGAGTCGGAGAGTCTGTCTGTCAGCAAGAAACACTTTTTACATCATTTATCATAAAGTATGATGTGAGGCCGATCGTTCCTGACTGTTTAGTCCAAATAGACGACAATAAAACAAAGTAAATGATTAAACTGCACTAAAGACTGTGAGAAAGCTGCACCTGATGCAAGCAGCCAGTGGCGCTGTAACTAAAATGAGCCGAGAGATGAATTAATGAATGAAAGCTGAGCTACAAAGAAGGGGTTTGATTGAGATGATGGAACGCAGTGACCAGTAATGTGACCTGCAAATTAAATGTATGGAGTTCTGTTAAAGAGGTGGTATTCTGCTCATTTTCAGGTTCAAAATCTTAATTAGGGGTTGTACCAGAACAGGTTTACATGGTTTCAATTTCTCATACTTTTGTTCCGCCGTCACTTCTCGTAAAACTGTCAATATTGGAAATCTACACGGCTGATTTCTCACCTCACAACTTCTCAGAAGTGGATTTAGTGATGAAATAACGTGAAAACTGTAAAATCTAAATCTTTCTGCTGCTGGCCTCTATCAGCCGCACGCAATGAATTTTAGTATCCCTCAGCTCGCTTGGAACCTCGACGGAGGGAAGCAGGTACAACATGGAAAACCAAACAAAGGCGAGTGAAGCCAAAGGGCCTCCGTTCAGACTAGCTTGGTTTGAGGGCGTGCCTGACCCCGCTAGCCGCTTGACGAGCTTTATGACGCGTTTTCGTTGTGACATCACAAGTAAAGGAAGTGAAGGGCTGGACTACAAACCAGCTGTTTTCAGTTCAGAGCAGAGTTTTCTGTGGGAGATGGGAACTCCCTTTGAAAAACAATATATAACTATGGAGAGGGGAAAAGCCAAAAAGCAGAATACCTCCTCTTTAAAGGAAATCAGAAGATGACTTAAAGGAAACCCTTAAACTGAGCTGAAGTGACATTTCTTTTTCCCCTGAAACATTAAGCCTAATAAGTCAAAGGACGCTGTGATCACATTCTGGGTTATTCTATAATCACATTATCAATGAATACAGAAAATCAATTAATAATGTAAACACATTGTGACAGTAGAAATGATCCTGAGCCTCTGAGCAGGACTCGGTACAACAACATGTTCTAATCTCAGGGAATCAAACAGGCCGACTCGGCTGTGAGAAAGCGTCCGTATGATGAGATCGGCCTCAGTATGAATACAGAACGCAGGTGGTTCTTCATCCGCAGGTGTGAAACCGTGACGGCTACAGACAGAAAACGCACGCGTGCAGACACAAACTCCATCAGTGATCAAACGGACGTCGCTTCACGAGAGGACGTCTCGTCTCCTTAAACATAGTTCCTTGTTCCTTCTCTCCTCACGTGGTTTCCTTTTGAGTCTTGTTTCCGCCCACCGGGGATGCTTGGAAGAGAATTGACCCTTCGCTAAGCCCCGCCCCCCTTAGTTACTGTTGCTAAGTCCGACAAACTGTCGGCGCTGCCACTATCTTATTACTGCACTCCCAGAAAAATATTGTCACATTAGTTGGAAAAATCGATCTCAGAAAGAAGCAGACAGTTTTGCAGTTGCATTGTACATGTGAAGGTTTTATTCAGGCTGTCAGACAACAGGTAGAAGCTAAAGCCTACTGATCACACAGAACAAGTGAACCACCCGACGATTGAGACAAAAGACAACAGTATTAAGGATCAGCAGTGTTCCTGTACAGCTGGTCGGCCTCTGTTCACTATTACAGTCATTAAAAAGCAGAACAGCAGGACTTTATTACGTTACAGTCAGTAGGAAGTTAGTCAGCGTTAGCTAACTAACATCACATTAGGAACAACCCACAGCCGACATTTCTGGATTTATTTCAGGTTTTGGGAAGAGAATAAATCGTCCTTCTCCTTTTAGCCTCTCTGGGTAGCTGCTGTAACTATTACAAGACGCTGCAGGAACAGCGTTTGACCAGATCTGAGAAAAATACAGCCAGAAAAAGCTAGAAAACGACTCATGAAAGTGTCGACCTCAGTTAGAGCGAGACCTATACTGCGCTGTGATTGGCCAGCTGCGTATTCGGGGTGTGGCTTAGCAAAGGGTCAGCTGGGAAGCAGAACCCATGGTCTCTTGTTTTCTTTTATTGTGAAAGGACGAGCAGGAAGGAGGCACTGCAGAGACTCCACCAAGACCAGAGATCAACTACAGCTACACACAGCAGGTACACACACACACACACACACGCACACACAGACACGCACACAGAGACAGACACACACACACAGAGACAGACACACACACACGCACACAGAGACAGACACACACACACGCACACAGAGACAGACACACACACACGCACACAGAGACAGACACACACGCACACACACGCACACAGAGACAGACACACGCACACAGAGACACACACACGCACACAGAGACAGACACACACACACGCACACAGAGACAGACACACACACACGCACACAGAGACAGACACACACACACGCGCACAGAGACAGACACACACACATGCGCACACACGCACACAGAGACAGACACACGCACACAGAGACACACACACACGCACACAGAGACAGACACACACACGCACACAGAGACACACACGCACACAGAGACACACACACGCACACAGAGACACACACACGCACACAGAGACACACACGCACACAGAGACACACACACACACACAGACACACACACGCACACAGACACACACACACACACAGAGACAGACACACACACACACACACACACAGAGACAGACACACACACACAGACACACACACACACACACACACACAGACACACACACACAGACACACACACAGACACACACACAGACACACACACACAGACACACACACACACAGACACACAGACACACACACACACAGACAGACACACACACACACACAGACACACACACACAGACACACACACAGACAGACACACACACACACAGACAGACACACACAGACAGACAGACAGACACACACACACACACACACACAGACACACACAGACACACACAGACACACACAGACACACACAGACACACACAGACACACACAGACAGACAGACACACACAGACACAGCCGTCACTGATTGGCTGGTGGTGTTCATCACTAACTTTGCTGGTGAGCACGAGCGTGCACACACTGACGGTGGACCACACGGCGGCAGTCCTGTGTAAAATAATTTCAGTGCGCCCTGAAGTTGTCATGGTTACAGCGTGTGTGAAAGTACGTGTAGTGAGTCTGTGTTTCTAAGAGCAGCAGGTCGTTGCAGGTTTCATGTGATGAAGTGGAGGAAATATCTGGAGGAGACGAGCCGAACATGCAGTAAATCTCTCTGTGGCCACGGGAGGAACCGTGCACGTGGTTACCTAAAAACACAACCCGTCACAACAAGGCGCATCACTCACACAGAGCTGTTTTATGGAGGTCGCCGTGGTTTTATTTTGAAAGTCAGGACAGGAAGTGGTGGTTGTATCCCGCTGTGTGTGTGTGTGTGTGTGTGTGTGTGTGTGAACGGCCTCTCGTGTGTTTCAGGTAGTGAAGCCGTTGGCGGCCATCTGCTCTTCACCCTCCTCTTCCTCCTCCTCACACTCTTCTCCATCATCACGTGCACCTGCAGCTGCTCACCTGCCAGCAACACAGACTCGCTCGGGTACGTGCACGCACGCACGCACGCACGCACGCACGCACGCACTCTGATTGGATCTCTCAGCTGAAGATAGAAATACGTGATGTTTCCTGTTCTCAGTTGCCATGGCGATCCCCGCCACATCTCCCTGGTTGGTTAATGAGCTGGGGGAGGCGCTCTGCACTGTGGTAGCTCCGCCCCCTTACTCCTATGATCCTAACGGCAGCGATTTACCCCGAGGTCAGAGGTCAACCAACTTAGCGTTACACTTCCTGCTGCAGCTTCCTGCCTCACGCTGACGTGTGTGTGTGTGTGTTTGTGTGTTCAGACTGCAGAGTCCTCCAGTATTACTTCAACCTAGGAGTCCAGGTAAGAGACACACCTGATGTCTGTGTTGCTGACGGCGGTTTGAATGCAGGTGGATATTTAAAAAGCGAATCTCGAGGGTTCAGAGATGACGGAAACCTCGTCAGAGGAAAGCTGACGGGTTCCAGGATGTAATTCAGCCGTGGGGTTCGGACGGCGAAGATTCACTGTCCCGCTGTTCACCTGTCGTCGTCGTTGTTGTTGTTGTTGTTGTTTCTGTGTCCAAACGGCTTCGGTTCTCTCACCCTCCCCCCCACAGTGGTACAATCAGAGCTGTTGGCAGCAGCAGCAGCAGGCGTACCCCGCCACCTCGCCGGAGGCCTCCTACACCTACCAGCACTACACACCCTACCTGAGCCAGGACCCCCCCCTGCATGGTAAGACCTACACCCTCTCTGATTGGCCGCAGGTTTCAGCTCTAGCCATCGATCGGCAGCCTCCTCAGCTGCAGTTCCTCTAACGTCCACCAGGTGCTGCTGCGTGTTAAAGTAAATGAGAACCTCCAGTTTTTTTTCAAATTAAGAGTCCTGTTGTTACTGTGGGGACTTTCACAATAAGAGTTGTATTAAGGAGAATGTTGAAGGTCTCATCACTTCTCAGTGACGGCTTGGTGTTAGTGAGTTAAATGGTTGGTGAGGTAGACCTAACAGAAAGTAGGACCTCTCCGTCCTGTAGACTGATCTGGTCCTGGTCTTCTGCCCCCCAGCTGCCCCTCCTTCATACCCTGAGACGACTCGAGGACCCCATCATCAGCCACCCTCCTACCCAGAATCCACCAGGGCAGGAGACGGACCGACAGACGTACACAGCAGCGGTCAGTACTGACTCCATAGCTTATGCCACATATCCTTACAACACCGCACACATTACCCACAATGCAACTCCTCCTCTGACTGTTGGGTGGAGGTCCAGTTGACTTAAAGTGACATCATTGAAGGACATTTATCAGACGGCTCCCTCTGACACAGTAAAGGCTTCAGACTACTTTAAAGCATAAGCACCGGGGGGGACACACCTGGGGGGGACACCTGGGGGGGGACACCTTAAATCCAACAAAATAAGAGAAGTGGTTTCCTCTCAGGACTCGAGCCAATGAAAAGCTCTGATTTTTATTTTGTTTTGTCTCCTCCTCCACCATCAGGCCCCGCCCCCTCTGTGGAAGGTTCCTCCAACAGCCCCGCCCTTCCAGGCTCCGCCCCATCCTCTGGTCTGCTGTATACGGATCAGCCGCCCATGCCCCCTCCTCCACTGCTGCACCTGCCATATGAAGCTCCGCCCCCAGCCACCTACCTGCCATCCGCCCCTCCGCCTCCCCTTTCTCACCCCGCCCATCTCCCCCATCACTCCTCCTACCACCCGTGCCTCCCCACCTCCACCCACTGGGGGGCGCTACAGACCGGAGGCCACGCCCAGCGAGTATACTGCCCCGCCCCCAGCACCGCCCACATGGTGGGCTACATCACGGGCCCGCTCGCCCACCACACGACCACGCACTACCTCCCCCCCGCCATCTAATGCACATGCTCTGCTGAAACCTCACACCTCCAACATACATCGCTTAGCTTACGGCTAACAACACTGTGTGTTCTCAATGGGCAACGCTAACAGAGCTAACAAGTCCTGCGGGAGAACCTTGTATCTCCCAAACATTTTCCTGCGTATGTGGAAGCTTTCGAGAGGACGAAACGCAGAACCGTTCTTAAAAAAAATAAATAAAAAAAGTTAATGTTGATGATAAATGTTAAAGTGCTGATTGGCTTCCTGTGTTAGCATGTTAGCTTCGCACTGAGGATACGAGTTCTGTACATGCTAGCTGTTAGCTATTATGGCCTTTTTTTGAATAATTGCCCCAAATCTTTATTTACAACAGTGAAATACCTCAAACACAACACGTCTGCCTCACAATCACTTCCTGTTCACCATGTTTGTTTTTTAACTTGTTAGCGAGCAGCTCGTTAAAGCGGAACAATCGAGTCCCTGCTGTTACCACGGCAGCACGGGTGACGGCGTCCTCGGTTGCAAACAATGCCAGATTTTTGTTTTTGTTAGTTGTCAGCCGGCCAATCAGAGAAAGGGGGCGTGGCTGCAGGCTCGGCGCGGTCAGTCCCTGTTTATTGATGAGGGGATATATTTCTGTTCAAACTGGTGGTTTGTTTGTTTTTGTTACTGGGTGAATAAAGTTTTTTCACAGCAGGAACGCATCATGTTTGGTTTGTTCATATCTACGGCGTCAAACTCAGTCCTTCCAGGACTTGGCGAGCCTAAACCTAAACCTGTATATATAAACTACTACCCCGACCCTGTATATATAAACTACGACCCCCGACCCTGCGTGTGTATAAACTACTACCCCGACGCTGCGTGTGTATAAACTACTACGACCCCCGACGCTGCGTGTGTATAAACTACTACGACCCCCGACGCTGCGTGTGTATAAACTACTACGACCCCCGACGCTGCGTGTGTATAAACTACTACCCTGACGCTGCGTGTGTATAAACTACTACGACCCCCGACGCTGCGTATATACAGATGCTGGTCATATACAGGAATATCATCAAAAAGTTGATTTATTTCAGTAATTCCATTCACAAAGTGAAATTTGGATATTATATTCATTCATCAAATGTTTATTTCATTTAATTGTGATGATTAAAACTGGCAACTAATGAAAATCCCAAATTCAGTATCTCAGAAAATTAGAATATTAAGACCAATACAAAAAAAGGAGTTTTAGAAATGTTGGCCAACTGAAAGGTATGCGCATGAAAAGTATGAGCATGTGCAGCACTCAGTACTTTGCCTGAATGACTGCGGCGATGCGGCGTGGCATGGAGTCCATCAGTCTGTGGCAGGATCTGTTGCTGAGGCTGGATTTTGAAACCCAGATGTGAGCACCAGCCTCTGTGCTCAACATTTAAAGATAAATCCTGAATTACAGTGACACCGATGTGACTCCGTACACCACCGTGAGCTGAATCTTCACTCGTCATCATCACACGTGGCGTTTCAGCATAAACCAGATCCCAGCTGCTCAGATGGTCCTCATGCAGGACTGAGGATCAAAGCTGAACTGTCTGCAGCAGACGCAGCGTTTCGTCGCATCTCTTTAATGAGGAACATCTGCATCACTTCGCTGCTGCAGTCACCTGATAGAATCACATTTATTGATCAGAACCAGGAGACACATGTTGATGGACCTCCTGAGATGGGTAAAAAAAACTTTATTAACAAAAACAGAGGATCACTTTTATTCTTCTTTGTGATCGTTGTCATGGTAACAGCTCGGCGGGGATCTCAATGGTCCAGAGGTCGCGATCTCCTCGAGCGCTCAGCGGCTCCTTCAGCCAGCGAGGGTTGGACAGGTGAGTCAGGTGTTTCTCCTGCAGACCAATCAGAACGGCCGACCGCTCCAGGTGCTGCAGCTCCTCCTCCTGCGGGGAGGCGGGGCACAGCCAGGTCCGTCCCACGTCCACCAATCCTGAAAGACATTTACACCTTCAGGTACGCCTCTTAAACGTTCAGCAACAGCAGAGCACTGACATCGTTTCCCACCTGCCACCACGCCGCGGCCGAACCTCTCTCCGGAGTCCAGGAGCGCTTGGATCTCAGCCCGGTTCATTCCCAGCGGGCCGCTCAGCACCGCCCTCCACTCCTCCCCCTCCCAGTCCCGCCGGGCAATGTGGATGGCCAGAGTCTGGTTCTCCAGCGGGGCCAACAGGGGCCTCCAGCGGCTCTCCACCGTCTTCACCCCGTCCAGAACCAGGCCGGCGTACGGCTGCCGGAACGACAAGCACCACACCTGCACAGACATGTCTGCAAAACAAACGCACCCCGGCTGAACCCAGAAATATTAGCAGGTTTGTCTATGAAACGTCAAATTATGGAAAATGCTCATCACAGCCCAAAGTGACGTAGTCACATTTCTTCTTTTGTCCAGAACCCAAGACTCTTAATTCACTGTCATAACGACAGAAATCAGCTGCAGTTCCTCACATCTAATATGAAACCAGCACATTTATCACATTTTTGTTTTTAAAAAATGGCAAACGATTCATCAATTACAAAAATAGTTGTCAATTAATTTTCTTTCGATTTACCAATTGACTTATCCTGCAGCTCTAAATGCAACCTATTAAACTGTAAGTTAGTTTTTTTGGGTGCGCGTTTTGCTTTCTGTCGCTATTTTATGTAAGAAAATTTACTATTAACCAAACTAACTATTTTATTGAATAAAGTTGGATCAATATATTTGCAGATAAACGAGGAAACATTACTTTGTGTGATGTTTTAATGAAGTTTAAGAGAAAAACCACTAACCATACTCTGTATAAAAGCCACACTAACCTTCCAGGAGCTGGCGCACTGATGTTATTAATCTCACAAACTAATGATCAGATGTGGGAGTCTTTCAGCTTACTGATTAGTTTCCCTGCTGTTGTGTTGCTGCCGATTTCACCACAAAACGTGAACGTGTTCATCAAATTTGTTTCCTCTTCTATCGTGTTTCATGTGCATCAACAGGACGGGTGAAACGATAATTTGCCAGATTTTTGAATGGAGTCTGGTGCGGAGCGGCGGCGGGAAACTCTGTTTGTCTTCGCTCATAATGAAGAATTAAATCAGTTTAAAGAATCATTTAATCTGGTGTTACTTAAAACTGGCAGACAGAAGGGGGTCAGGACTCACAGCCAGATCCGGACTCCCGCCGCGTCCGGCTGCTTCCTCCTCCTCCTCTTCTTCTTCGTTGGTTTTTAGAGACGCTGCATCCAAAGTGCCGCATTAGCGCCCTCTGCCGGACCTCCTTCTTCCCTCTCTTTAATGAAACTACTCCGTCTGAGGGACCCTGAACGCCTCTCAAAGCCTACAACATTATAATATATTTAATATCAAATATTTCTGTTCCCTCAGCAGCTGAGGACGGTTCAGTCACTGTGCTGCCCTCCTGTGGTGAGAATAATGATTATAATAATAATAATATTACATTTAGCTGACGCTTTTATCCAAAGCGACTTACAATTGCTGTACATGTCAGAGGTCGCACGCCTCTGGAGCAACGAGGGGTTAAGTGTCTTGCTCAGGGACACAATGGTGGATGAGTCACAGTGGGGGATTGAACCTGAGTCTCTCACACCAAAGGCAGGCGTCTTATCCACTGTTCCATCACCACCATATTACTGTGTGAAACAGACACTATTAACTTCATGTCCCTTTGAAAAACACGGTGCAGCTGAACTCTTCATGTCTGTAAATGTTATTTCTGATAAAGTTAACATTAATTCAACATAAACAGTGTTTGGATCAGAATAAAAAGCAGAAACGTTTGTGATGTTCAGCGAGCTGCTAAACCCGAAACTACAGGAGGAAATGAGTCACATGACCTCGGTCACACTTTTAACTTTCACTAAAGTGAGTTTAAACCACAAAGAAACAGACGGCACGTTTGTCAATAAAGTTTTCTCTTTTTGAAGTATCACATTGTTTTTCCACCAACATGCAGATCAAAGAGCAGAGAACACGGATCAATAATCAATACATCTCTACCACCAATCACAGATGATAGGAGACAGGAAGGACACGCCCCCTTTTTCTTCTTTCCCATCATCACCCGATGACATCTCAGAAATGGGTTACAGCAGCCGTTCACGGGATGATGTCGTCATCTTACCATGATGTCATAACGTCACACCGATGAATCGCAGGTCATATGCTCACACACAAAGCATCATGGGACACCTCCTCTGGTTACCATAGCAACTAATGAATCAGATGGTGAAACACGTTCACAGATTAAATAGAAACACGTCACGAAATCAATCAATAAATCGATCAATCATTGATCACTTAAAAGCTGAAATATAAAAACGTCTTAAAAACATGAAATGTAGATTTTCTGTTTGAGCTGCAAAATAAATCAATAAGATGTTTTAGGAGGAACGCCCCGCAGGAACGCCCCGCAGGAACGCCCCGCAGGAACGCCTCGCAGGAACGCCCCGCAGGAACGCCCCGCAGAAACGCCCCGCAGAAACGCCTCGCAGGAACGCCCCGCAGGAACGCCCCGCAGGAACGCCCCGCCAATCCTAGGAGCGGAACTGCATTTCTAGGACCCTTGTTCACTTTGATACTGGCTACTTAGCTATGTTACTCTTGACAGCCCCCCGAAGCCAATGACCCTCACCGCAACCATCACCGTGCGTGTGTCTAAAATTAGTTATTGATTATATGGATGTTCTAGAATTGCGGTCCCAGGACTGCGGGGGTCCTGAAACCGCAGCCTCTGGTACTGCAGCTAGATAATATTGGTTCTCCAGCGTGAACATGTGCAGTCTGTCGTTGTGGTGGCGCTAGAGGAAAGATCACGTGTAAGATTCATTCGTGGTTACAGGAGAGGATCAGGGGCCAAAGGTGAGAAATGTTCCACGTGTGCCCCGATCCTCTCCCGTATGTAGTCGATGTTACAGACGGACATTAAACGCCTCCACGAGCCGCAGGTCCTGCAGGTCCAGACAGGAACTGATCTTCAGTCACAACTGGACCAGGATCAGTCTGAAATGTTGGACCACATCCAGCAGGCTGAGAATAACAAACACATACTGATGACACAAACTGATAATATTTACTGATAATAATCAACAAACAGCTAGTTTTATTTTCCAGACGGAGTTTTTCTGGAGTTTGTATCGTCCCTCTGGTTTTATCTATCCGGACTGATCTGGGGTCTGTCTTTATGTTCAGACTGGGACCGTCCTCCTCTCCTCAGTCGGACCACTCCTGGTCCTCGGGTTCGGACTCGTCCTCTGATTCGCTGTACTCCACGGCGATGCGTCGCGACAAGATGGTGGCGACATCATTTCCTGTAGGCTCCCGTTTCTTGGCCTCCTCCTGCTCACGCTGCTCCTGAACCTTCCTGAGCTGGATCCCTGCAGACCAGGAGAAACCAGAACCTCAGCAACACAATACAGGGTGACTTGTGGTTCCTGGAGTCTCCAAACGTAGAATGGGAGCCAGAGCGTTCGGCGATCAAGCTCCGTTTAAGAACATGTGAAAGCTGTTAAAAATGTATTCGTTCGAAAAACTGTTAAACACATTTAGAAACAGTTTAAAACTGTTAAAAACATTTGGAAACAGTTTAAAAGTGTTAAAAACATTTAGAAACAGTTTAAAACTGTTAAAAACATTTGGAAACAGTTTAAAAGTGTTAAAAACATTTGGAAACAGTTTTAAAGTGTTTAAAAGCTGTTAAAACACTTTAAAACTGTTAAAAACTGTTACAAACGTTTAGAAACAGTTTAAAACTGTTAAAAACATTTGGAAACAGTTTAAAAGTGTTAAAAACATTTGGAAACAGTTTAAAAGTGTTTAAAACTGTTAAAAACATTTGGAAACAGTTTAAAACTGTTAAAAACTGTTACAAATGTTTAAAAACAGTTTAAAACTGTTAAAAACATATGGAAACAGTTTAAAAGTGTTAAAAACATTTGGAAAAAGTTTAAAACTGTTTAAAACTGTTAAAAACATTTAGAAACAGTTTAAAACCGTTTAAAACATTTGGAAACAGTCTAAAAGTGTTTAAAAACTGTTAAAGATTTAAAGATTAAAAAAATGTTGAAAGCTGTTTAACTGTGAATACTGTAAAAAAGACAAAAACAGAGTGAAACATTTTAAAAAAGTTCAAAACTGTTAAAACAGTAAAAAAAAAGACCTGCCCTCAACTGGCACAGATTTACCGTAAATAATTTCTTCATCTAAACCATCAACCTGCCTCTTAGACCCCATCCCGACTAGGCTGCTTAAAGATGTTTTACCCTTAGTCAGCACCTCTATACTAGATATGATCAATCTATCTTTATCAACAGGCTATGTACCACAGTACTTTAAAGTAGCTGTAATTAAACCTCTTCTGAAAAAGCCCAAACTTGATCCGGATGTTTTAGCCAACTATAGACCTATATCTAACCTTCCATTTCTCTCTAAGGTTCTGGAGAAAGCAGTTGCTAAACAGCTGTGTGACTTTCTACAGAGCAATAGTTTATTTGAGGATTTTCAGTCAGGATTTAGAGCTCATCATAGCACAGAGACAGCACTGGTGAAAATTACTAACGACCTCCTTATTGCATCAGACAAAGGACTTGTCTCTGTACTGGTTTTATTAGATCTTAGTGCTGCATTTGATACCATTGACCATCAGATCCTATTGCAGAGACTGGAATATTTCATTGGCATTAAAGGAACCATTCTAAGCTGGTTTAAGTCCTATTTATCAGATCGATTTCATTTTGTACATGTTAACGATGAGTCCTCCATGCACGCCAAAGTTAGTCATGGAGTTCCTCAAGGATCTGTCCTCGGACCAATCCTGTTCACTTTATATATGCTTCCTTTAGGCAATATTATCAGGAAATATTCCATAAACTTTCATTGTTATGCAGATGATACTCAGTTATATCTATCAATCAAACCAGATGAAACTCATCAGTTAGCTAAACTTCAAATGTGCCTTCAGGATGTTAAAACCTGGATGACCTGTAATTTTCAGGCTGCTCGAAAAAGTCCATTAAGACTCTTCAGCTGATCCAGAATGCTGCAGCTCGTGTTCTGACAGGAACCAGGAAAAGAGATCACATTTCTCCTGTTTTAGCTTCTCTGCATTGGCTTCCAGTAAAATCCAGAATAGAATTTAAAATCATTCTTCTTACCTACAAAGCTCTTAATGGTCAGGCACCATCTTATCTTAAAGAGCTCATAGTACCTTACTACCCCACCAGAGCACTGCGCTCCCAGAATGCAGGGTTACTTGTGGTTCCTAGAGTCTCCAAAAGTAGACTAGGAGCCAGAGTGTTCAGCTATCAAGCTCCTCTCCTGTGGAACCAGGTTCCAGTTTAGGTTCAGGAGGCAGACACCATCTCCACATTTAAGAGTAGGCTTAAGATTTTCCTCTTTGATAAAGCTTATAGTTAGGGCTGGCTCAGGTGAGTCCTGAACCATCCCTTAGTTATGCTGCTATAGGCCTAGACTGCCGGGGGGACTTCCCATGATGCACTGAGCTCCTCTCTACTCTACTTTCTCTTTCCCTCTTCGTTCAGAGCCATTGGTTATGTTTAGCTAGGCTAACAGTTATGTTTAGCTAGGCTAACAGTTTCCCTCTGCTTTCAGTCTTTGTGCTAAGCTAGGCTAAACCCATCCTGGAAGTATCTCTGTACTGTAGGTGTCAGAGCTCTGAAGTACAGTAACTGCAGTATAAGTACACTAGAAACTACATGAACGCAGTAACAGTATGAGCGCTGACCTCTGCGGATGGCAGCCAGCAGGTCACTGCGGGCGTCGTTCACTGGCACGTTTGGGCCTCCGGGAGGCTTCCTGCTGTCCGTCACCGGGGGCAACGGGGGCGCGGCAGCAGCCGAGGGCGGAGCCTGGCCTCCAGGCCGTGAGGGGGAGGGAACATAGTTAGCTGGGGGGGGGGGGGAGGGGAGGGCTGTAGGGGCGAGAGAGTACGCCAGCGCCACCTGGAGGAAACACAGACGGAAACATCAGGACAGACTAACAGGAACAGGAAGTTAAAAACCAAATGTCCATTTCCGCAGTTACCAGGAGCGGCTGCAGGGTGCAGCGGTGTTGCCATGGCGGTGTGGGCGGAGATGCTGGAGAACGGCATCTGACCTGCTGATGGCATGAGAGGGGGGGGTGGCGGGGGGGCCGGAGGGATCTGATGGTCACTGAAGAGAGACGGAGGTCAAAGGTCAAACACGAGTCAGACGAGGGAACTGTGTGTGTGTGTGTGTGTGTGTGTGTGTGTGTGTGTGTGTGTGTGTGTGTGTGTGTGTACTTGGCCTCCTTGGTGGCATTGGTCCTTGCTCCGTTCTGATTGGCCGGTGGGTGGTGGTGGCGATGCGGCTGGTTGCGGCCCAGCGAGTGCTGCCGGGCGGTTGTCGTGGCGACTGCAGAGGAGGCAGAGGCAGGTCGGAGCGCGCGGTCCAACGACTGAGTCTGACCTGTTGCCGCAGTGACATGATCCTTCCCATTATGCGCCTGGGCGTCAAGGTGAGGGCTGGCGGGGAAGGAGGGGTCATCTGACATCCCTGACCTACAGAACCATAACAAACATTTAACTGATGCAGCTATGTTAAATTGTCCCTTTTACACTGAAGGGGGTGAAACAAGAAGTGTACCTGTCCGGTGACATTGAGCCGTCAGAGGTGTGGTAAGGTGACGGTGTCACTCGAGCGTCTGGGCGGAGCTCCTTGTCATACGCCATCAGGTTCCACTCCTGCCGTCTGTTACGAGCTTTCCTCACCTTCACAGAAAGAACAACGCCGTCATGGGCATTTTTACAGAGGTGTTACAAACTGTTACAAACTGTCATAAACTGTCATAAACTGTCCCAAACTGTCATAAACTGTCATAAACTGTCATAAACTGTCATAAACTGTCCCAAACTGTCCCAAACTGTTCCAAACTGTCATAAACTGTCATAAACTGTCATAAATTGTCCCAAACTGTTCCAAACTGTCATAAACTGTCATAAACTGTCCCAAACTGTTCCAAACTGTCCCAAACTGTTCCAAACTGTTCCAAACTGTCCCAAACTGTCATAAACTGTCATAAACTGTCACAAACTGTTCCAAACTGTTCCAAACTGTCACAAACTGTACCAAACTGTAACAAACTGTTCCAAACTGTCACAAACTGTCACAAACTGTCACAAACTGTTCCAAACTGTCACAAACTGTTCCAAACTGTCATAAACTGTACCAAACTGTAACAAACTGTTCCAAACTGTCACAAACTGTCACAAACTATCTCAAACTGTTCCAAACTGTTCCAAACTGTCATAAACTGTTCCAAACTGTTCCAAACTGTCACAAACTGTTCCAAACTGTCACAAACTGTCACAAACTGTCACAAACTGTTCCAAACTGTTCCAAACTGTCATAAACTGTACCAAACTGTAACAAACTGTTCCAAACTGTCACAAACTGTCACAAACTATCTCAAACTGTTCCAAACTGTTCCAAACTGTACCAAACTGTAACAAACTGTTCCAAACTGTCACAAACTGTCACAAACTGTCACAAACTGTTCCAAACTGTCACAAACTGTTCCAAACTGTTCCAAACTGTCACAAACTATCTCAAACTGTTCCAAACTGTTCCAAACTGTACCAAACTGTAACAAACTGTTCCAAACTGTCACAAACTGTCACAAACTGTCACAAACTGTTCCAAACTGTCACAAACTGTTCCAAACTGTCATAAACTGTACCAAACTGTAACAAACTGTTCCAAACTGTCACAAACTATCTCAAACTGTTCCAAACTGTTCCAAACTGTCACAAACTGTCACAAACTGTCATAAACTGTTCCAAACTGTTCCAAACTGTCACAAACTGTACCAAACTGTACCAAACTGTCACAAACTGTCACAAACTGTCATAAACTGTCATAAACTGTCACAAACTGTCATAAACTGTCACAAACTGTCACAAACTGTACCAAACTGTTCCAAACTGTCACAAACTGTCACAAACTGTCATAAACTGTTCCACACTGTACCAAACTGTTACAAACTGTTCCAAACTGTACCAAACTGTCATAAACTGTCCCAAACTGTACCAAACTGTTACAAACTGTTACAAACTGTCACAAACTGTCACAAACTGTTCCAAACTGTCATAAACTGTACCAAACTGTTACAAACTGTCACAAACTATCTCAAACTGTCCCAAACTGTCACAAACTGTCACAAACTGTTATAAACTGTCACAAACTGTTCCAAACTGTCACAAACTGTCACAAACTGTTACAAACTGTTACAAACTGTTCCAAACTGTCACAAACTGTAACAAACTGTAAAAAACTGTTCCAAACTGTCACAAATGGTCACAAACTGTTACAAACTGTCACAAACTGTTACAAACTGTCACAAACTGTTACAAACTGTCATAAACTGTCCCAAACTGTCATAAACTGTTCCACACTGTCATAAACTGTTCCAAACTGTCACAAACTGTTCCAAACTATCACAAATTGTCACAAACTGTTACAAACTGTCACAAACTGTCATAAACTGTTCCACACTGTCATAAACTGTTCCAAACTGTCACAAACTGTTCCAAACTATCACAAATTGTCACAAACTGTTACAAACTGTCACAAACTGTCATAAACTGTTCCACACTGTTCACAAACGGTTCCAAACTGTTCCAAACTGTTCCAAACTGTCACAAACTGTTCCAAACTGTTCCAAACTGTCATAAACTGTTACAAACTGTCATAAACTGTCCCAAACTGTCATAAACTGTTCCACACTGTCATAAACTGTTCCAAACTGTCACAAACTGTTCCAAACTATCACAAATTGTCACAAACTGTTACAAACTGTCACAAACTGTCATAAACTGTTCCACACTGTTCACAAACGGTTCCAAACTGTTCCAAACTGTTCCAAACTGTCACAAACTGTTCCAAACTGTTCCAAACTGTCATAAACTGTTACAAACTGTCACAAACTGTCACAAACTGTTACAAACTGTCACAAACTGTTACAAACTGTCACAAACTGTCACAAACTGTTCCAAACTATCACAAATTGTCACAAACTGTTACAAACTGTCATAAACTGTCATAAACTGTTACAAACTGTCATAAACTGTTACAAACTGTAACAAACTGTCCCAAACTGTCACAAACTGTTACAAACTGTTCCAAACTGTCACAAACTGTTACAAACTGTTACAAACTGTCACAAACTGTTCCAAACTATCACAATTTGTCACAAACTGTTACAAACTGTCACAAACTGTCATAAACTGTTCCACACTGTTCACAAACGGTTCCAAACTGTTCCAAACTGTTCCAAACTGTCACAAACTGTTCCAAACTGTTCCAAACTGTCATAAACTGTTACAAACTGTCACAAACTGTCACAAACTGTTACAAACTGTCACAAACTGTTACAAACTGTCACAAACTGTCACAAACTGTTCCAAACTATCACAAATTGTCACAAACTGTTACAAACTGTCATAAACTGTCATAAACTGTTACAAACTGTCATAAACTGTTACAAACTGTAACAAACTGTCCCAAACTGTCACAAACTGTTACAAACTGTTCCAAACTGTCACAAACTGTTACAAACTGTTACAAACTGTTCCAAACTGTCACAAACTGTTCCAAACTATCACAAATTGTCACAAACTGTTACAAACTGTCACAAACTGTCATAAACTGTTCCACACTGTTCACAAACTGTTCCAAACTGTTCCAAACTGTCACAAACTGTCACAAACTGTAACAAACTGTAACAAACTGTAACAAACTGTAAAAAAACTGTTCCAAACTGTAACAAACTGTCATAAACTGTCACAAACTGTCACAAACTGTTACAAACTGTTACAAACTGTCACAAACTGTTCCAAACTGTTCCAAACTGTCACAAACTGTAACAAACTGTCATAAACTGTCACAAACTGTCACAAACTGTTACAAACTGTCACAAACGGTTACAAACTGTCACAAACTGTCACAAACTGTTACAAACTGTTACAAACTGTCACAAACTGTTCCAAACTATCACAAATTGTCACAAACTGTTACAAACTGTCATAAACTGTTCCACACTGTTCACAAACTGTTCCAAACTGTTCCAAACTCTCACAAACTGTTCCAAACTGTCATAAACTGTTCCAAACTGTCATAAACTGTCACAAACTGTCACAAACTGTAACAAACTGTCACAAACTGTCACAAACTGTCACAAACTGTAAAGAACTGTTCCAAACTGTCACAAATTGTCACAAACTGTTACAAACTGTCACAAACTGTTCCAAACTGTCACAAACTGTCACAAACTGTTACAAACTGTAACAAACTGTCATAAACTGTCCCAAACTGTCATAAACTGTTCCACACTGTTCACAAACTGTTCCAAACTGTTCCAAACTCTCACAAACTGTTCCAAACTGTCATAAACTGTTCCAAACTGTCATAAACTGTCACAAACTGTCACAAACTGTAACAAACTGTCACAAACTGTAACAAACTGTCACAAACTGTCACAAACTGTAACAAACTGTAAAGAACTGTTCCAAACTGTCACAAATTGTCACAAACTGTTACAAACTGTCACAAACTGTTCCAAACTGTCACAAACTGTTACAAACTGTAACAAACTGTCATAAACTGTCCCAAACTGTCATAAACTGTTCCAAACTGTCACAAACTGTTCCAAACTGTTCCAAACTGTAACAAACTGTTCCAAACTGTCATAAACTGTTCCAAACTGTAACAAACTGTTCCAAACTGTCCCAAACTGTCATAAACTGTTCCAAACTGTAACAAACTGTTCCAAACTGTAACAAACTGTCATAAACTGTCCCAAACTGTCATAAACTGTTCCAAACTGTAACAAATTGTTCAAAAAAAATGTTTTAAAAAGGTTTAAAAGCTGTTAAAACTATTCTCTCTGAAATATTGTGCTGTTTTTGCCGTGCATTTCTATTTTGCTGTATCTTCATCGTCATGGATGATCGGTACCTGAGGGTCATTCGTCACTCATTCACTTTAATAAAATACCACATAGATGCTAATTTTCCCGTCAGATTTCAAGCTTCTCTCACTTTAATTCAATGATGAGGAAAACAAACTTTCTCGGTACCACTCAGTCTGCACCCGGATTAAATCAGTCCACATCAGTTAAGCAGCTGATCCCAGAACTCTGCTGCCTTCTGTTTTAAGGTCTAATGAAGTGTGTTATTCACTGTTAGCACTGAAGTGGAGTTGGTGAGGACTGGATCCCCTGCAGGTGCTCTTTTGGTATTTGACCTATCATGTTCACCACGCTGCAGACTGCCCTGCTTTGCTTGGCCATATCGTACTGTGGTGTTTGGTACCCGTCTTTATATTTCAGATGTGCTGAGTCCGCCTACATGCTTCCAGCTGTGAATGTTTCTTTGCTGCAAGAGTCGGTCCTCATTTAGAAACAGTGGTGTAGTTCTGCACACTGGAAACAACCTGTTCAGGGAAGTCTAACCATCACAGAAACTCACCTTCTTCACCTCCCGTCCTGAGGACTCCTCCACATGCTTCTGTTCCTGGACATAGAAAACAGAGCTTTGTTATTCTATTTATCTGATTTCTGTTTTCAGAATGATAGAGAGATAGTTAGCTGGATGGACCTTCTGTCGTCGCTTCTCTTTGCGTTTGTTCTCGGTGGCCTGCAGCATCTTTTCCTTCCACAGGCTGAAGAAGTAAGACGGGTCGGTGTAGAACTTCAAGCCGTCCTTCTTATCATCCCTGCACACACACACGTGTTATCTAGAACAGTTCAGCTGTTGCTTCCTCAAACACAGCACCGGACCTTTCATGGTTTCACGGGTGGATTTGTAGTTTGAAGCCAGAAAGACACGAGAAAGTGGGTTTAAACTGACCCGTAGGGCGTCAGGATGTTGAGGGTGGGATTTACACTGACCTGTAGGGCGTCAGGATGTTGAGGGTGGGGTTTAAACTGACCTGTAGGGTGTCAGCATGTTGAGGGTGGGGTTTAAACTGACCTGTAGGGCGTCAGGATGTTGAGGGGTGGTGGTTTAAACTGACCCGTAGGGCGTCAGGATGTTGAAGGTGGGATTTACACTGACCTGTAGGGCGTCAGCATGTTGAGGGTGGGGTTTAAACTGACCTGTAGGGTGTCAGCATGTTGAGGGTGGGGTTTAAACTGACCTGTAGGGCGTCAGGATGTTGAGGGGTGGTGGTTTAAACTGACCCGTAGGGCGTCAGGATGTTGAAGGTGGGATTTACACTGACCTGTAGGGCGTCAGCATGTTGAGGGTGGGGTTTAAACTGACCTGTAGGGTGTCAGGATGTTGAAGGTGGGATTTACACTGACCTGTAGGGCGTCAGCATGTTGAGGGGCGGGGTTTAAACTGACCTGTAGGGAGTCAGGATGTTGAGGGGTGGTGGTTTAAACTGACCCGTAGGGCGTCAGGATGTTGAGGGGTGGTGGTTTAAACTGACCCGTAGGGCGTCAGGATGTTGAGGGGCGGGGTTTAAACTGACCTGTAGGGCGTCAGGATGTTGAGAGGTGGTGGTTTAAACTGACCTGTAGGGCGTCAGGATGTTGAGGGGTGGTGGTTTAAACTGACCTGTAGGGAGTCAGGATGTTGAGGGGTGGTGGTTTAAACTGACCTGTAGGGCGTCAGCATGTTGAGGGTGGGGTTTAAACTGACCCGTAGGGAGTCAGGATGTTGAGGGGTGGTGGTTTAAACTGACCCGTAGGGCGTCAGGATGTTGAGGGGTGGTGGTTTAAACTGACCCGTAGGGCGTCAGGATGTTGAGGGGTGGTGGTTTAAACTGACCCGTAGGGAGTCAGGATGTTGAGGGGTGGTGGTTTAAACTGACCCGTAGGGCGTCAGGATGTTGAGGGGTGGTGGTTTAAACTGACCTGTAGGGCGTCAGGATGTTGAGGGGTGGTGGTTTAAACTGACCCGTAGGGCGTCAGGATGTTGAGGGGTGGTGGTTTAAACTGACCCGTAGGGCGTCAGGATGTTGAGGGTGGTGGTTTAAACTGACCCGTAGGGCGTCAGGATGTTGAGGGGTGGTGGTTTAAACTGACCCGTAGGGAGTCAGGATGTTGAGGGGTGGTGGTTTAAACTGACCCGTAGGGCGTCAGGATGTTGAGGGGTGGTGGTTTAAACTGACCCGTAGGGCGTCAGGATGTTGAGGGGCGGGGTTTAAACTGACCTGTAGGGCGTCAGGATGTTGAGAGGTGGTGGTTTAAACTGACCTGTAGGGCGTCAGGATGTTGAGGGGTGGTGGTTTAAACTGACCTGTAGGGCGTCAGAATGTTGAGGGTGGGATTTACACTGACCCGTAGGGCGTCAGGATGTTGAGGGGCGGGGTTTAAACTGACCCGTACGGCGTCAGGATGTTGAGGGGCGGGGTTTAAACTGACCCGTACGGCGTCAGGATGTTGAGGGGTGGTGGTTTAAACTGACCTGTTGGGCGTCAGGATGTTGAGGGGCGGGGTTTAAACTGACCCGTAGGGCGTCAGGATGTTGAGGGGCGGGGGTTTAAACTGACCTGTAGGGCGTCAGGATGTTGAGGGTGGGGTTTAAACTGACCCGTAGGGCGTCAGGATGTTGAGGGTGGGGTTTAAACTGACCCGTAGGGTGTCAGGATGTTGAGGGTGGGGTTTAAACTGACCTGTAGGGCGTCAGGATGTTGAGGGGTGGTGGTTTAAACTGACCTGTAGGGCGTCAGGATGTTGAGGGTGGGGTTTAAACTGACCCGTAGGGTGTCAGAATGTTGAGGGTGGGGTTTAAACTGACCTGTAGGGCGTCAGGATGTTGAGGGGTGGTGGTTTGTCGCAGCGTTGGTACATTTCCAGCACCGGGTTGAGGATGGAGTTCCGTGACACCACCTGCTGGTCCTGGATGGTGCTGCTCCTGAAGGCCTTCCGCATGTTGATGTCCTGCAGAGACACTGCACCACAGACAGTACCGTTACTACAGAAAGACTAGCAGTACCAGTAGTAGTACTTGTTGTACTAGTAGTAGGATTCTTATCCAGCTAGTGGTTGATTTGATACAAGTCTATTTCAGTTTTCTGCATGTTTGCGTTAAATGTTTGGCAGTAATATTAAACGTGTGTGGTTCCATGTCACACGTTCTTCTTCTTCAGATTCAGAATCTCTAGTTGCAGTTTGGTGACCTCAGGTTTGGACTCTCCTGAGCTCCATCTGGTTGTCTGCTGGATCAGATTCCTCTGGACAGACAGACTTGTACCATACTTGAGCTCGAGGTGTAGCACTCGGAACTTTGCAGTGCATTTCTGATTGGCTGCTCGCTTTGAGTCGAGCATTGTGGGTGTTTTGAATCCGCTTTGCTGCTACTACTCGCCTCTTTTCCACCGGTACCATTTAAATCACATTAACACCCAGAGAAACACACAAAACCTCCGATGTCGGCCTGAGATCGTACGTCTGCGTTACGGTTACAGCTCTGAAGCAGCAGCGAGTCCTGCGGCGTGTTTACAGCTAACAGCTGATGGAGTAAATACTGGGTCCAGAGATATTGGTTTAAGTTTCCATCAGTCAGGAGGTTTCTACAAGGAGACGGTCTCCTCCTCTCCAAAACAAACAGCTGATTACAGCAGCTAATAAAGAACAGACGTGAGTGCAGCTAGCTGAGCTGCTAACGTTTGTTTTTTCCTTCGGTGGTGACCGTTTCTACCGAGAGCTGAGGTCCAAAACAAACAGACCCGATCATGAAAAATTAGCCTCTCTTTTATTATATTCCAATCAGATCTGTTCACATCTACATCTACAACGCTGACACCTGTCCTTCGCTGTGTACAGCGTACCGCAGAGTAAGTAAACTGCTCCCTTCAGGCTAACAATTCAAACATGAATGAATGAGGGTAAAATGGAGCATGAGATCAGATCTGCGGTCCTGGTGAGCGGGGAGCTGAGCAGTGTGGCTGTGATCTGACAGCAGCAGTGTTTAACATGCACCTTCCTCCACGGTGGAGTCCAGCTGTGTGACCTTCACTGCCAGCAGGTCCACTCGCTCCTGCAGGCTGTTCATCCTCAGGTAGAAACTGTTGGCCTCCGTGAACAGCTCACTAAAGATGTCCTCTGCATGGCGACCTGCACATCAACAACAAGAGACAAACCTGAAGTACAGCAGGACCGTGGCGCCCTGTAGGGTGGGACTCGCTCCTGGTAGGTTTCTGTTAACAACATTATAAAGAGCTGCTCAACAGGAAACGTGCAGGGAGATACTTTCTGCTCTATAAACAAAATTTCATTGAATTGCATTAAATTAAAACTTGAAATGGACCAAAGCAGTCCATCGGGGTTTACAGGGATTACACATGGTGTCGGGACAGTTCGGTTACTCAGAGACAAATCATTGTTATTAACATGAAAAAAATGACGATTAATGAAAGCGTTTCTGTCCAGCTGATCAGCACTGCGAGCTTTAAGGGCTGAGGCGAGAGCCTGTCCTCGTAGAACCAGAGTTACATGGGTAACACTCACTGAGGCCGCCCAGCTGTTTGATCACAGCAGCCAGGGTGCTGTTGGTGACGCACTCCAGCTCGCTGGCGACGCCATCAGGCAGGGCGCCGCGGCACAGATACCTCGGTTCGATAATTCGCTTCACCAACGGCATGGCTGACCTGGAGAGAGAGAAGGGGGAGGGCTTTGATGCATTCTCCATTCTGATTGGTCGATTACGCCATCCCTCAGTCTTATTAGCAAACCGCTGCTAATGATCTGAACTTTCCTTTGGTGCGCAACAACCTACCACAAGGTGGCGCTAAAGGCGAAGACACTGGCGGCCACAGAACAGTAATAATGGTTAGTAAAGAATCAGAAGTGGTCAGGGTGATCGGTCACCGATATTAATGAACTGATCATGAACTAATCATCAGCTATACTTGTGATTAGGAGTTCCTTGTTAGCTGATGGGTCACAAGCAGCATGCTCGGCCACGCACGGGAATGCACGGGCACGCACGGGCACGCACGGGAACGCACGGGAACGCACGGGAACGTTAAGGAACGCACGGGCATGCACGGGCACACACGGGCACACACAGGCACGCACGGGCACGCACGGGAACGCACGGGCACACACGGGCACACACGGCACGCACGGGAACGCACGGGCACGCACGGGCATGCACAGGCATGTACGGGAACGCTAAGGAATGCACGAGCATGCACGGGCACGCACAGGCATGTACGGGAACGCTAAGGAACGCACGGGCATGCACGGGCGTGCACGGGCACGCACGGGAACGCACGGGCACACACGGGCATGCACGGGCACGCACGGGAACGCAAGGCACACACGGGCACACACGGGCATGCACGGGAACGCACGGGCACACACGGGCATGCACGGGCACGTACGGGAACGCTAAGGAACGCTCAGGAACGCACGGGAACGCTCGTGAACGCACAGGCACGCACCGGCACACACGGGAACGCTCGTGAACGCACAGGCACGCACCGGCACACACGGGAACGCTCGTGAACGCACAGGAATGTACTAACTAATGTAATACTGTGAAACAGTATTAGTAGTACTGCACTGTAGTATGAGGGCAGTGAGTATGTGCTTTCTCCAAAGTTACTATTAATAGTGCCCTTATGGGGCGAGAGGGTGAAGGACCATTATGGGAGGCTGAGGGTTAAAAGTAATTGACAGGGCACAGGGGCCAAAGTGTCAGGTTTCAGGGCCCAAAGTCTCAGGTTTCAGGGTTCAGGGGCCAAAGTCTCCGGTTTCAGGGCCCAAAGTCTCAGGTTTCAGGGTTCAGGGGCCAAAGTCTCAAGGTTCAGGGCCCAAAGTCTCCGGTTTCAAGGCCCAAAGTCTCAGGTTACAGGGCCAAAAGTCTAAGGGTTCAGGGGCCAAAGTGTCAGGTTTCAGGGCCCAAAGTCTCTGGTTTCAAAGCCCAAAGTCTCAGGGTTCAGGGCCCGAAGTCTCAGGGTTCAGGGTTCAGGGGCCAAAGTCTCAAGGTTCAGGGGCCAAAGTCTCCGGTTTCAAGGCCCAAAGTCTCAGGTTACAGGGCCCAAAGTCTCCGGTTTCAGGGCCCAAAGTCTCAGGTTTCAGGGTTCAGGGGCCAAAGTCTCAAGGTTCAGGGCCCAAAGTCTCCGGTTTCAAGGCCCAAAGTCTCAGGTTACAGGGCCCAAAGTCTAAGGGTTCAGGGGCCAAAGTGTCAGGTTTCAGGGCCCAAAGTCTCCGGTTTCAAAGCCCAAAGTCTCAGGGTTCAGGGCCCGAAGTCTCAGGGTTCAGGGGCCACAGTCTCAGGGTTCAGGGCCCAAAGTCTCAGGTTTCAAGGCCCAAAGTCTCAGGTTTCAGGGCCCAAAGTCTCAGGTTTCAGGGTTCAGGGGCCAAAGTCTCAAGGTTCAGGGGCCAAAGTCTCCGGTTTCAAGGCCCAAAGTCTCAGGTTACAGGGCCCAAAGTCTCAAGGTTCAGGGCCCAAAGTCTCCGGTTTCAAGGCCCAAAGTCTCAGGTTACAGGGCCCAAAGTCTAAGGGTTCAGGGGCCAAAGTCTCCGGTTTCAAGGCCCAAAGTCTCCGGTTTCAAAGCCCAAAGTCTCAGGGTTCAGGGCCCAAAGTCTCAGGGTTCAGGGGCCACAGTCTCAGGGTTCAGGGGCCAAAGTCTCAGGTTTCAAGGCCCAAAGTCTCAGGTTTCAGGGCCCAAAGTCTCAGGTTTCAGGGTTCAGGGGCCACAGTCTCAGGGTTCAGGGCCCAAAGTCTCCGGTTTCAAAGCCCAAAGTCTCAGGGTTCAGGGCCCAAAGTCTCAGGGTTCAGGGGCCACAGTCTCAGGGTTCAGGGCCCAAAGTCTCCGGTTTCAAAGCCCAAAGTCTCAGGGTTCAGGGCCCAAAGTCTCAGGGTTCAGGGGCCACAGTCTCAGGGTTCAGGGCCCAAAGTCTCAGGGTTCAGGGCCCAAAGTCTCAGGGTTCCGGGCCCAAAGTCTCAGGTTTCAGGGCCCAAAGTCTCAGGGTTTAGGGGCCAAAGTCTCAGGGCTAAGGTTCAGGGGCCACAGTCTCAGGTTACAGGGCCCAAAGTCTGACAGAGTTTCTAACGTGATGATGAACAAGTGAAAGAGAGCAGTGACCTCACGGCGCCTGATGATGATGATGGCGCTCGTTGCTGTGAGGCACCGAAAGGAGTGGAACACCTTCATCAGTGCATCCTCACAGGAAACACGACGTGGGTCGCACATACTGAGCGCTGCAGCCTTAGAGGGCATCGCCATGGTAACACCGCCAGCCTTTCCATCACGCTCTGCAGAACACGGTTACTGTTGCTAGGGGACTGTGTGAGGTAACTCACGGTAATCAGATTACCCTGCTGTTCTGTACGCTCTGTGTAACACATTCTCAGGTCTGCAGCTGGGACGCTGACGGACGTGAGAACACGAGCTGATTGGCTGGTGGAGACGATGCTACAGTCACTGCTTTTAAACCATCACAGAAGAAGAAAATGCGCCGAGGTGATGTCATTAACATGATGACATCAGACCGCCGCTGTGATCCACAGACTGACCCCCCCCCCCATCTGCCTAATAAGCGGTAACCATAGAAACCAGTAACACCCCCCCCACCCCCCACCCCCCACCCTCCGTGAGCATGCTCAGACACATCCTGCTGTCTTTGTGCAGATCACAGTTTCTCAACCCGGGGCTCGGGGCCCGCGTCAGGCCGTTCTCTATAGGACACAGTTTGAAACGAGTCCTGCAGAGGAGTGAAGGCGGGGCTGCACCTGCGAGTCTCACCTCAGGTGTTTAAAGGTGCAGTCAGTCCTGTTTGTGTCTTCAGCGCCGTCATGTTCATCTACGATCAGCCGCTCAGCTTTCTAAAGCGGTCTGATCCAGAATCAGTGCTCTAACCTCCCAGCCCCCTTCAACTACCCGCGTTACTCAGCGAAGTACCTCCACCTGTGCAAAGGGCCTCAGGTGAGCTGGGGCCACGCAGCTAGCAGCTAACGTTAGGGATCACGGGTTCAGTTCCTGGAACCATGTGGTCTCCTGGAGCAGATTCAGCCTCCTGTGATGATGCTCTGTGAGTCCACCACCTGTAGTCCACATCCTGGAGCTGCACTGATCACACTTATTGATTTGGGATATGCACGTAATAATATACAAGCTCCGCCCCCTCACACAGGTAGGAAGGCACGTCCATAACACACACATACATACTCACACGCACGCGCACACACGCTGCTCCAACACGCTGCATGACGTAATGCATGTGTGTGAATTCAGGCCTGTTCTTGCTGACACCATCGATCTATCGATCAGCTGATCGGCGGCTCTGCACCCATCAGGCTCTGCACGGTCTGACCGCTGATGACGTCATCGCCGTATGACTGACAGGTCGCTGTTTCCGCAGAGACCGTCACGGCCCGCGGATCGATCACAGCCCTGTCACGTCACGTTACAAAGCGATAAGAACCAATAAGGGATCGATGAGACTCACCGCGGGCTGAGGAAGGTTCCGCTCCGGGTCCGGTTCGGTCTGCAGCGGCTCCTCCGTCACAGAGCGGCGGACAGCGGACTCATCCTCCGATCCTCTGACCGGGAGTGGATGCTGAGAGGGGGGGGGGGCTCGGCTGCTGTCGGAGAACTTCGGCCGGTCGGAGATGAAGCTGGTCACGTGTGAATGAAGCAGAGACAAGTGAACGTGTTAGATATACTGATTTAAACTACTGTTACTATTCCAACATCACAGATATCTATAGACTATCAATCAGATCATCAACACTTCAGCTCCACCTGAAGGGGGACACCTGGAGACACCAGGAGACACCTGCAGACACCTGCAGACACCAGGAGACACCCGGAGACACCTGGAGACACCTGCAGACACCTGCAGACACCAGGAGACACCCGGAGACACCCGGAGACACCTGCAGACACCAGGAGACACCCGGAGACACCCGGAGACACCTGGAGACACCTGCAGACACCTGCAGACACCAGGAGATTAATGGCAGCTGTTCCACCATGGTTATACCTCAGCCTGGAGGTGATATCTCTACTGAAACAGGTTTGTTCAAGTAAAAACATTTTAGATATGCAAACTCATGCTGCATGAGAAATATGGGTACTACATCCATTTATTTACAGATGGTTCTAAGAACCCAGAGAACTGAAGATCCAGCTGTGCTTCTTACATTACAGAATTAAAAGGTGTTTGAAAGATTAATGATCATTTATCGGTGTCTGCAGCAGAAATGACGGCAGTCTTGTTTGCACCACAGTGGATAGAGGAAGTCAAACCCATGAGAATGAGAATTTGTTCAGGTCTAGCGCAGCTCTGGCCAGTCTCAACAGTACAGCGTCAAAATGTAGGGAGGATATATTGTTTGAAATATTCTTATCTTTATACAGAGTGAGTAGTCTGGGGGTTGATGTTCAGTTTTTATGGGTGCCAGCACACATTGGCATCCAAGGGCCCGAGATGGCCGAGCCTTTAGCAAAAAATGGGTTGAAAGTAAATCAGGTAGAGGCGGCAGTGCCAGTTAGCAAAGCAGAGATCAAAGCATATGTGAGATGCAGTGGCAGAGTTTATGGGATAAAGGAAATAAAGGAAGACCTTTATAAAAGACTGAGCAGAAAGTGGGGAAGAGCAGAGAGAGTCAATTCAGCAGAATCAGACTGGGTTAAGTTAAATGCATCTCTGCACCTTGTTGGAAAACATTCATCTGCCACATTCTGCCGGTCAGCGATGTTTTAGTTTAGCACTCTGCTCGTTAGCTTGTGAAGCCTGCAGTCAAGCAGAAACTGTGGAGCATGTGCTGCTTGAGTGCACTAAATACTCAACGAAAGACTGGCTTTAAGAAACGGACTGGAACATGAAGGAATGAAACAAATGGACATTAAAACTATTTTCTCAAATAACTCCGGAAAGATGGTGTTTAAACACATCTCATCTTTTCTACAACAGACTGGACTGGACACAAGGATTGAGCCAGATGTAACTACGATACAGTAGGTGGCGATAATGCTCCATCGGGTTGCAAGTCACCATCTGCTCGGGGGCCTGCGCCTGCTGGTAACGTCACATAATGTGATTGGCTGTATGTCGAAGTGTTTACCGATACTAGTTTTGGGTGACTTAGTGTTACGACTCTAATGTTAGCTGCCGATCCGCTAACGTGTGTGTGTGTATGCTATTTCCATATTGCCAAAGCAAACGTGAAATAAAAGCAAAAATATTTAATAAAGACCCCGAGCAGATCTGATACCTACATTTATAACCGGGGCACTATGTAGTTTGTCAGAGCAGCTTAAGTTAGCTACCGTTAGCTTAACGTGATTGGCAGCTAACATTAGCGTTGTACCATTAATACACAGCTAATGTCAGGCTGTGTTAAGTCCCGTTTATTAAGTAGAGCTGCATTTCATTGTATAAGTTCTCCCAGAGCCGTTAAATAAGATTATTTAACTAAGATAAGATTATTTAACTAAGATAAGATTATTTAACGGCTCTGGGGCCTCCATAGTTGATCCGAGGACCCCCAATCACAATTAGCCACTTCATCACTTTATGTGACGTTACCAGCAGGCGCAGGCCCCCGAGCAGATCTGGAACCGGTCTCTCGACAATTTTTAGAGAGTTTGGACTTGTTTTCGTCGAGACACACAGGGAAGAGTATTTTCACGGCATAAAAGGAAATTTATTTTCACTGAATCCAATCATGGATTATCTTAATACCTGTCTTTTTGCCTAAAATGTAGTACAGTTTTGAAACACCTGACCAACTACTGGCAACTGTCAGTGAGGCTTAAAGACGAATCACCAGAGCAGGGTCATTTGTAACCCCCTGTCAATGTTTATTTATATTTTGATGTGTGGATATAATCCATCTATCCATTGGTCCATGCATGATAGACCAGGAGTTAGATGGAAAGACGTCTCTCTTTCCTTATATGAGAGATATTATCATGGATGGAAAGAGATAATATCTACAAATATCAATCCATCTATTTATCGACTCACGATGGATGGTTGGTTGAAGGTTAGATGGATGTGTGGATATCTGTCATATATATTTCCATAAACAGTTCACCTATAGATATAATTAAATTTAATCAGATACAATTTTATTAAATGGACAGACTTTTCTAGCAAGTGTTACAACTAACCCCGCCCCTGGGGTAAGTCGACATTCAGCGCAATTGTATAAGAACGGTAGGTCCTAGAAACAAACTTCAAGTGTTCATTCATAGCAGAGATGTGTGTGTGTGTGTGTGTTTGTGTGTGTGTGCTTGCGTAAAAATATGATTTATCAAACTCAAATATTTTTTACATTTTTTAGTCCAAACCAAAATGTGTTAGGTTGTGCCCCGCTCGCCCAGCAGCACAAGTGATCAGTAATTCTGTGAAAAGTAAAAATTACTCAGATCCTTTATTTAAGTAAAAGTACTGCAGTATTAAAATACTGTGTTACAAGTAAAAACCCTGCATTTTAAAATCGTGGCTCAAAGTGTGGAAGTATAATGGAGGCGGTATAACGGAGTGAGTATTTAATACTTCATAGTATTTTAACACAGTAATCTGTAATCTGTGACTGCAGCCGTCGGGTACATGTGGTGAAGTATTAAATAGTATGACATGAAAATACTACAAGTACAGTATAAGTACCTCAAAACTGTACTGAAATACAAACAGTCATACAGTCATGTTAGCAGGAGTTTCAGCAGCATCAGTACTACAGTAGTACTTTATTATTAGTGTTAGTATAAATCTCTTCTCTGTGGTGATTTATTATGTAGGAATAAACCAATCGGCCACATGGGGGCGCCTCAACACCCTCTGATCTGATCCGGATCTGATCCTGTGAAACCTGGAGGAAGCTTTAGTCTACCCTTCTCACCTGTCTCTGTTCACCTGTAATTCAGATCCTGTAGAGGACTCCAGGTCCTGCTCTGCTCCCAAAGCTTCACACAGACCCTCTTAAAGGTTTGCTGAGACACCTGGGTTCTCCTGAAAGCTTTAAAACCCCTCTAAGCCCCTCATGCTCTATAGGGACACACTAAAGACCCCCTCAAGGATCCAGGTACCTCTCTGGAAACCTCCCAGGGATCATTGGGAACTTTAAAATGGACCTGGACCCTCCTGAGGAGACACAGGAGACCACGTGGAACCCCAGGACCTCCTCCTCCATGAAACAGTGAAAAACATGCAGCTTTTTTCTTTATTTATGGTGCTGCTCAGCTCAGGAAGGTTTCCCGTCCAGAACAGAACCAGGCCTCCTGAGAAGGACACCTGATCATGAGTCCTGCCCCTTTCCAACGACTTCAGAAGAATATTTCTCACTTGTATAGACTCTGAATCCCTCGTCTACAGCTTGTACAACACTACTACTACATGTAGTCACTAGAGAATCAGAAGAAATCAAGGGTCCAGGCTGAAGACCAGGGCCCGATGGTTGAGACCTGGCCCTCAGACGGCATCAGACCTGATTCGGTCGTGGACGTCTCCGCCTGGACTGAGGAACACAAACCATCACCTGTGAACTCGTCTCTTGTCCACAAATACAAGCTGAAAGTCCACCATGGAGACGTCTATAAACCAGAACCAGAACTAGCTCCTGTGGGCCGAGCTCATTAAAGATGGACTGAGGACAAGAGGTAAGCAGTCCTGAGGGTTAGTCGCTGCATCCTCGGGACTAAAGAGGGGTGGGCCATCCAGCTGGTTCTCAGAGTACAGCATGGTCTAGGGGTGCGCGGTGTGAAGGCACCGCCAACCATAAAGGTTCAGAGCGACACATACTGCCAAGCAGACGGCGTCTTCTTCTTATTTCAGCAGGACGAAGCTAAACCAGGCTCTGAAGGTGTTCAGCAGCACGTCCCTGCAGGGATGAGTCCAGGTCCTGAGCTGGTCTGCCTGCAGGAATCCAGGTCCCAGCAGTCGGCCTCCTCAGGACGCTCAGAGAGTTTTAATTATGATATAATTATAACTATTCATGTAGCTGACCGACAGCGGCTACATGTCAGAGGTCGCACGCCTCTGGAGCAGCGAGGCATTCAGAGTCCTGCTCAGGGACACGCTGGTGGGCGGGTCACAGTGGATTCAAACCCGGGTCTCTCACACCAAAGGCATGTGTCTTATCCACTGCCCCCCCGCCATGAAGAAGAGCTGATGCAGCAGAGCGGGAAAAAGAACCTGAACCTGAAAAACTCAAAATGGACATTTTCCAAAACATTTTTCAGTTTCAGCATTTAAAAAGTCTTTATTTCAGTTAGACAGGAAGTTTCAGTGTTTCATCACTTTCTGTTTCCATTTTAGGTCGTGACTTCTGGGAAACAGGCTTCACACTGCAGCAGCTTCCAGGCACACTGACGTTATCACACACACACACAGTATCACACACACACAGAGTAACACACACACACACACACACAGTATCACACACACACAGAGTAACACACACACACACACACACAGTATCACACACACACACACACACACAGTAACACACACAGTAACACACACAGTATCACACACACACACAGTAACACACACAGTAACACACACAGTAACACACACACACACACACACACAGTATCACACACACACAGAGTAACACACACACACACACACACAGTATCACACACACACACACACACACAGTAACACACACAGTAACACACACAGTATCACACACACACACAGTAACACACACAGTAACACACACAGTAACACACACAGTAACACACACACACACACACACAGTATCACACACACACACACACACACACGGCTCTCTAACATTCTGACTACATGATGTGGAAACGCTGATCCTGGATCCACTGAGACTGGTTAGGTAACAACACACACGGGGTGTTGTGTTGCCATGGTAACCAGTGGCGTGTCATCACATCACAGGATGCAGCTGTTCGGAGGAGTCGGCTCTGCTGTGGAGTTTACTTGCATTCAACTAAAGCGTTTTACCAGAACTTACAGCTGTTTCAGTCCAAACTCTGACTGAGGTCAGAACAGGAACTCTCTGAGACACAAACACTCTGTTTCAGCTCAAAGCTTGATTTATGGGACAAATGTGTGTGTCAGGTCTAAACTGTAAAGTATGAGAAGTAAAAGTACTCCTGCAGTGTAAAAGTACTCCTGCAGTGTAAAAGTACTCCTGCAGGAGTAAAAGTACTCCTGCAGAGTAAAAGTACTCCTGCAGTGTAAAAGTACTCCTGCAGAGTAAAAGTACTCCTGCAGGAGTAAAGGTTCTCATGCTTTGTCAGGTCTGTCAGCAGGACAACAACTTCTAAAATGTTTGTTTTCTGAATGGAGTTTGGATCGATCAGGGCTATGCTATGCTAACCAACGACAGCTGGAATAAAGTTACAGACACGTTTTCTGAACTCACCCGGTAGTTCAACCTCCTCACTTTCTTTTCTCCAAGTAATGTCCAGTTTTGTCTATTTGTCAGTTTTGTTTATATAAATATGTAGTCGTAGTCTGACAGAGCTAACGACGCTAACATCGACAGTGGAACCGGATGTGCACAGAAGCTGCTGAGAAGCTCCAGTGAAGATAAATCAATGTTGAAATCCCAAAAACTAAAGTAAAAAGCTAATTTAATAAAAGCAGTTAACTCCGAGCTCCTCCTGTGAGTAAACAGCGTAGTTGTCAGAGCAAAGTCCAGTCCGACTACAGGTGTTTATTTGTCCAATGGTTGCAGCGCTGCTCCCTGCTGGGAGACACCTGTGCAGGTGTGCAGAGACTTCAGATAAACGTAGTGGAGTAGAAGTATAAAGTAGCAATGGAAATACTCAGGTAAAGTACAAGTACCTCAGAATCTAGCACTCATGTAAACTAAAGAATGAATGTCGATTAATAGAGAGAGACTTTCTGCCCTGAGTTCAGCCTCACAGGCAGGTGATGTCTCAGCAGAAAAGGTTATTAGAAACACTTCCTGTTGTCATCAGAGACTCCTCCAACCGAAGGGATGAAAACGTTTCAGCCGAACGTTTTGAACTTGTTTCTTCTGTCATGAAATAAAAACAAAGATAGAAGTCAGGAATCGGACGTGAGATTCTGGTTTATTTAATAAAAACAAATTCAGCGCAGAGACCAAAGTGAAACAGGTTCAGAGGTCACGCAGCTGCTTCTTTCATGCTGTTTCACTTTAATGACATGACGAAGAACACCCAGTCCAACATGCTGATGTTTCCTGACTGAAGCCTCCAGCAGACAAGAAGAAGAAGACAGGAAGTGATGTTACGTCCCTGCAGACACCTGGCTGGACGCCATCCTGATGCTCCGGTTATATAACAGAGCAGCTCTCTGACTTGATTTACGTGAACGATATCTGCAATGCTTTTCTGACTCGTCATCATTTCAGATTTCTTGATTAAATCATTTCTTAAACAGCTTCAGCAGGTCTGCAGGAGGACCGGCCCGGAGTTACAGTGAGCCCAGAAACCAAAGACCAGCATAGACGTAGTCCTGAACCTCATCTGGACTGTATCTGATCCCAGATCCTGTAGATGACCATCACATTCTCATCTCAATGCGTCATAACTGAAGCTTTCAGACAGCGTGACAAAGCGTGAGGATTTTACGCTACGTTAGCACATCGGCCGTGAGCGCAGATTAGCCGGTCGACACGCATAAAGTCAGTGACATAGGTTTAGATACTAACTAAACTAGCGCTAGCTAACTAGCACTTCCGGTCCGTCCCAGAGCGTCTCTATGAGTGTTGTGTCAATTTATGGTTACTTTGCTTTAGTTGTACTGAGCAATCCAAGCCTAGATTCACCCAGGGCTCTCAGGGCACTCCCAAACTGCAGGGGGCAATCATGCAACAAAAGTTGGTGGAACCAACTTTTGGGGAAGTAGCTTTTGGGACTATATTTGCCTGCGCACCCACAGAGAGAGCATGGCATTGAAATGTTTGTAGAGAGTTCGGTTGGTTCTCTCATTTATTCCTGGAAAAGGACACTATGATTACAGCTCCTGATCACTCAAAGACGCAACTGGTAGGACAATTTATGATTGACTGTGTTTGAATATATTGAGTTTTAAATGTTCAGGTTCTGCTTGGATTGTAATTTGCAATTTAAAATAAGTAATAGGGATTTGTTATGTGAATGTTGAACTTGATAGAAGTAACATGTGCATGAGTTTAATTATGGGATTGGTATTTTCTTGTTAAAATCCTAGGTTAGATTTAAGGATCGTGTTTAGTTTGGTTTGAAGGTTCAATAGCATTTATTTATTACTTCTGTGAGAAAGTGGTATTGTGATTTATGTGTGACTGATTCATGACTTATCTGTAACTAATTCACGTTTTGGTTTGTGCATTTGAAAGGTTATCAACCTATACCTACTGCCCCACACTGATCTATCAAGTCACATTCAAGAAACTATACCATATTATTCCATCACTGGTCTATCAAACCATCTCAAAGAAAATAAAGAATCAAGAAGTGAAAAGATTGAGTTGTCCTTTGCGTTCTTCAGAGAGAAAAGCAGTTTTCAAGTTTGGGCTGAGCTGTAATCAATTAAAAACACACAGAACTTGACAGTTGATAACCAAGGGTGGCAGTGAGAATAAGGATAAAAGGCCTGAAGTCAAGCTGTCAACGCAAAGGAAGAATTGACTGGAAACTTTTTCACCATGGCAAAGGAAACTCTTGGGAAGACAGTCAAGCAACTGAAACAAGAGCGGACCTTAGCTAAATCTGCTTTCACCAAGCAAGCAACCCACATAGCAGTGACATTTGGCCCAGATTTGGCTTAAAGCTGGCACTGCTGGCACTGAGTCGGCACTGGCATAAGGCATATGAACCGAACATGGCCCAGGTGTGGCAGACAATGGCACCGCCTTTAAGGCGGCAAACAAGATATGGGCCAGTTGTTGAGCGTTGTATTTGGCCCAGATGTCAAATTAGAAATGTGGGCCACAGATGTATGACCGGTCTTGTCCCACAGTTTAATTTCAGATATTTTTGAGTAAGGTGCTAATAATTATTTAAAAGCATACTTCCATGACTTGTATTTGTAAACAAACAAATTTAAAAAAATTAGGCCCATGATGAGTTTTTTTTTTCTTTTTTAAAATACAAAATCTAGACACCTCCTCCACTATTTTTGTACCTTGCCAGTAAAAAAACCGTTTTAAGATTTATTTATTTTTTGTTAGGAATTAATTCAAATAATGTCATGATCCTGTAGGGATTTAGCTCCATTCAAGCCGTCTTGAAATGGTGATCTTCTGAAAAGGAAAAACTAATGGGAATTTAAATTCTGAAACAAGGCCCTGGAAATAGTAGGCGTTAACGTTCTGATGTCAATCAATTGAATTTATCAACGTATCCACTCAGTGTAGGCTGCACCAGGGCCGTGGACAGGGACGTCACTGGAACGAGCCAACGGTCGAGACTACCAAGAAAAAAGAGAGAGTGCTGACTCACTGCACTCACTGTCACGGACTAGTTTGGGGAATAGCAAGTTGCCCAGAGCACTGTGGCTACAAGCCAGCAAAGAAGTGGTGAGTGAGAAACAATAATTTCATGTTTATGAAAACGTTACTGTTTTAGTTATTACATTTGCTGTTAGCTCACAAAGCTAACATTCGGGAGAGGTCGGGAGTCTAGCTTGAATGTTACTGTAAGGATGGGGCTAGGCTAGGTATAAGCTAACGTTAGCTAGCTAGCTAATCGTCATAGGCTATTAAAAAGATGTTATTTCCGAGTAAGCTTGTGAAAAGTGCTATTTTTGGTTAACCTATTTTGCAATTAAATTTAGATAACATTAGAGAATGGTATTCTTTCAAGCTAAGTGATATGCCTTGATATAGATTAGCTAACGTTAACTTAATGTAGTTTTGAAAAGTAACGGCAGGATTTTTGAATTTAGCGGCATTTGGAGATGCGCGTGCAACCATCACGCCATGGCCGTGCAGCTCTCCTTTAAATTTCAAACACGCAGAAAAAATATTTTACGTATTACAAGATTATCTATATCAATGCAGTGTCACTAATCTTGAAATAATTTTGAAATAATTAGTTCAGCTCGAGTAGTTCATATGTCACCTGCTCTGCTGCGTGTGTAAGGTTGACTGACGTTAATACACACAGACATGAAGCCCCATCAATGGCCCATCCTCAACCTGGGGAAACACTGCTTGCTGTCTTTTAATACTAACGTTATTGGATTACTATTTCTTATTTGGGCTATTTGGGATTTTGGCTTAATGCATTATTATTTAAAAAAGAAAAAAGAATTCAATTTTAAAAGTTCAATAAATGCAGGATGTTCCCGAAGGCAGTAATTGTTTTAAATAATTGTGATCTCAATATTTACCAGATTAATTGTGATTATGACTTTTGCAATAATCGAACACCCTAATGTAATCTATATTTAATTGCAGAATAGCTTAGCTCTTGTCATTGATATTTCATTCTCATTTTAAGCTAAATAAATATATAACATAAAAAAAATTGTAATTTGGTATATTCTTCTTTGTCTGTTTCAGGTTGAAGGACAAAAGTTTGAGGAAAGTCACGGTATGGAAAAGGCGTGGATGTACAATGATAGGGGCAATGCACGAAGAAGGGCATTAAAGACAGTCAGTAAACTGATTGAAAATGAGCTGGATAGGGGAGGGATGGTGGATGCCAATTTAGAGTTAGGTGATTGTGTTGATGATTCAGAAGAATCTGAGATGCTATTTAGTGATGAAGAAAGTGATCAGTGTCTTCATGTTGAGGAAAAGGAAGTATATGAAGAGACTGTAGCTTCTGTTGAGGATCTGCCTGATCTTGGAGAACAGTGCAGTCATAGTGATGGTGATTTGCGGAGCTCTCTGGCAGATTGGGCAGTTGAATTTGGTATTTCTCTAATAGCTCTGTCAGCGCTTCTCAGCATTCTCAAAATCTACCATCCCTCTCTGCCAAAGGATGGACGAACACTGCTGAAAACAAAAACATGCTACAACATTAACAGTGTAGCTGGTGGTGTGTTCCACTATTGTGGAATTCTGAATTCTATCAGGAAAATTCTAGATAAAGTGTGGTCTACAGTGCCAGACGGACATGCTTTTAAACTGTAGTTGAATTTTGATGGTCTGCCGCTTTGCAAGAGTACTAGTACACAGTTTTGGCCAATTCTTGGTATGTTGCAAAGATACACCAAGAAACCAATGTTGATCGGACTGTTTTGTGGTACTTCTAAGCCAAATTCGTTGGCCGAGTATCTTCATAATCTGGTTCAAGAGTTGAAAATGTTGAAAAGTGGGTTTCTGTTCAAGCAGAAAACCTTCTTTGTGAATGTTGTTTCTGTTGTGTGCGATACCCCAGCCCGAGCCTTCATAAGAGGTGTGAAGTCACACACTGGATACCATGGGTGTGACAAGTGTCACCAAACGGGTGTCCGCAAATCTAATCGAATGACATTTCCTGAGGTCAATGCAAGGCGCAGAACGGATGACAGTTTTAGGCAAGCAGTAGATGAGGAACATCACATCCATCACTCACCTCTTGCAGATGTTGGCATTGACATGGTGGCTTGTTTCCCATACGATTATATGCACCTGGTTTGTCTGGGTGTAATGAGGCGTCTCTTAGATTTGTGGATCAGCACCACTGGTCCTTTGCGCTGTCGCATTTCATCTAGTCTAGCTTCCATGGTTACGGATAGACTTCTTGCTCTGAAAAATTACATTCCCAGTGAGTTTGCTCGAAGGCCACGGGCACTGGCTGAACGATGTAGGTGGAAAGCCACAGAATTCCGCCAATTCTTGTTATACACTGGTCCGGTTGTGCTGAGGGGTGTTTTAAAACCTCAGATCTATGACAACTTCATGCTTTTGTCAGTAGGTGTGTATATTTTGGCAAGTCCAAAATATTGTATGGAGATGAACGACCTTGCTCACACTCTGCTGGTTTCATTTTTTGAACACTTTGGACAGCTTTATGGTGAAGAGTTTTGGGTTTACAATATTCATGGTCTGTTGCATCTCAGTGAAGATGTCAAAATACATGGCAATTTAGATCTTATATCAGCATTTCCCTATGAAAATTTCTTAGGAAAACTTAAAAAATTGGTTCGGGGGCCATGCAATCCTTTGACTCAGGTGTTACGCAGATTATCAGAAATGGAAAATGGCAGCTACAGTCCAGATGTTAAAGAGGCAACTCAAAAACTGGATAAAGAGCATATGGGCGGGCCAGTGCCAGAGTGCTTCTCACAACATGTTCGTCAATTTAAAGTATTGGCTATTGATGATATAGTTGTGAAGCCCAATGAGAGAGATTCTTGTATCAAAGTCGATAACAAGTTTGTTTTAGTCCGAAACATTGTTGAGGATAAAGGAATTGTGTACCTTGTGGGTAATGAATATAAACAGGTGGAACATTTCTTTAAATATCCAATTGACTCAAAAGAGTTGGAAATTTATGTGGTTTCCAACCTCTCCACCAATATCAAGTGTTTTATGATTGAAAAGAAGCTACAGAAGTATGTAAGATTACCATTTCGAAACAGATTTGTTGTTGTTCCACTCTTGCATTGAAACTAGTAACCCTGAAGTTGCTCTTGTATTTTAGTTGGCTATGGAATTTATGTAGTCATGGTTGCTTATTTTCAGATGTTTCATATTGTTGTCTTTGACAACACAAATGAGGTTGAAGTTGTGCCTTCAGTCTGGATAGAAAATGGAGAGTGTATGTGGCCTCCAAATAAAATTGATGTGGCAAAAGCTGTAAAATCTCAAGAATGTCCTGGAGATGGATGGATGCCCCATAAGGCCAGAATTATCTTCACATCACGTAAGTTAAGTGTTATCACCTCTACCTTTTAAATTGATCTAATGATGGATCATAATATCACTTAAATTTACTTTTTTTCCCCTGTATTTTGTTTTTCTAGATGACTACAATGAAGCAAGGCTTAAACTACCTCAGGCTGTCGATCACACTGACCTTGGAAGTGACGGAGGGGACTTGCCAATTAAATTTAAAAGAAAAAGAATGTATGTTTTTTGTTTTTTTATAAATCTGCAGCAGTGTTTCCCGTACGTTCATTTATTTGTGGCGGCCCGCCACAATATCAACGCTGACTGCCACACATTGATTTTAGATTATTTTTTACTAAGCCTATTTAAAATCGTATTTGATTGCAGAGCGCCGTAGCGCATTAATGCAGCACTTTCTCTCACTCGTCCCTCTCTCTCTCTCACTCACCTGTACCCTCTCTCTCTCCCTCTCTCCCTCATGGAACACAGCTGCACAAATTATTATTATTATTAGCAAGCATGTAAGGAGCCTAGCTAATAAGGAGAGCTAAGTTAATGTTATAAGCAGCTGGATTTTCGAGACTAGCACGCTGTATATAGCTGGTAGTCAATATGCATGCACTCGCGCACACATACTGTTTCTTAAAATTATTAAATGTGTTTTTAGACGCAAGAATATTCTTTTCCCTGGGGAAGACGATGAAGAGATGGAAAGCACCCTGAAAGTCACATTGCCCAATGCTCCAAAGATCCCTAGGCAGTACAAAACTCCTACATTAAAGCCAGGGAAGCAAGGCCAGAACCTCCAGCCAAGTGGCAACAGCAGTCCTGACTTCCCACCAAGTGGCAACAGCAGTCCTGAGCCAAGCCCAAGTCAGCACTCCTGTACTTCCAAGTTTCCTTCAAGCTGTCACACCAGCACCGAGAGCCGCCGGTCGCCGAGGCACACCGAACGATCTATACTCCCATCAAGGCACCCCGAGGCACACCAGACCAGGGAGCAGACATCCAGTCTGCAAACTTGTGAGTATTCAATGATGTTTGTTACATTGTATGAATTCTTTATTTGGCTAAATGGTTTCTTCAGATAATGAGGAAAATAAGACTTCCAACATTAAGTATACACAGATGACTAACAGAGGTCAGATAAGACTATCAGTTCGGTGGCTTAACTAGTTTTATACTGTTTCTAATCTATCTTTCTTGCTTGTTTTCTTCTTAGCCCTTCTGCGTAGTATATTAACAAAACAGGAAATGATGATGGACCAACTGCGCATCATCTTTAAGACCCTACAGGGTATGAAAGCGACTGATGAGGCAGAGATAGGCCTGGATCGAAATTTGTTGCCCGTCAAAGACGTCAGTTCTCTTCAGAACCTGGAGGAACAACTGCAGAGTATTCCTGACCTCCAGAAACAGTTGGTATGTTGGCATATCAAATACAGTGACATATTTCCTACTTAGCTGGCTAGCTTTTATTTTCCTTAAATTCTCTCATGAAAACCTGACCAGGTACCCGCAGGGATTTAAAAGTAATAAAAAAGCATTTAATTTTTTATGATCAAAACACTATATACAAAAACAAAAAAGGAAATACTATTTAAATATCAGGGATGTGATTTTTCTGGATTAATCCGGAATTCCTGATTTTCCGACCTGAAAATATGACCCGCATGAATCATGCAGATCTGTAATAAAAACAATTTAAACAGGAGCTCACTGAGTGAAATGGAAAGGATTTGAGGACATCTACAGGCTGACATGTGTAAAGTTTTCTTCCTGTACAGTGTGTACCACAGTCGCTCTCGCGCATCAGTAGTACGTAACGTGTTGGGCAGTAATACTGCAATATTACTTTTCCGGGTAAAGAGTAATGTAAGGGATTACTACTTCCAAAACAGTTATATTATTACAGTTACTAATCCAAATAACACTGCGCTACTGAACGCACCATCCCTGTCGTGAATGTGCGACCGCGCTGCAGCTCAGTGGCACCGGCCCTTCTGCATTTCAAGTCAGCTGTTAGCCAAGAAGCTAAAGGAAAAGTGGAGAACAGGCAGAGAGAGGTATTTTCGACCGCTGTAAATAACTTTATTGCCATTATTGTGTCACAGTCTAAGATGCAAAGAACATTGCCGTCCGTTGTAAACCTTGTGCGACCAGCAAAAAGTTTTTGACCGCGAACAATTCTGCATTTATACTTAAGCTAATTGAAGCATCAGCTAAAGCAACACAGCAACGTGAAACTCAGAAAGAAACTCCGGCCGCTGCCAGTGATGCTTGGACTCATGCGGTGAGAGTGGCGTTAATCACCCAGTAAAAGAGAGTAGCTAATATTACTTTTTTAAGGAGTATATGCTAAGTAACTAGTAAGTAGCTGTATTATTTCTGAACAACACTAAGTTGACAGTAAGATCGGATAAATTGGGTATGTTTTGATTATTGCTTGTTATAGGCTATCTAATGTTTACTTTGACTTTGTTGTCGATTGATCAATCACCTAGACTATATAGCCTACACTTTGCTGTATGAATGGTAGCTTTTTAAGTCCTTATGTTTTGGCAAGTTTTAAATTAATTTTTTGTGAATGGTTGCGACAAGGTTTGTAAGGCCTTTTCAGACGGCTTTGATCCGCGTGGTCGCTCTGCACTCAGGCAAACAAGCACTCCACGAGGTAACCATGGCAACGGCTTCTGTGTAGCTGGCACGAATCCCGTGAAACTGTCGCGGCTCGTCTCACGCGCCCGCCAGAGTTGAAATGTCAAACTTTTCCCTAAAGTTTATCAACAGAGACTGATCAGCTGTTTGATCTGAGTTTCCTGAATAATATTACTGTTTCTTTAACAATTAGGCCACCAGGTCTTAAACAGGCAACAACCTTTGCTGCTGTCTCTTATTCATTAAAAATAATCTATCAACTACTGAACTAATCTTAAAGTTTAGTGTGATCGTGGAGTGTGCACAAATGTATATTAAAATTTAAGTACCTGGTAAAATCCATACTGATTTTCCATTATATCCTTCATACTTTTGCCAGTATGGCTGTTAAATTGGCATTAAATTTCATTCTAAGTGGTATTACAAAGGTCTTTAAAAGTCTTAAATTTAATTCGGACAATCTTGGGGGTACCCTGCTTAAGCACAGTGTAACATGTTTTTCATGTGGGTTTATATATTTTAAAACTAACTTTAAAGGACAAAACCAGCCTTAAATTTATTTTCCGTCAACTGCCATAATCATAAATGTATGCTACAAGTGTTTGTTGCAAAACTGTACTTTTTTTATGTTGAAACAACATTCTTCCTTGTTGCCTGAAACTTAAAGGTTGCCATGATAAGTAAATCCATCAAAACTAAGCAGCTAGCTACAGGAACACCACTTACTTATGCTATACATTCTATCCATTACTTAAAATACGTAAATATGAAACCATTGCTGGGGGGAAAAAACTAATTAAGAAATATGATTTCAGGTGAACACGCTGGCTCTCAAAGGGGGGACTGACATTCGTGAGTGTGTTTGGAGGATTATGCACGCAATGATTACAAACTCCTTGGCGAAGAATATCAACATGAGAGGAATAAATGGAAAGATTGGCTTTCAGCGCCTACAGATAAGAGATGTTGTGATTGGTAAGTTGGCCTTCATACCAACATTGGCATGTATATGTTTAAGAACCATTAACAGTTATCTAACTTGATAGTTCAGGGTCTTAAGAAGGAAGGAAGGAAAGCAGGGATGGACAAGATGAGGAAATGTGAAGGAAAGTAGAGGAAAGGAAGCAGGTGAGAAAAGTGAAGGAGCTGAAAGGAGAAGACAGGAAGAGAGATGAGGGTAGGGGTGGACAGGAGAAGGGTCATTAGAGGACAGTAGAGGAAGAGAAGACGGGTGAGGTGATGAGCAGAGGAGAGGAAATACCGTGATTTATCTTTTATTGGAATAGATACAATAGGACTTATTTAGAGATAATTGATTCGGGCAGGGGAAATTGAGAATGGCTGGTTGCTTTAAAAGAAAAATTCCCTTAAACTGAACCAACGCCCTTTTGACAGACATTCTGGTGTGATATCTACATGCAGAGACCATAATTTTGCAGATCAGTTTAAGTAGAAAGCCATAGGCAGCCATTACTGGTTCATATTGTACTCTGTCCTTTAAAATCCTGTAGTCACAAGTTAATTGTGTGTGTTTTTTTTTTTTTTTTTAGCTGCTGTGAGGCGTAACCGTCTGACATCTGGGGCCACGGACCAAGAAATAGATTCCACCATCAAAAGATGGCTTCATCTGGCTCCGGATAGGGATGGTGGCAGGAGGGAGAGGATGAGGAGAAAAGAGCGTGAAGAGAGCAGGACAGCAGTAAACAATTTAATGAACTGAAACATGGCATAGACATGTGTGCAGAGTACAACGGGTTCATGTACTGAAACATAGCATGGATGTTCAGAAGTTGTTTTTTGTCAAGTGTTTAACAAGTTTACAAGTGCAAAACCGAACTGAATTTCAGCTGGAACAGCGGGAGGCCAAGACTGTATTTGTTATCCTGGACGAAAGTTGTGTGCAGAGTACAACGGGTTCATGGACTGAAACATAGCATGGATGTTCAAAAGTTGTGTGTGTTTTACAAGTGCAAAATCTAACTGAATTTCAGCTGGAACAGCAGGAGGCTGGATCCGTGTTTGCTAACCTGGACTGGGCTAAAACACTTAACCTGGTCTGGATGTTGTGGGAAATAAATACCATAATTTCTGTGCCGGAGAGATCCTCACGCCAAACTATGTTCAAAAATCTTTTATGTACAAGTGTTTTGTACAAGAATTTCCTATTTGTCTGTACATTTTTACAAATGCACTGCTGACGTGGGGGGGTTGAGGTGAGAGGAGATAAGTGGAGGAGGGGACTGGAAAAAAGAGAGGAAGAGATTGTCTGGCAAATAAAATTTACAGTTTTGAAAATGGCTTGATGTGGAAAAATCAATAAATATTTTTCATAAAACGTCTGTATTGAGGCTTTTTTTTTTGTTTGTAATCTGGGCCAAATACGGCAACTGTATAAAATTAAAGTGGCATGGTGAAGGTTTAGTTGAGGCTGACATGTGGAAACAGTGCAAAAATCAGGTATGGTCCAAAATAGGGCCAGCTATAGTCATACAGTGGGCTGAGATATGGCTATATCATGGGCCATATGTGGCCCGTGTTCTAGCTACCAGATATGGACCACTTGTGGACCGTAATTCATTGATGTATCTGGGCCGAGTCTAAGTGTGTTGTGTGGCCCGTCACTGGGCCAGACCAGTTTTGCTATGTGGGAAACTACCTGAGCAAAGCTGCAAATGAGATGATTAAAGGTGAACTTCAAGAGGAGTTCAGCAAACTTAGTTCCTTGGCAAGACATGTCAGCGATGCAAATGATGACTACGGAGCTGGTCTACTGACTGAAGTAGGAACTGAGGAGGATGAAGAAGTCAAGCTCAACAAGCACCAGCAGGCTGAACTTGAAAAGACAATGGAAGAGTGTGACATGAGACTGGGGGACATCTGTGAGGCAGTCCAAGCCAACCTCTGGTCAAGATATGGTAAAGAGGAGGTAGACTTTGCAATCCAAGAAGCGGAAAAAGCCTGTGACAGAGCCCAAGCAAGCCCCATCACTGCTATCAATAGAGACGGCTATGAACTGCAGCTGGAGAGAGCGAGGAAGCTAATCCATGATGCAACTGTAAGCCTGAAAGACTGGGAAAAATGGATCCCACATGATCAGACAGCAGACCTGAAAGGCAGATTAAAAGACCTGAGAATATTCGGGAACAACCTTGAGGCCAGAAGAGCAGAATTCCTCACCGCACAAAAAATTGCAGAAGAGAAAAGAAGAGGTCCAGACCAACAGCCTCAACAAACAGCAGTTCCACAACCAGTGGTGAGAATAAAGCCAACCAGCCTACCTAAATTCACTGGGATTAGGAGAAATTTCCATAGATGGAAGAGAGACTGGGAAAGTCTGCAAAAGCAGGGAGAACCGAGTGGATCAGTGGAAGTGAAGAAGTTTCAACTCCTTGACAGTGTGGATGAAAGGATATGTAGAGACCTGGGCTTGTCAACATACAACAGTGCTGAAGACATATTGAGAGTACTTCAAAACAGGTATGGAAACAAGCCAACGATTGCTTTGGAGATAATTGAGGACCTAGAGAGGATCCCTCCTTTAAAGTCACACCAGCCAAGGAAGGTAATTGATCTAATTCAGGCTGTGGAAAAGGCCCTGAATGACCTTACGGAGCTCGAAAGCACGGGAGCCATAAAGAATCCCCTTGTGATCAGATCCATAGAGAGCAAGCTCCCAGATAATATAAAGAGGGACTGGCTGGCGTTCATGGTCAATCCAAGAAATGGAGTCACACCTGACAAACACTTCGACATCCTTCTAACATTCTTAAAGACACAAGAGGACATTCTAGAGAAACTAGACCAATTGGGTATAAGTGAAAGACCTGAAAAGAGAGCTACGTACCTGGAGAAGAGGTATGCCTCCACAAAGTCTATGAGAAAAGGAGGATGTGTTGTCTGTGGAGAGGAGAAGCATCGTGAGAAAATCTTCTTTTTAAGCAGTTTAAAGAACTGGAACCTGGTGAGAAGCTGAAAGCTATCGAAAGGCTTGGAGCATGCAGAAGATGTCTGAGATGTCATAAAGAGGATGATGAATGTACGGACATTTACCTATGCAGGAACAGAGACTGCAGAAGAGGGAGCTCTTCAGATCACCATTTCTTTCTTTGTCTGAAAGGAGGATTCAAGAGGAAAGAATCTGTGAAAGTGGGGAGACCCAGCACCAGAAGGCAAATATTCACAGAGGAACAAGAGATATTGATGTCTGAGCTTACCCCGGACATGGCGGAAAAAGTCAGGAGAGCCTTCACCAATATGGCTGCAAAATCACACTGCTCAGGGAAAAGTCTTCCTGGAGTGATGGACTCAAGCACATGTGAGTTACCAGTAATTCTTATGCTTCTTGAAGTAACCACCAACGCAGGACAGAAAATTGGAACTCTCATTGACTTAGCATCAGATACCAATTACATCACTCATATAGCTGCCAAGAGATTGAAACTTCAAAGTGAAAAGATCACGCTTGTCGTCCATGGAGTTGGAGGTATGGCCATGAAAGTAAGAACCAAAAGATATTTACTTAGGGTAAGAGTCAAGACACCTAGAGACACGGAAAGAGCTCATGAGCTGATCTGTTATGGGTTGGATGAAATTGCCAAAGTTCACAGAGTGATCAAAGCACAGCAACTCAAGAAGTTCTTCCCCGAAACCAACCTGGAAGATCTTCACAGACCAGAAAATGTTGAACTTCTCATAAGCCACCGTGAAGGAAGACTTGCTCCACAGAGAATAAAGGTGGTAGGAGATCTTGTCCTGTGGGAAAGCCCTTTAGGAAAGACTGTTGGCGGAGCACATCCAGATCTCTGTGAAGTATTGGGTATGGCCCTACACAATTCTGAAACTCACTTTGCACGATCAATGAGAATCACAGCAGTGAAGTATCAAGAAATTGCTGAGATGCAAGAATCTAGAGCTGAAACCAAAACCACTGTTATTGGGAGGGAGTTCTTGGATTGGTGGAAGTGGGACCGCATTGGTGCAGCCTGCGAACCCATGTGTGAAGGATGCCGGTGTGGTAACTGTCAGCCAGGAGGCAAAGACATGACTCTGAGTGAAGAGAGAGAGCTTGAGGTGATCAGGCGAGGCCTCAGCTATGTGAAGTCAGATGCGCATAGTCAGGAGCCTCACTGGGACACAAAATACCCCTGGATTGAAAATCCAAGTTCCCTGCCCAACAACAGAAGCACAGTGGAAGCCACGTTTCTGAGGACGGAAAAACAGCTCAGGAAAGAACCAGAGTGGCGTACAGCATACACAACTCAAGTCCATGAGATGGTGGAAAGGAGAGCAGCAAAGAAACTCAGTAGAGAGACCATTGCTGACTGGAAAGGACCAGTATGGTACGTCAGTCACTTGGTGGCACCAAACCCACACTCTGTAACAACACCTGTCCGACTGGTATGGAACAGCAGCCAGAAGTTTAGAGGGATCAGCATGAATGACCTTCTCCTGAAAGGGCCTGATGTACTTAATCCCATTCGAGCAGTGCTACTAAGGTTCAGGAAAGGAGTCCATGCTGCCCTCGGCGACATCAAAAAGATGTACAATTCTGTGTGGCTTGAAGATCTGGAGATGCACCTCCATAGATTTCTCTGGAGAAACAGTGGAGATGAAGAAATTGAGGAATATGGTATCACCAGGGTCAACATTGGCGATCGACCAGCAGGGTGCATCGCACAACTGGCCATGAGAGAGACAGCAAGGCTGCCCATGTTCACTCATCTGGAGGAGGAACGGAGAGTCCTTGAGGAGGATTCCTATGTAAATGACATTCTGACATCACATAATGACCTGGGAAAGCTAGACAGAACCACCAAAAAAGTCGAAGAAATACTGAAGGCAGGTGGATTCTTCCTTAAGCCGTGGGTCCGATCAGGTCAAAGTGGGAGGCAGACGTCTACATCAGAACGTCCAGCATCGTCAGATGAAGTCTTCATTCTCCCCAACCAAATGAGAGAAGGAGACAACAAAGCCCTTGGAGTTGGTTACCTGGTCGAACCAGACAAATTGTACCTCATGACATTGATAAACTTCTCAAAGAGAAAAAAGAAGATGAGGATGAGCCAAAATCTCGTCGAAGAAGAGGTGAGAGGAAAAACTCCAAACCCATTGACTAGAAGACAACTGCTTAGCCAAGTAGCTAGTTTGTATGACCCAATAGGTCTTGCAACACCTGCCAAACAGAAAGGAGCCATTCTGGTCAGAAAAGCATTTCAAGAAGCTGGAGGCAAAACTCTAACACGAGACACATGGGACGCACCTCTGTCTGAAAGACTTAGAGAAGAAGCCATCCACCTGTTTGAGGAATACACACGCCTCAACCAAATTACCTTCCATAGAAGTCTCACACCAGTCAGAAGGATTGGAGAACCCTGGGGAATAACATTCTCAGATGGTAGCGACCAGAGCTATGGAGCTGTTGCATACTTCAGGTGGGAGACCGAGCAAGGCATCCTGGTCCGGCTTGTTGAGTCCAAAGCCAAGCTCACACCGCTTGACCAAAAGGGAGAAGCAGTGAAGGCTGAGGTCTGTGGTGCTGTGTTTGCTGCGAGACTCAGAAAATACATTGAAAGGCACAGTCGGATACAAGTTGAACGTTGGTTCCATCTGCTGGACAGTCAAACTGTGCTAGGTGCAATCCAAAGGGACAGTTACGGGTACCAGACCTTTTTTGCAAACAGAGTGGGAGAGATCCAGAAGTCCACATCAGTTGAAGACTGGAGATGGATTCCAGGTGAGCAAAACGTTGCTGACCTCACAACAAGAGGAGCAACCCCAGAAGACCTGAAAGAGGACTCTGTGTGGCAAAATGGCCCAGAGTTTTTGAAACGACCTGTTGGGGAGTGGCCGACAAAGTCAGCCAGAGATGTTGCTGCAGAAGCTAAAGAAGGTATAAACAAGCTCCAAAGGAAATGTTTTACAGCAGCACTGACCCGAGCACAGAGGGAAAAAAAACAACATGCTCTACCTACCACTACAATGCCAAGGTTCCCAATCTCTAATGAAAAGAAGGACGATCTGCAAAGCATCCCTAGTGGGAAAGGAGGGGACCAAATCCAAGTCAGGAGACCACCTTCTGGTTCTTCAGTGAGGAAAATCCTGGACATAAGTAGGTTCAGTAGTTTAACCAAGCTGATAAGAATCATTGGCTGGGTGTGGAGAGCTGCCACAAGATGGAAGGAAATGCTGGTCAAGACCTCAACCACAAGCAAACCAAAGAGGAAGGAAATTCCTTCAGCTCTTGAGATTAAGTCCAGAGTCAAGGGAACTACACTCACTATCATCGAATGTGAGGATGCGCTCAGGGATCTCTTCCTTGCGGCTCAAATGGAGGTAGCCTTACCTGACACCACACTCAGCAGGCTTGCTGTGGTCAGGGAGGAAAGCACTGGACTTTTGCTCTGTGGAGGAAGATTCCAAATCTTTAATGAAGAAAAAACTGCAGTACCAGTCCTGCCTTGTACATCATGGGTATCCACTCTTCTAGCTCAAGAAGCCCATAAGGCAAATCATGAAGAAATTGCAGGCACACTCCTCCGGATGAGAAGGAAAGCATGGGTAGTAAGAGGCCGGAAACTAGTCCAGAAGATTGTTGATAACTGTGTGACATGCAGGAGACTTAAGGCCCGAAGATGCCAACAGATCATGAGTGACCTTCCATCGGAGCGAATAACTCCAGCCAATCCATTTGAGTACACGACAGTGGACCTATTTGGACCTTATGAAGTGAAGGATGAGGTGAGAAAGAAAGTGAGACTCAAAGTGTGGGGAATCGTCTTCTGTTGTATGGCGTCCAGAGCCATGCATACAGACCTTGTCAGTGACCAGTCAGCTGAAGGCTTTCTTCTAGCCTACCAAAGATTTACGGCACTGAGAGGACATCCGAGGAAATTGTGGTCGGATCCTGGGAAGAACTTCGTCGGAGCCAGACCTGCCCTCAAAGAGCTCTACATGTTTCTGGACCGACTGGAGAAATCAAAGCTTGAAGATGAAGTCTCCAAGCATGGCACAGAATGGAGCTGGAAGATCCATCCAGCAGACTCACCTCACAGAAACGGAGCTGTTGAGGCTGCTGTCCGGATGATAAAGCGAGCTTTGCACAATCTGGGGGGTGATGGAGTCTTCACATGGGGTGAGTTTCAAACTTTCCTTTATATGGCTTCCAACCTTGCAAATGAACGACCTATTGATGCCAGGACTCAGAGCCGGGAGGACTGTGTGGAATACATCAGCCCAAATTCGCTTCTGCTCGGAAGAACTGGACACAGGGGAGATCCAGAGACCTTTGATTTTAAAGGCTATCCTTACAGAAGATTGAGAATCATCCAAACAGAAGTTGACCGATTCTGGAGGAAATGGAGCCAGTTAGCCGGACCAAATCTGTTTGTCCGGACCAAGTGGCACACCGTTCACAGGAATGTGGCAGTTGGAGATGTCGTCTGGTTGGCTGACCAGAATGCCTTGAGAGGTCAGTTCAGGCTTGCCAGGGTCATTGACGTCAACACTGACAGGAAGGGAATTGTGAGGGATGTATATCTCCGATCCTTCCCCAGCTACCCAGTCGCAACTGTGAAACCGACTAAAAAGATGAAAAAACACTCAACCAAGATACCTGCAACAGTTCTTCACAGGGATGTCAGACGGATAGTTGTCCTACTTCCAGTTGAAGAGCAGCAGTAGCAACAGGACCAAAAATGGAGTAACTAAATCCGACACGTCACAGTTCTGGTGTGACCTCCTTGGGTTGAAGAACCAGGAGGTCAAGTGGGAGATGTTGTGTCAATTTATGGTTACTTTGCTTTAGTTGTACTGAGCAATCCAAGCCTAGATTCACCCAGGGCTCTCAGGGCACTCCCAAACTGCAGGGGGCAATCATGCAACAAAAGTTGGTGGAACCAACTTTTGGGGAAGTAGCTTTTGGGACTATATTTGCCTGCGCACCCACAGAGAGAGCATGGCATTGAAATGTTTGTAGAGAGTTCGGTTGGTTCTCTCATTTATTCCTGGAAAAGGACACTATGATTACAGCTCCTGATCACTCAAAGACGCAACTGGTAGGACAATTTATGATTGACTGTGTTTGAATATATTGAGTTTTAAATGTTCAGGTTCTGCTTGGATTGTAATTTGCAATTTAAAATAAGTAATAGGGATTTGTTATGTGAATGTTGAACTTGATAGAAGTAACATGTGCATGAGTTTAATTATGGGATTGGTATTTTCTTGTTAAAATCCTAGGTTAGACTGAAGGATCGTGTTTAGTTTGGTTTGAAGGTTCAATAGCATTTATTTATTACTTCTGTGAGAAAGTGGTATTGTGATTTATGTGTGACTGATTCATGACTTATCTGTAACTAATTCATGTTTTGGTTTGTGCATTTGAAAGGTTATCAACCTATACCTACTGTCCCACACTGATCTATCAAGTCACATTCAAGAAACTATACCATATTATTCCATCACTGGTCTATCAAACCATCTCAAAGAAAATAAAGAATCAAGAAGTGAAAAGATTGAGTTGTCCTTTGCGTTCTTCAGAGAGAAAAGCAGTTTTCAAGTTTGGGCTGAGCTGTAATCAATTAAAAACACACAGAACTTGACAATGAGCGTCAAATAACTACGTTTTGTCACTTTTTCTGAAAGCGCTGGTATTGGACGCCCTGTGATGAGGACGTGGAAACGTGGCCTAAATGTTTGAAGTCAGATGTTTACGGCAAACTGTTTAACATTTATTCTTTAAATCTCGCTATTTAAAAGCTACTAGAACTTATTTCTATTCCCATTTTATTAGTAACTAAGTGCACATGTTTCCTATTGAAATCTTTCAGGCTCTGCAGTTTAGATGTCACCTATTTAACTCTTACTGGTAACGATTCCATTAGTTACTAGTAAGAGTTAAAATGTTCATCAACAGACTGTCATTAATGAATGATTAGTAACCCAAAACAATGAAAATGTTACTACTGTCTTTTGGAACGGGAAAATTGAGTACTAGTATCTAATCAGTTGTTTCTAGTAAAACAGGAATAGCTACTAGTAACTAATGGACGAAGTCCTCCAACCTAAACGACAACTTAAGTCGTTTTAACGAACCTCCAAATACGACTCATATTAGCGTTTCCTGAAAGCGCCCCTACCTGTGAAGGTCAACGCCTTTACGCTAATATAGCTAGCTAGCTAAAGTAGCTAATGCTACTTAACCTGTTGAAGACGGGAACTGAACGCCGGTCTCAGGAGAAACACGGCTGACTTGCTATCCCACCGCCACCGGAGTACAACCTTCTGGTTACTTATAATACGTGACGTCTTAGTCATGTGTTGTGCTGTATGGACACTAGAGGGCGCTGCCACAATAAACATACACAATAGTAGCTTCTAATTAGTGAGTAGAAGGGTTGAAGGACTAAATGTTAAAATGGTTCACTGCAGATGTTTAAATCTTGAAGCACTTTCCTGGAAGAGTCCAGGTTTCACAGCAAAGACGAACTCAAACTAACGGAGCCACTGGAAGAAACATGTTCAAGGCCTGGAAAGTGTCCTGGAAACAGATTCCTGTGAAACTGTGGAAGATTCTAAAAGGCGTACGGACCAACGATGATGGTGAGGCGGAGCAGAGAGCTGGATCGATAGCTGAGGCCGGAGTTCTGCGTCACCATCTCCAGGTCCAGGACGTGCTCTCTGGGACCAATCAGAGGGCGCATCATCACCAGCATGGCGCTCACGTTACTGGATCGCTGCAACGACAACCATCATCAGAGACAACTGTCTGAGAACGGGTTACTATTCCAGATTACAAATCAGACTGAAGATCACAGTTAACGTCTTGTTAAAGAATTAAGAGTCAGAACAAAGTGAAGTTAAGATGATCCTCCTGAAGCTGGTCAGGTTAGCGGAGACGGGAGTTTTTTGGTGTTCTAGAAATGTAAGTTATGTAAGTATGTTTGGCGTCTCACCCTGAGGAAGAACTGTCCCTCCTCATTGCCGGCTTTGATCCGGAAGGTGTTGTGCATGTTGGGGAAGACGCTGGTGGCCTGGATCTGGAAGATGTCCGCCGGCACAGAACGCTCCGACGTGATGCTCATGTACTTGTAGACGATGGTGGGAGGAAGTCCTCTGCACGCGCTCAGAGACTGACAGCTGCAGCGACTACAGACAACACATCAACACAGTTACGATCCAACAGGAGAGTTTCGTGTCATACAGCTCTGATGTCGCAGGTCTGATGTATGGTTAGCAAGATGTCTATGAAGATTCTCAGTCATCCAGGTCATAGTTATCCAACGAAGGTTGCCCTTGATTTTAACCTTCGTTGGATGTATGGTTCAGTGATCAGGAGACTCTGTGGGTCAAACCCCCCGCAGTGTCCCAGTCACACCCCTCCTGGACCCATCAAACCCTCCGCAGTGTCCCAGTCACACCCCTCCTGGACCCGTCAAACCCTCCGCAGTGTCCCAGTCACACCCCTCCTGGACCCGTCAAACCCCCCGCAGTGTCCCTGTCTCACCCCTCCTGGACCCATCAAACCCTCCGCAGTGTCCCAGTCACACCCCTCCTGGACCCGTCAAACCCCCCGCAGTGTCCCAGTCACACCCCTCCTGGACCCGTCAAACCCCCCGAAGTGTCCCTGTCACACCCCTCCTGGACCCGTCAAACCCCCCGCAGTGTCCCAGTCACACCTCTCCTGGACCCATCAAAGCCCCCAGAGTCCCAGTCTCACCCCTCCTGGACCCATCAAACCCTCCGCAGTGTCCCAGTCTCACCCCTCCTGGACCCATCAAACCCTCTGCAGTGTCCCAGTCTCACCCCTCCTGGACCCATCAAACCCTCTGCAGTGTCCCAGTCACACCCCTCCTGGACCCATCAAACCCTCTGCAGTGTCCCAGTCACACCCCTCCTGGACCCATCAAACCCTCCGCAGTGTCCCAGTCACACCCCTCCTGGACCCATCAAACCCTCCGCAGTGTCCCAGTCACACCCCTCCTGGACCCATCAAACCCTCTGCAGTGTCCCAGTCTCACCCCTCCTGGACCCGTCAAACCCTCCGCAGTGTCCCAGTCTCACCCCTCCTGGACCCGTCAAACCCTCCGCAGTGTCCCAGTCACACCCCTCCTGGACCCGTCAAACCCCCCACAGTGTCCCAGTCTCACCCCTCCTGGACCCATCAAACCCTCCGCAGTGTCCCAGTCACACCCCTCCTGGACCCATCAAACCCTCTGCAGTGTCCCAGTCACACCCCTCCTGGACCCATCAAAGCCCCCAGAGTCCCAGTCACACCCCTCCTGGAACCGTCAAACCCCCCACAGTGTCCCAGTCTCACCCCTCCCCGTTCTGGACGTAGGGCTCCTGGCAGGGGTTTCTGGGATAGCAGCGGTAACCTCCGAAATAGTTCCAGCACACCTGGTCCTCGTGGCAGTTTGGTCCTGTTTCACACTCGTTAATGTCTGTGGACAGAACCAGAAAGTCGACATCAGAACCATAACACATTTTAGAGAAGCAGGTTCTAAACAGGTCAGTTCGCCTGCAGGAGAACACATGAATGATAGATGTTAACTAATGCATTAACACTTAGGAGGAAGAGTTCACCTCTTTTATTTTGGTAAACCCTCCTCTTGTGTCTAAACTTGCTTCCTGGTATAATTTTTGAATGTGGACTCCAACATCTGTAAAACTGTTGATTTGGTGAAGTTGTGATAATAAAAATAAGAAAGCATTCATTTTTGAATAGACAGACTTTAACTGCTGTTAAATCTTTTCATTTATGTATGTGTTTATTTATTTGTTGGTGTTGTTTGTTTTCTCATTTCTCTGTTGGTATACATGCTCCCTGTACTGTTGTTGTGTTTGTCATATAATATTGTGTTAATAAAGTGTTTTTTCTAACTTTGCTTTCTGACTGTGTGCTCCGTGATGGTGTGATAAAGTTCTTACTTAGTGGGTCTGGTCCCGCCCCTCTGACCCAGTTTCCAGCCTGGATTTTCTAGATCATCTCTTTCCCCTTGAACGTTGCCTGTTTTTTGGACATTGGATTTTGGATTTGTTTGCTGGTGTTGGATCTCTGACCTTGTTATGACCTTTGCCTGCCTCTGTAACTTGACTTGGTTTTACCAAATGGGCTCCAGCCCCCAGCGACCATGTACACAGGATAAGCAGTTGACGATGGATGGTTTTACCAAATGTGTTATTTATTTTTTGAGGGAAAATGCACATTTATCAACATCGCTGTAAATATTTCCACATTAGCCAAAAATATATAAACTGTTGTTGGCCAGATGTTAACCACTGAAATGATGTCAGTTTGTGGCTGCAAGTAGTAATAATGCCATCATGCTAAATGCTAAGCTACTGTAACAGTAGCACTACAAGCTCAGAAGTTACTCAGTGATGTTCAGTCACACAGTTTTCACTTACATGTTTAAAAATCACAAACCGTTAATATCAAACTTAAAACAAGGTAAAAATATTGGATATTTTGTTGGATATATTGGATATATAAGTGCTCTAAAATACCGGACGTGTTAGCTGCAGGCGCGTTGGCTGCAGGTGTGTAGGTGTGTTGGTTGCAGGCATGTTGGCTGCAGGCGTGTTGGCGTGTACCTTGACACATGTGTGTTCCCTGCACCTGGTATCCTTCAGGACAGACACAACTGTAGGAGCCGGGCTGGTTCACACACCTCCACTGACAGATATAGGACGACTGCAGGCATTCGTCCAGGTCTGAGAAACAGCGGACAGCAACAGATGACAACAAACCATCAAACAGCAGACTGTGTGTTAAACTGAAGGTTTCATGTCGTAAAAACTTTACTCACTCTGTTGCTCGGCTGTTGCTCTAGCTGCGCTTTAGTTGTCCTTTAGTTGCTCTAGCTGTTCTGTTGTTGCTTTAGTTGCTCTAGCTGTTCTGTTGTTGCTCTTTAGTTGCTCTAGCTGTTCTGTTGTAGCTCTTTAGTTGTCCTTTAGTTGCTCTAGCTGTTCTGTTGTAGCTCTTTAGTTGTTCTTTAGTCGCTCTAGCTGTTCTGTTGTTGCTTTAGTTGCTCTAGCTGTTCTGTTGTTGCTCTGGTTGTCCTTTAGTTGCTCTAGCTGTTCTGTTGTTGCTCTTTAGTTGTCCCTTAGTTGCTCTAGCTGTTCTGTTGTAGCTCTTTAGTTGCTCTAGCTGTTCTGTTGTTGCTCTAGTTGTCCTGTTGTTGCTCTAGCTGTTCTGCTGTTCTAGTTGTGCTTTAGTTGTCCTTTAGTTGCTCTAGCTGTTCTGCTGTTCTAGTTGCTCTAGCTGTTCTGTTGTTGCTCTTTAGTTGTCCTTTAGTTGCTCTAGCTGTTCTGCTGTTCTAGTTGCTCTTTAGTTGTCCTTTAGTTGCTTTAGCTGTTCTGTTGTTGCTCTTTAGTTGTCCTTTAGTTGCTCTAGCTGTTCTGTTGTAGCTCTTTAGTTGTCCTTTAGTCGCTCTAGCTGTTCTGTTGTAGCTCTAGTTGTCCTGTTGTTGCTCTAGCTGTTCTGTTGTTGCTCTAGCTGTTCTGCTGTTCTAGTTGCGCTTTAGTTGTCCTTTAGTTGCTCTAGCTGTTCTGCTGTTCTAGTTGCTCTAGCTGTTCTGTTGTTGCTCTTTAGTTGTCCTTTAGTTGCTCTAGCTGTTCTGCTCAGAATCAGAAGGAGCTTTATTGCCAAGTAATTTGCTATGGTGATAAGGTGGTACACGTAGACAAACATACAGTCGACATAAATAAATGTAGAAATATAAGAAATATGGAAGAACAACATTACAGATATATACATGAGCATTATTCTGGGTCTGTGCCGTGCAGAAGTAACGCAACGGAAGAGAATATTGTGTACATGTAAATATATAAACTGACAACATAAATATATACAACAACAAAGATCAACAATCTGTTGTTGTTGCTCTTGTTGGCCTTTAATTGTCCTTTAGTTGCTCTAGCTTCTCTTTAGTTGCTCTAGTTGTCCTTTAGTCGCTCTAGCTGTTCTGTAGTTGGTTTTTAGTTGCTCTAGCTGTTCTGCTGTTGCCCTATTTGCACTTTAGTTACTCTTTAGCTGCTCTACTTGTCCTGTTGTTGCTCTAGTTGCCTGCAGGTGGTCTGTATGTGGCCCAGCCCTTCATTTAAATAACCACAGTTGATCAGAAGACTGCTGACCCTCACCTAGTGACTCGAACCTCTCTGATTGGTGCTCTTCTTTGTCTCTCACCTCTGCAGAAGTTGAACTCGTCTGCGGTGAATCCGATTGGACATGTGTAGAAGGTCTGCCCGGCCTGGAGTCTGGTGATCTGGTAGTTGCCACGGTGGCTGGGCACTGCAGGGATGGGGATGAAGTGTGGAGGAGGGGGGGGGCGGGTCACGGTGGGGGGGTCCTCCTCGCTGTTGCTGATGATGATCTGGGCGTTCAGCGGCAGACAGAAGTATCCACCGTAGTGGTTGATGCAACCCATCCCTCCTTTACAGGCGTCTGGCAGCGTCTCGCACTCGTTGATGTCTGGGAAACGTAGTCGGATAGACGGCACTTACAGAGTAACCTGCACAGAACCTTGTAGCTGCTGGGGCCCCTCAGGGTTCTGTGTTGGACCCCCTGCTCCTCTCTCTTCACTCAGTCACACGGCTCTGTTATTCAAAGGCTTGGCTTTTCCTCCCAGAGCTGAGGTAATTAATGACTAATACTTAATAACTGATTACCTCACCAGCCCACTGGTCGGCCTTGTGGAAGAGATTGTTTCATTTTTGGAAAAGAGAAAAACCAACTGTTGTTTTCTTTAGAATGAGCCTTCTGACTCTCAGAGTTGGATCTTAGTCTCTCAGATGGTTTCTGTGGCCCTTTATTATTTGTCATTGATCTAAAATCATTGGTCAGAGACCTGCAGCAGGGTGTGACTCACCTTTACATTCCTGCTCCTCCAGGTTGAACTCGTAGCCCTCCGTACACTGTCAGAGAAGAAGGTTAGTTATCGATTAGTGATGGATCAAATGAACTGGAGCTGCACTCATCTGACAAACGTCACATCCTAAAGATCTGTGACTGTTACCGTTTCAGTAATCCTGTGAAAATACCTGCAGGCTGTACATCTGGTTTAAAGATGTTTCATTGTAGCATAAATACAGGTTACTGTTCAACTAAACACAAACTTATTTATGTGTTTGTCTCGGTGTTAGCACGGTTGCCTCGTGGCTCGACCTTCTGACCCAGGTCCTGGTTCAGATCTGGACTTGGTCCCGGGTGCTGCACAGTGGATTTGACTGTGAATGTGATGATCAAACTGAACAGGTCATTTCACTGAGTTATGTTTTGTCTTCTCTGATTTACTGAATGTTCCTGCCTCAAAGTCTTGGAGCAGGCAGACCAGGTTTTGAGGATCTGGACCTGCAGCTCTTTTTCACAACCATCAGTTTAACCCTTCAGCTGCTGCTCATCAGTCTGTTCAATTGTTAACTTTCTGTTACTTAATTCATCCACATTTACTCCAGTACTTTACTTTACTACAGTTTTGAGGTACTTTTACTTAAGTATTTGAATGTGCTGCTACTTCTGTCTGACAGCTTCAGCTTTTACATAAGAAACATCTGAAACATGATGTAGAAAGACATTCGACCTTCTGCTCCATTAAAACTCAGTCAGTAATAAATCACACAGCACTCTGACAGGGATCGTTCTGTACAGAACAATGAGATGAGAGACGCCGCGGTTCCTCGCGGGTCTTTTTCAAGTAGCGACTGTTAAAAAATGATAAAATATTCTTTGTGTGGTTCATCAACTGTGAGAAATTATCTGAAAGTCCCGCGAGGTGCGAACAACTCGGCACAACACCAGTGAAGCTGGAGCTCCATCTCTTCAGCAAGCGTTCCTCTGCTGCCACCGCACACATCCAGGGTTAGCGTTACAATCTAGGATTTATTCACACACTTTAAAAACATTTATTGTAAGTGTTATTCTTTTTACGTGTTTATTTACAGCATTAAACGTTGAAATGTAGATTGTAACAGGCTATATATTAACTTATTGGGAATAAACTGGTAGTTCTGTGTAAAATCAGACGTTGAGAACCCCCATGTCGCCAAAATGGCGTGATCCTTGTTTCACTGCGAGATTGATAGTTGAATCAGGCATCGAATCTTCTACTATTGGGGGTCAGCCGTGTGTGTGTGTGTGGTCCACAGTCTAATTCCTCATATTTGTACACACACCTGGTAAATAATTTGAGTATTTTTGCAGAGTAGTTTTCCCAGTACCGCTGATAAATATCAGTGTATTATCTGATCAGTGGACTCACTGCGTAGGTGACGGGTTCGTCCAGCTGCTGAGCTGAAAGCATGAAGAGACTCAGCAGGAGAAAAATCTGCAGAGACTTCATCCTGAAGATCAAACTGAGAACAAAGAGTCACGAACACAGTATTCAGAGGATTTCACTTTGCATTATGGGAAATTGTGCTGACATTTACTATTTCACTGATAAGGATTCAAGTCTGGATCTATTCATATTTCTATAAGAAGTATTCAGATGCTAAACTTCAGTGAAGTACAAATACACACTGTAAAAGTGCTCCAGTGAGAACATTACTAACGTAAAAGTACAATCAGGAGAATGTAGTTAAAGTATTGAAGTGAAGGTACTATCTAATCTGAAACCATGAAAAGTTTTACTTGATAAATGATTTCCCAGATCAAAGTAGTTAATAATTAATTTTCTGTTGATTAAATGAATAGACGGTTTCTTTACTTTAGAAATGTGTTAAATTGTTGAAAAGTTTGATTAATAACAAAACACATTTCATAAACTCTCCCTGTGTTTGATTCTGTAAAGCTGTCAGATAGATGTACTGCAGTATTTAGTGCAGTACTTCCCTCTGAGGTGGGTACAAGTAGAAAGTTGCATGAAAAGAAAACACTAAAGTAGCTACTGTAGTACTGATTTGTACTTGCAGTACTTGAGTAAAGTACTGTGTTAACAGGCTGAAATCTGAACCGTCTGTTCAGGAAGTCCTGAGAAGTCCCGCGGTCATTAAACGTGTCTGCAGCTTCATCAAAACACAAATGGTTTAAATTAAAATCTAAATCTGATCAAACAGATTCTGGTTCCGGAGTTCCAGGTCTAATAATCTGCGGACTGTCTCTAGTCCTCCTCAGACCCTGGTCCTCCTCTGCACACGGACCTACAGCAGGACCATGGTACAGGTATCTGAGGTGAACAGTGAAGAGGTCTTACCTGGACTGTCCTCTGCCGGTCTCTGAGCTGTAGGTGTGTTTGATCCGGAGGAGCGGGAGGCGGATAGACGGGCGGGGTTTGTGTCTCAGCCGCTGCAGAGACCGGAGCGGCGCGATGCGGTGCGCTGCCGCCCCCTGCTGCTCACTGCCGGAACCCGCAGCCTGGAGGAGACCCGGGACAGACAAGAACCAGAACTTTATATCAGACCACAGAAAAGTTTCTGACTGGCAGAAAATATCAGTCCCACGTTCAGGACTTTCTAACAGATTCATGGAGCATTTATTTAATATTCATTAGGGAGACCTGCGGGTTTGATCCAGACTCTGGAAAGAGTGTTTGACTTCATGCGGCGCAGCGCTGACCTAACGTGATGCATGCTGGACTTGAAACAAGGCATGCTGGTTAGAAATTGTGTCTTACTTTCGCCGGCGCTGCAAAACGTCACCATGTCACATGACACTGAAACCTCGCGGCAGCCAGGCGGCTGCAGGGAACCTCACTATCGCCTGGTCAGTCACTGATCTTGAATGCACCTATTACCCCCCCCCCCCGACACTCAGGGGTCAAAGGTCAGGCTGAAGCAGGCCGTCTTCCTCACGAGTTTTTCATAATCATAAAATCAATCAAACAAAACTTTATGACAGACTCCAGATCCAGATCCTTTCTGTAGCGTAAACATTTATGGGCCGTTAAAAATAGTAAAATACACCAAACATACTTCGTAAATACGCTTAGTTTTACTGCACAGTGCATCACCATCCATCCATCGTCAGCCGCTTCTCCTGCGTACAATCCCAGCTGCCATCGGGCGAAAGGCAGGGTCCACCCTGGACAGGTCGCCAGTCCATCGCAGGGCGATTACATCATCCTGTTTATTGATATTTGTATCATTATTATATTTTACCCCTCTCTCTGGAGCTCGATGCATGTACTGCACGGTCAGAGGTGGTACAACACCAGGTGGCTTAATGAGAAGAAGCTTTGGAGTCCTTGAATGATGAAGTCATCCTGAGGGAGCTGCTGTCAGAAATAAAACTGGACTAAAGTCAGTAAATAAATCACAGCATGAAGTAGCAGAAAATGGAAATGTGTGTGTGCTGTAGATTCCTCGTATGTCCACACACCTGGTCCTGAATCAGGTCAAAACAGACAGCAGTGTTTATGACATCATCAGTCAATCGGCCAATCCGATCCCCGGGGTGCGTTCCAATACGTGCTACTGCTCTTCAGGATTTTCCACCGCGTGACCTCTGAGCTGTGGTCTGGTCTCCTGCTGAGGAGCTCAGAGCTGAACCAGGATCAGGAGTCTATAATTATCTCAGATTAACTGCAGAGCAGCTTCAGCAGCGGCTCCTCACACGCTTCACTCCCAGCACCATCATGTCTGTCCGCAGCGCCGCCGCCGCCGCCGGCCCCCCCTGGAGGAACCACAGCTTCATTCTGGGGGGGGGCAGGGACCCTCCTCTGACCGACCAGGGCGAGACCATCATCGGAGTCTACCTGCTGCTGCTGGGTGGGTCCACGCTGCAACACACACACACTGCAGTACTACACAGTACTGAGTACTCAGTCTTCAAACTGCTACTTTAAATACTTCTGTCAGAGGAAAACCTCGTATCTCCAGAAACATTAAAGCCGCACTAACCAGCAGAAACTCTCATCAACACCTTTAAGTTTGGGACCAGACAGCAGCAACACGCTGCTTCATGGCGTGTTTGTGTCAGCTGGTGAAGGTGAGTCCAGGTTTCTCTCTCTGATCGGATCACAGACACCTTTGATGGATGAACGTGTGAATAATGCCACTCAGTCTCCTGATGTGAGGTGACTGGTTGTTTACAGGTGTGTCCTGGGCCTGTGTGCAGTCTCCTCTGGTCTCGGGGTGTACCGGGACTCAATTCAACCCGGGACCTTGAGACGGAGAGGCCTTTTATGGAAGCGCCGTGTGGGGGGTGCAGAGAAAGACATTTTAATTTTAATATTTAGTGTTCATTCATTAAGACCTTCAAGAAACTTTATTATGCCTGTCTCTTCAGTTTGTATGAGCAAGGCACCGCTGCGCTGAAGAAGACCAGGTCAGGCAGCCCGAGTCAGTCAGTGCTAAAATAGTGAAATGTAATCAGAAACTATGATGCAGTCTCATAAAATAGAGCTGTGTGTGCCTCAGCTGCAGGAGCCTGACTCTGCGGATAATTTGGCTCATTCAGCGGCCTCTTGTGCACCTCACATTTCTTTTTCCTTTTTCTTTCTTTTCCACATTTACCAGCTCTGAGTCCAGCCCCGACACAACGTATTGAGAGCAGACGCAGGCAGCGTTCACTGCAGCTGACCGGCCGGCGCAGTCGCAGATCTTTTAAAGATGAACATAAGAAACTGACAAATAAAAACCGGGCCACTCAGGATTGTTCCCAAAATTCCAGATGGCCGCCCCTGGCTGGTCCGGCACCTTCTCACCTGTAAATCCTGTTTGATTGTTGTGTCTCTGGATCTCAGTGTCCTGGTGCACAAGGACACAACAACATCCTGACACTACCCACATGCCTCAGCACAAACACGTCAGATGTTCTTTGAACAGATGCAGGTGGTCTAGAAGCAAGTATGTGTCCTGCAGACGTGGACCTGATCCAGTACCTGTTGTCTCTGTGGTTCTTTCAGGTTGGCTGTCCTGGTTTGGAAACAGCATCGTCCTCTTCGTCCTGTACAGACAGAGAGCCACCCTGCAGCCCACAGACTACCTGACCTTTAACCTGGCCGTCTCTGACGCCAGCATCTCAGTGTTCGGCTACTCCAGAGGCATTGTGGAGGTCTTCAAAGTCTTCCAGAACAGCGAATACATCATCTCCTCCATCTGGACCTGCGAGGTACCAAACACCTGAAACCCACCTGAAATGTTTAGATGGAGATAAGGAGCTTTGTTGGTCGGCCACCCCTGGTGGACCCTGAACCCGAAATGGGACACACCTGTTACCTGTCCTGTTTGTCTCCTGCAGGTGGACGGGTTCTTCACACTGGTGTTTGGTCTGGGCAGCATCCTCACACTGACAGTCATCAGCATCACCCGCTACATCAAAGGATGTCACCCGAGCAGAGGTCCCAGTCCAAACCTTCATATTTACACTTTAACTAGCAGCAGCAGGAATTTGGGGGGGGGGGTAGAAAAGTCTTAAATGTGGAGATGGTGTCTGCCTCCTGAGCCCAAACTGGAATCTGGTTCCACAGGAGAGGAGCTTGATAGCTGAACGCTCTGGCTCCTAGTCTACTTTTGGAGACTCGAGTTTAACATGAGAAAATTACAGGTCATCCAGGTTTTAACATCCTGAAGGCACATTTGAAGTTTAGCTAACTGATTAGTTTCATCTGGCTTGATCGATAGATATAACTGAGTATCATCTGCATAACAATGAAAGTTTATGGAATATTTCCTGATAATATTGCCTAAAGGAAGCATATATAAAGTGAAGAGGATTGGTCCGAGGACAGATCCTTGTTAAGGACTCATAGTTTTGATAAATAGGACTTAAACCAGCTTAGAGCGGTTCCTTTAATGCCAATGAAATGTTCCAGTCTCTGCAATAGGATCTGATGGTCAGTGGTATCAAATGCAGCACTAAGATCTAATAAAACCAGTACAGAGACAAGTCCTTTGTCTGATGCAATAAGGAGGTCGTTAGTAATTTTCACCAGTGCTGTCTCTGTGCTATGATGAGCTCTAAATCCTGACTGAAAATCCTCAAATAAACTATTGCTCTGTAGAAAGTCACACAGCTGTTTAGCAACTGCCTTCTCCAGGATCTTAGAGAGAAATGGAAGGTTAGATATAGGTCTATAGTTGGCTAAAACATCCGGATCAAGTTTGGGCTTTTTCAGAAGAGGTTTAATTACAGCTACTTTAAAGTACTGTGGTACATAGCCTGTTGATAAAGATAGATTGATCATATCTAGTATAGAGGTGCTGACTAAGGGTAAAACATCTTTAAGCAGCCTAGTCGGGATGAGGTCTAAGAGGCAGGTTGATGGTTTAGATGAAGAAATTATTGAAGTTAGTTGGTAAAGATTGAGGGAAGCAAAACAGTCTAAACATATATCTGGTTTTACAGCTGTTTCTAAGGTTCCTGAGTTTAGAGATAATTTGGTGCCAGTTGAGGGCAGGTCTTGGTGAATTTTGTCTCTAATAGCTAGAATTTTATCATTAAAGAAGCTCATGAAGTCGTAACTACTGAGAGCTATGGGAATACTTGGCTCAATAAAGCTGTGACTCTCTGTCAGCCTGAAACCTGGAGTTTCAAACACTGAAACATTCAGAACGTGAACAGATTTAGTTTCCTCGTCAGCAGCTCCGGCGTCTTTTCATTCTGACAGTTCAGAGGTGGACAGATGGTTTTTATTAGTCTCTCTATGATTGAAGTTGACTGTAATCTGAAAAGGATAAAGAGGTAAGAGGGTGTTTGTTGTGTTTCAGCCCGTCACATCAGCAGGACCAGCGTGTGCTTCTGCCTGCTCTTCATCTGGATCACAGCTGGGTTCTGGTCCGGAGCTCCGCTGTTCGGCTGGGGGAGCTACACAGGCAGGAAACCATCCAAGCAAGATTCTGTTTCAACCTCTTCAATGCTTTACCTGACCTCTGACCTCTGACCCCTCTGCAGATCGTGGGTATGGAACCTGTGAGATCGACTGGGCCAAAGCGACCTACTCAGCCGTCTACAAGTCCTACATCATCTCTGTCTTCACCGTCTGCTTCTTCATCCCGGTGTTCATCATGCTCTTCTGCTACGTCTCCATCATCAACACGGTGAAGAGAGGCAACGCCCTGTCCGCTGAGGGAGACCTGACCGACCGCCAGAGGAAGATCGAGCGGGACGTCACCATAGTGAGTCTTTACCACTGCTCAGCGCTGCTAGCATTATCGCTAACGGGAAGATGTGACATAATGAATAAAGCTCAATGGAGAAATAAGAAATGAATTCAGCGCTGAAGAGCCAGACGGGCAGAGATCCAGTCCTGCAGATCGCCGTCTGGCGGTGACATTATTCGACTGTTTTCTTAACCCTGAATTTGTCGCCTCACCTAATCGATCAGCGTTCTGTCTGCAGTTTGAAGTTGTGATGTTAGAAACCGTCTCTGCCTTCCACCTGTGCCTCCAGCGGATCAGAGTGTAGGCGGCACAGAGAGCGTCCGAATCAGGACGCTGAGCTCAGCGATGGCGGCCGGACTCACTCTGGTTTTCTGGTTTCAGTAGAAGGTTTGAGGTTTGATGCAAAGTTTCTAATTGGTTGAATAATCAATCGTCTCCTGCAGGTTTCCATAGTGATCTGCACGGCCTTCATCTTGGCGTGGTCTCCGTACGCCGTGGTGTCCATATGGTCGGCCTGTGGCTTCCACGTGCCCAACCTCACCAGCATCTTCACCCGCCTCTTCGCCAAGTCCGCCAGCTTCTACAACCCCCTTATCTACTTCGGACTCAGCTCCAAGTTCCGCAAAGACGTGGCGGTCCTGCTACCCTGCACCCGCGATGCCAAAGACACCGTCAAGCTGAAGCGCTTCAAGCCGAAGGCCGATGCCCACGCCCGGCCCGCCGCAGGGGGCGGAGCCAGACTCAAAGTTCCTCTGAACTGGCCAGAAAAGAAGTACTCGCCCGGGAACCAGCCTAACCTGGTCCCCAGCCCGGACTCCGGGATGGGAAGCCCGCCCTGCACGCCGCCACCCGTCAACAAGGAGGTGTTCTACATCGACATGCCCCGCCCCTCTGAGCCCAGCTTTGAGTCTGAATGTGAGAGGCTCTGATGACCTCGGCGGACCTGGAGGATGCCATGAACTCGTGACCCCTGCTCAGTTCAGATGACGCCAGCAGGACGCTGATTTCACCAAGTCGTGACGCCCAAAGTAGAGAAGAAGAAAACGACATCACTTAGTTTGTGCCCAACTTGTAGACCAGCTTCAGGTCAGCTGACAGACCAAAGTGTGGGGGGACCGGAGGTCGGACGGTACCGGGGGTTACCACATCCGCCCGAATACAAGCTCCCACGGCAACTTTCCATGATCCGACTTTGACTCTCGTCCCACACGGTTGGTCTGACGGCGAGTCCTCAGACCTGAAACACCTGCTGAGGTCTGAAGGACTTTCTCCTCGCCATCAGCGCCAGAAGATCCAGTCTGTTTCTGCCGGAGGTGTGGACTCGTGCAACTCGACTTTGACTTTAACACCAGTGACTCGTGACTTCACTTGGACTGGAGCCTTCAGACTCGACCTGACTTGGACCCTCACAGAATATAAATGACAAAGAATTCAATAAAAGCTGTCACAACATCGACACTTGATTTAATTCATGAAATGACCCGACGGGTGTCTCTGCCTGTTTCCTGTTCAGGTTAAAACTTTATTAAACAAAGTTTCTTTCGATTTGAATCTTGTCAAAAATATGAAATGGTATTAAACTTGGTGAAGAGCACAGCGTGACTTGTTCAGGACTCGAACTCAAAGTTCAGGACTCGGACTTGCCTGTCTGTATTTCAGTGATCAGTTTTTTTTCTACCCGACCCGGGTTAAATGCAGAAGATCCTCCGTCCTTCAGGCCTCTGCACCTGCGCAGGATCCAAGGTCAGTTTATAACATCTGACTCTGGACGCAGAACTGGGTCCTGGACTCTGGGGTCCAGTCCAGGTTCCTGTTCTTTCCTGCTGACAGAGATGAACTGAAGGATGAGTTTGTTCTGGAGGAGCCTGAAAGTCTGTAGATGTTAAACTGAACCAGGACCAGGTGTGAAGTTTAGCTCTGTGTTGTGGGAGAAAACTGTTCATTTGTATTTAAGGTGAAAATTAAGAATAAAAACGTTGGTGACAAACCCGACCTGTCCTCCGACCTGACAAAGGGCGTTTATGCCTCCTAAAACCACACGGTTTTAAATACATAATTTACGTTATAACTGTTTAAAAAATTGGTTAGCGGCCCGTTGGTTCTTTTTCTGTACCGACACCATGATGGCCCAATCACAACTCTCACTGGCCACTTACATTATTTTTGTGTCAGTAATGTCTACAAGTAATTAAATGTCATTAACATGGTCTGTCTGTAGCTACAGGTGTGGTCTGCTTTTAGGCCACCCGCCTGAGCCAGTCAGTGGTCGGAAGTGGTCTGACGGCTTGGCTGTAGCCCTGATTCAGACCAGCTTACATGTAGGTTTCAGCCCTGCAGCCTGGGAGGAGCCGGATATCATATCATCAAATGAAAGAAAACGTTTGAAACATTAAATGATCTTTATTTTCACTGTAACGTTCACGACATTCACTTTGATTTCAAACTAAGTGCAGTTACTATTTTCAGCCACTAGATGGCAGCTGTACCTCCTGAGACAGGACTGTTGGCAACGCCACACTTTTTTTAACAACTTTATTTGAGTTTGCAAGAATGACACAAGTATAAAACAACTGTAACAGTAGAAAGAATCAAGTGCATGAGTTGAGTAAGGGACTAAATGAAAACTTTAGATACAACACAAGCTGCTGCAGTTCGAATTTGCTTTTGCTTTTCAGACCACTGAATTAAAATGATGTAATGTTTGAACTCTTTCAAAGACAGCAACGTTTCTTATCTGTTGATGAATATGAAGAAGTGTTTCTCTGTACGTTATCTTCTGGCCAAAACATTCTTCCAAAGCAAAACTTTCAACAATATTATCAGGAATAAAGCCACATCAGTTTTGCCTGAAACTTTCCACAATAGGGTGATACAGATGTTTCTGGACAGTCAGCACAGAAGCTACAAGTCATCCCTTTAAAGGAAGTGTCTCTGACTTTACTGGTGATTAAGTATTGATTACAGGAGTAGAATTTAAGGTCATTCTCCTCTGTTGGTCCTCCGTAATTAATATACCAAATATAGTATTTCATTTTTTATCTGAATATTACAAAGAACTGCTTTAGAGCGCTCTTGTGTACTGATGGAAACTGATTTCATGCTTTGGTGTAAACTGCAGGCGATGTTTCCTGTGCAACTTTGAGGTGAACACAAGTCTTTAGTCCTGACACGTGCAGACCAGTATCCTCCTTCTGGACCTGCATCTGTGGCTGGTTAGCTCGTTCAGTTAGCCGTGCTGCTAGCGGTTCTATCAGCTGACTCAGGACTGGATCCCCAGTGGTCAAACTGGCCTCTGTCGGTCTCGGAGGCTGCGCTCGGTCCTGGTCCAGCTGCTCACTAAGAGCCGGAACCGGTCCGCTCAGAGTCTGCATGATGGGGTGGGGGGGCGTAAAGACTCACTGGGCGCTGCTGGAGACTGTAAACGCCAATCAATACCTGCGACACGTCCCTCCCCAGCTTTGTGTTTCTACAGAAACATGTAGTGTTCCACCAGAGACGCACAGAAACTTTCTGCTTAAAGTAATCCCTATGAGTACTCCCAGATGTAATCTGATTACATCTTTAGTTTTTGTGCTGCAACAGAATACAGTTAGGCTTTTTTGTATCCTGATGACGTAACGCTGTTACATGTAATCCGTTACTCCCTGGCCATGGGGGACACGAGGGATCTGAACCTCATGTGTTAAATCAGCGGAGCGCTCCTGGAGGGGCTCGGCCCCTAATGTTTATCATAATCTAGCTACACAGGTCCAGTCCTCAGTGATCAGCTGACGTCAACAACAACAAGTCAGAATAACACCCGAGTGCCCCTATTTAGCTTTTAAATAAGCCTCATACAGAAAGGTAATAAATGCTTTGTAACACACTGTGATGTAGAGGTACGCAGCTAGAAGGACATTGTGTTAGTCAACAGTTCAAAGTCTTCCTTTGTTGTGTTGTATGTTCTTATTCTTTACCTGTTTCTACAGCAGCAGCCTCTTACAGGCGCCGACAAATACAACATCATAGCTTGTTGTAAACGAGTCCGTGTTCAACAAGGAGTCACCTGGTAGAGACAGATGCATATGTAATCTCCCTATTCTCTAATAAAGAATATTCACGCCAATGTGGATTTGGATTGTAATGGTAATTCCAAACATATTGCATGTAACCCTGGACTCAGGGAGACTCATCTGTGCTGTGGCTCTGAATCTGTGTAAACGTAACAGTCCAAATCTCTCTGTTCTCTGTGGTATCCAGACTTCAGGGACAATATGTCTCTGTGGGATGATAAGATTGGCCCTAAAGCTGGATAAATAACAGGCTCACTCATTGGAGCACACGTACACGGCGTATGTGTTTTGCTGTGAGTCCTTCTGCAGAAGACTTGAATAAAACTCGCAGAAAGATAAGTGTTTAACTGAGCTGTTTATTTAAAATCTCAAATTGCCATCACAGGATTTATTATATTCTATTTAGTGACAGAGGGCAGGGCAGCGTCTCTTCAAGCGCTCAGGAATGTCGTCAGCCAGATAGACAGGACGGGGAACCGTCTCTTCGGATGGAGCCGCCAGCCGCCTGCATCCAAACAGACGAGACAGAACGTGAGAGAAGAGAAAAGGAGAACGGGGTTTGGGTGGGAGGGAAGAGGAAGAGAACGGGTGAACTGTGCTTAAATACTTTGAGCAGAAACGGGATGTGTTCGAGGCGTGGTCTTTGTTCCCGAGTTAACTTACTGCCCCCCCTCGTTAAGGGTTAGGCAGACACGTTAAATATGAAATATGAATAACATGAATATAATAAATAAAAGCTCCCCCTTAAAGTCAAAGTAGTTTGATCCTGGCTTCATAACGCTGCTGCCAAGATTAGCCGTCCAATCAGGCTCATCGAATCTTCAACTATTCAGGGTCAGCCCAGGAAATAAGCTGGCTTCAGTCCCTCGTTGGTCCGTTAAAGATAATGCTGCAGCCAGCACGCAGCTAGCTTAGCTTAGCATAAAGGCCGGGTGTGTCTGAAGTAACTCTTAAAGTTCACTAATGACCACACTGAGTTGTTCCGGCTGTAGCTCCGTGCTGGCCGGTCAGACAGAGAAGCACCAAGCTTCTCATCTAACTCTCAGCAAGAAGGTGAATCTGTGGATTCCCCAACATTTACAACAAGTCTTTTATGTCACAAGTTCTTCACAGTGAGCAGCCTGAGAGAGAACTGAAATATACCTGAACGAGAGTCGTCCTGCTAATCCACCTCCATTGGTTCCTCCTCATCAGGCGTCGACGGCGGAGTCAGATGAGGCCCCGTTCCTGCAGGGAGAACATCTGCCTTTGGTCAGTCATTCATAAACGCACGGTACTCGATTCAAACAGAAACTTTTCCTTTAGCACTGAGTAATGCACCAACTCACTGAGGCCTTCAGTGTTTCTGATCAGGCTGTTAACATGCACTCAAATGTTCACTGTGAAAAAGCAGATTAAGGTAACAGTATTCGTTAACAGTTTGGACTCCCGGGTCTCCATGGGAGAGAGGGCCCAGGATGTAAGTAGACTGCAGAGACTCTGCAGTCTACTTACATCTGAAGGACAGAGGACACTCGTTTGAGGACCACCAGGTGCACATTTTAGACAGAGAAGATGGATGGTTTGAAAGAGGTGTCAAGGAAGCATCTACACCAGGGTTGAGAAGCCGTCATTGAACAGAGGAGGGGGTCTACGCCACCACTTATCCCCCACTTACAATGCTGTCCTTTCATCACTTCCCAGGAAACTCAACAGACGTAACCTATTGGCCTCAGGTGAAGATACCAACGATGGTCGTTCAGTCTCGGCCACAGGTAGTCTTAACGACCGTAACGACTGTCGTCACAGCAACAAGGAACACTAACGAACCAGCGGTATCGATGACCCGGGCCAACGACCCCACTGAGGTCAATAGCTGAGTTTCCCTGCCAGTCAGTCAGAACTGAAGAAGTCCTTTGGATGAGGGACGAAACGTCTTCCAGTATCTTCAACCAAGTCCAGTTGCCCTTGATTTTAACCTTCGTTGGAGAACTATGACCTGGATGACTGAGAATCTTCATAGACATCTTAAAGTAAAATGTTTGCATGTGCGAAGTGTAGCGAACCCGACAGGAAGAGTACAGGATTTACCTGAGAGGCCTCCTCCAGATGCCGTCCCATCAGGGGCCACCTGACCAAAGAGCAACAACACACAATCACAGCTACATTAAAATGATATATTACATTACTTAAGACTTTATTTTAATGTCATGTTGAATGTGTAACTTTAACTAGCAGGTAGAGGACTCACCTGGGATGCAGAGGTTCCACTGGGAAATTCCAAGGTCAAGTTGGTTCCATGAGGAAGGTTCAAGAGAGAAATCTGCAATATCATAAAAAACACTTTTCGTATATAAAGTGTATCATATTTACCATATTATTGGCGGGCAGTTTTGGCGAGGATCCATAATCACAGAGAGAATGAACGTGTTTCCCTTTTCAGTGTTTGTATAAACTTTATCTAATGTGTGGTTTATAAAGGACTGTGGTGCAGAAACAGTGACAGTGTTTCACACTCTTCGGTCACATTTTCAGTGTCAGTGGCCAAGTTTTACTGAATAATTCAGTAAATATCATTTCTTAATAAATCTAACTTTAACTTTAACCAGCAGGTAGAGGACTCACCTGGATTATAATGGTTCCACTGGGAAATTCCAAGGTCAAGTTTGTTCCACGAGGAACGTTCCAGAGAGAAATCTGCAATATCATAAAAAATACATTTCGTGTATAAAGTGTATCATATATTATTTGTCAAACCAAACCAAATAACAGCACATTACTTAAGACTATATTTTAATGTCATGTTGAATGTGTAACTTTCTCTAGCAGGTAGAGGACTCACCTGGGATACAGCTGCATTGGGACAGCTCCTGTTGGTCGCTCTAGTAAGGGAACACTGAGTGTAAATGATTTTTACCACTTCTAAGTTTAAAAAGCTGCTGCAGTTACAGACCATGGTAGAACAATCCAGTATGTTGCTGTCTACCATTATTTGGTAGTAATTAAGTGTATGCTTCACATTCAGCAGCTTGTGAAAAAATAAATTGTGTCCAAACCAGCTTCTTGCCCAAAAAGCATCTTTGTTTACAGCCACTTTTTTGTCTATGCTCCATCATGTGTAGTTTATGTAAGTGCATCTCAGAGCTCACAGACAGTAATGCTGACACTCCTCCCCGTCCCTTATGCTCTGGTTGGCTGGTATTCTTGATGAGGCCAAACTCTAATTTAAAGCCATTCTCAGGTTACGAACGCCTTACGTCAGTACGGCTACACCCTTCATTCCCAAGATTAAATTTACTGTATTTTCCAGTTCCCAAAGTCAGCACTGAAGTTGGCCATAGAGCTTTTATAAGTCTGCACACGCTTTACTAAAGAAACTGTCAGTATGTCTTCTGGCCGTCACTGTTTTGGAACATTTGTGTTGGACTCATTCACAAATTTTTTGATAGTCTTTCTTTAAGTCCGCATCTCTGCAGACTTTGCCTGAGGGAATTACCCACAGTTCATAGCGTTAAACACGGTATTACCAGGGGAAGGCGATGTTCACCTCCTCTCCACAGGTAATTGTGAAGGGATGATTTTACTCAGCTAGAGCCTGGATTATGTTCAAATCGGACAGGCTGTCCTTCGGTGCCTCGGCTGTTAAGAAAGTAAAAACTGTCAAATAAAAAACGCACAATTGTTTTGGCGTGGTCAAGGTAGCGTAGCGTGATATGTTGCAAAGCGCTGTCCCGTTAAACCCCCTTGTTCTTGTTAGTTGCTCTTTCCATTTCTGTTTACCTTCCCCTGGTGACCCTGTGTTTAACATCCCAACGCTATGAACTGTAATTC